TAAATGTACAATTATTAGTGTTACAAATAGTTTGTATCACAAGCTGTTGTGTCGTGGTGTTTTACCCTGTTAAAGAGTGTTTGTTGTGGGGTTTTCATTGTTGTTATGAAGTTATGACCATGACTCAATCTCAATATACATAAGACAAGTAGCTGCAACCGCTACCCGCTTCTCGATGACGTGTAAAAAATGAATTCTGCCGCCTGCTGAAGAGCAACGTAACACCGGTGTGAACGACGCGTGAGAAGTTCATACTGTACGGAAATCTTATACCTGTGTACGTTTGAACCGGTAAACCCTGCAGCCCTAAGCCATCTTAAGGTAGACTCACACACACACAGCAATGCGCTGTGATATTTTGACTTCCTCACTTTTCTCCACCAAGGGACTAAATGTTAAGTTATTGTCCGGAACACATTATTGTTTGAACACTCAACCTCTCAGTGTGCGCTAAACCGTGCCTCCCCCAGCTGCAGGATGAGCAACAGCAGCGCTCTGCGGGCCGCAGACCTGCTGAAACGCCTTCCTCGAGGTTTCACTGTTTATCCACCGACTCTCTCTTTTTGATCTCCTGCAGAGTGTGTTTGTGCGAAGAGGTCGGGGGCGGGACACGCAGCATTAGCTGTCGCTTTTGGCGGCCTCTGTAGTTAAAGGATAACGTTCCGCTGTGGTTACACCTAAAACCACCTGCACGCCAGTGGCCCGGTTTGGAAGTGGGTTCAAATGCGTCTGACTCTCATTTAAAACGCTGGTTGATGGCAGTAAAAATAGTTGATATTTCATATTTCCAAAAAGCCATCAGCTCTGAGCAGATTACACAACGGGCTCCTGGACAAAAGCTCCTCGTGTGGTGGTTTTGGATCTGCTTGTGATTTCTTTCCGCTCCGCGGCTCCTGGTTGTAATGCGCTTAGCGTCCTGTGATTGTGTAGCTTCTCTTTCGGCCATGTTGCCCACCGCTTTGGGTCTCTATCGCATTGGCGCTTTCTGACCGTGTCATGTAGTTTCCTCTGGCGCCTCTCTGTGGCCGTCTAGCGTCTTTGCTCCGGTTTTGCGTCTCTCTGTGATCTTTTAGCGTTGCTTTTATAGTCCTCTTGCATCCGCTCACATATTTTTCCCACATGACTTGGTTGTGTTGTGTAAAGGCATAGTCATTAGGGGTTGTGTGTGTGTGTGTGTGTCCTCTAGGGAGTATTACTTGCATGCATAGGAACTGCACTGTGAGCTTGAACTTGCTCCCCCGATAAAGTTGAATAAGGCGTGTTTTGTTCTTGCTCAACCATTCAGACATCTGCTGCCTGTTTTCTTCTTCTTCTTTTTCCCACCACAGGCAAACATGGTTCCTCAAAGATGCTTTTAGTCAGAAACTCATTCACATCCTCACATTGAATTCCACTCAATGAGTAACTCACGCTGGTCTGCTCACTCAGTCCAGTGTGAGTTTACGAGGCTGATGGCGAAGCTTTAACTCACATCCTGCATCTTCTTCTCCGTGGTCTTAATTTCCTATGGCACGACAATGATACTGTTGATCAGCCATCTACAAATGGACGCTTGTTTCCTGTTCGTCAACTCTTTCAGATTTCAGATCGGTTGTGTTCACAAAAAGCCCAAAACGACTTTGATAACTGTCTTGTTTCGCCCGACCGTCCAAAACCCAAAGAGATCAGTTCAATAAAATGTTGAATATTTTATACAGTATTTTGATTAATATGCCAATCAATTTAAGAAATATTGAAATCGTTCTTGGTTCAATGTCTGTTGAATAATTAATTGTTGCAGCTTTTCATGAACCTTTGAACCTCTTTATTCCTCAGTTTGCCGTTGATCACACTGCAGCTTCGGCTGTGGGACTGAGGGCCTCATGTACTAATGACCCTTTTGCGCCCACTTCATGCAGACTTGTTTCGCAGTGTAAAAGCATGGCGATGTACGTAGAAACAAGCCGCACGGAGGTGAAAGCAAAACACTGCACAAAAAGGAAAATTGTGTTTTTTGTGTCATGCATATGCATCCACGGGAGGGTGAAAGTTGAGTTTCCCACAAAGAGATGGGAGGGGATGCGTAAACTTATGTACAGAAACCGCCCGGGGAAGTGCGCCTCTGTTTTGCGGGGAAAATTCTCCGCCTCCTAAAAGCAGGTGTAAACCAGAATGCGGGTTTCCTCACACATGAAACGAGCTGAAAGGATTTTTGCCACCAGGATCACACTTTTTCACTCGAGTGAACAGGAAATCATTACAGATGAAGCAGTCATGCATCATTACCGTTACTGGAAGACATCAAAGATGACATCGCATCTCCATTCCACTCCTCGCTACATTACAATGATTGGTATCAGGATCATTTCAACCAGCCGTGGCATCATGAATATCACAGTCTGCACTCAGCCACATCACAGCACAAGTACTTGTGCAACTTTGTCACTGAATTATACTTTTCACTGTTGACTTTGGCTGATCCATGATAGAAAGAGAGAAGGAGGTCCGTTCACTTGTACGTTTAAATGCTCGCAACGTGCGCTGTAGTGGGTCGTAGAAAGTAGCTGCTTACCGGATGAGCTGCAGGTTTACTGAAGTATCACAGCGAGCGCTAAAAATGCTACGTTTGCAAATGTACGTACACAAGGCCCTGAATGTCATAAGGCCATCGCCATCAGCCAGGATTCATTTCGTCGCTGTAGTATCTTGAAGCATCTTTTGTACGTGCCTCTGGGCTTTCCTGAGAAAGACCAGAGGCACTTTTCTCTCAGAATATATTGATTGTATCTTTCTGCACCTGACAGTTAGAAGAAAACCTGAAGTGTTTACTAGAATTTGAAGCCGTATAATAATCTAGGACTCAATTCCGCAAGTATAACTTTAGTCAGTTCCTCATTCACTGACTAAGAGCTCTCTAAATGAGTCACATCCCTCTCATCTCTATCTCGCTGCTTCGTATTTATATTATTAACACTGCGGTTAAAACAAAAGAGCATTTAGAGTTTAAAAGGGTTCATTCATGTCACTGCAAGCAGTAGAGAGTTTGTGTGCGTGCGTGTGCGTGAGATTACCACAGACATTCCTCAGGCTCACACACTGTCACGTGGACTCAAACTCATCCGGCGCACAAAGCCCTGGAATCTGTCCTCCCTGCTCTCTCTCCCCTTCTCTTCATCCCTCCCTCTTCTCCCACCCAGCGCCGCCTCTGTCACTGTCTCGTCTGTTTCCTTTTGCTTCTTCTGCCCCCTTAAGCTACCAACCCCCTCACCCCCCTTCAATTTCTTTGTTGTGCTTCGCGTACGGTTGTGCCTCTGGGGCTAATGTAGCTCGTTAGCTTCCGCTGTGTTCTGGGTTATAATCACCATCACCATCCCTCCAGGGATGTTTTCACAGTAAAGATACTTCATAGTAAAACCTGAATCAAAGATCCTGTATTAAGAGCGTACCGTGTCACAGGATTTCCTTTTGCGTGTTAGTTGAACAAACTCCATTTTGACTTGAGTAGAGCTGCAACAGTTAGTGATACACACAAAATTAACATATCACACGTGCAATGTTATAAACTCTAAATAAAACGTTCTGGCTCTCTTGGGCCAACATGTTTGTTTTTTATCATCTGTCAACCATACTTCACTTCAGAAGTGACCTCTGACCCCACGTGCCACAGGCCCATACCCATGGCTGAACAAGTCATCCACCCTTGCGTGTGTGTTTTGCCCGCGGACTGTGTTAGCGCTCGTATGTTTAAGGGGCCTCGAGGGCGCCGCTTCGTTAATGACGTGTGATCAGTTTGAGCGGCAGCGTCTGCAGTCGTGCAGCTGACCTTCAGGGCCTTGACTGCAGGACCAATCGTGTGTTGATGGTCGACTTACAGTCCCGGCCCCTGAGGTTCATTCTGTGCTTCGGGTCAACGCGGCCACCAGGAAGCCCCTCGCATCTCATTCTTCAATTACATAGTTTGTTCTGGTGCGGTGCTCCTCTTCCCCCAATAATTCACTGGCTCTTCTCTCGCGAAGGAAGGCTTCAGTTGCTGCTGCACCGAGGCTTCACACACCCACACGTAGCTTACTACGGACCACTTTTGATTAAGGTATTAAAAAAATAAATAGAGGGCTATAAATGAAAACCTAGCTGAACGTCTTTACCTCTGAGTAACACACAGTTTGAGTGTAAAGCTTTGAGCTAGGCTTGTAAGGCCGAGGGTTGAGGATTGACGTGTGCGTCGACCCCGAGTGTGTCGACCCAGTATTACATTACGTCTGAGCTGACGCGTTTATCCAAAGCGACGTACAATAAGTGCATTCAACCATAGGGATAGAAACTCAGAAGAGAAAGAAACAAGAAAGTGCAGTTTCATCAAATAAGCCAATTTACAATTTGCTATAGATGAGGAGCGTTATAAGTACAATTTAAGTGCTACAATTTGTTAGTCTTTTAGTCGAGGTAGAGTCTAAAGAGGTGTGTCTTTAGTTTGCTCTCTGCGGTCCTGGTGTCTTCAGAGAGCTCGTTCCACCATTTCGGAGCAAAGACAGCAAACTGTCGTGATCTTGTCGAGTGCGGGTCGGGGTGTCGGGTTTGACCATGTTCTGGATGTAAGCTGGACCCGATCCATTCACAGCACGGTACCTGAGCACCAGTGTTTTGAACTGGATGCGGGCAGCCACCAGAAGCCAGTGAAGAGAGCGGAGGAGCAGAGTAGTGTGGCAGAATTTCGGAAGGTTAAAGACCAGTCGAGCTGCTGCGTTCTGAATGAGCTGCAGAGGTGGAATGGCGGTAGCGGGGAGACCTGCCAGGAGCGAGTTGCAGTAGTCCAGGCGGGAGATGACAAGAGCCTGAATCAGTACCTGGGCAGCCTTCTGAGTGAGAAGGGGACGTATTCTCCTGATGTTGTAGGGCGTGTATCTACAGGATCGTGTTGTCGCTGTGATGTTGGGAGACAGTCATTTCTTACTCACTCGCACCCATCCTTCCTTTCTTTTTGGGGTAGCACCAGTCCTCATGTCTTTTATTTTGTGTTTCAGGCCTCCAGTCCCAAGCTGACGACTCCCTGCTCAGATATCCAAGAAGTCCGTCGGTGCAACCGGCTGGAGATGCCTGACAACTTAAACACGTTTGTTTTAAAGGTGTGTACAAGGTTCCAACTAAACGGATGTACGATTGACATCACAAGGCTCCAGTTGTAGTTTGCAGACTGTGTTGTTTATGTCCACATTTGCTTTCAACCCTCAGTCCTCCATCAAGAGGAAACGGGACAGTCATTGAGTGAAATCATTTCATTACAAAGCTCTCCTGCAGCCTTCATTTAGACCTTGTTGGTTTGAACTTGAATGATATCCAAGCTGAAGGGTGGCTTTTGTCAGATGTGTGTTTACGAGAGGGATGAAACTTGTCCAGACATGCACGGGGCCCTTTTAAATCAAACTCTGCCCTTTCTTTGTTGTTGTCGCTGTAAGAACTTGATAACTACTTTTGTTCACAAAGAGTTTTTGCACTTAAGGGAGAATTTGAGAGCAGTTTTACAGACATTTTGTCCATCACTGCATTGGAAGAAACAACATTTCTGGCTTAAACAAAAGGTTCTGAATCCCTCTCCTCTTTTAGGGAAGTCCCTCTCATAGCAGCTGTAGATGACCTTCTATTCAGTCAGTCAGTTAATTCCACCTAACATCCCAGACTGGTCGCCGGTCAATTGCAGGGCTGACAACCATTCACTCTCCCTTTCACACACCTACGGGAAACTTGGTGTCACCTTTTCTACCTGATTAAACCTGAGCAGGTCTTTGGTCTGTGGGAGGGAGCCCACGCAGACACGGGGAGAACGTGCAGACTCCACACAGAAAGGTGCTGGCCGGGTTTGACCCCACGACTAAGGACTAAACTCCACACCACCACGAGCTGCATTCAACAAGAGCAATAATATAGCAGCAGCTATGGTCCATGTGAAGATATAATGGAGCAACAGCTCCCTGAGCAGTTAAATGGGTCTGATGTGTGTTTTTGGTAGTTTCCCCATAGCTTGCTTGGCCTCTATAATGTGCTCAGTGTAATGAAAGCATCTTTGTCTCGGCAGGTTAATCAAGGTAGTCTGATATTTGAGACGGACAATGACCAGCAGGTCAGCTCCTGGACCACAGAGCTTAAAGAATGTATCAATAACAGGTGAGAACCACTTTTAATACTTTACGTACATTTTCTCCTTTTTGCATTTAACGGTTGTGAGTCAAACTGGAGGCTGAAGAGAAAACTCCTTTTAAAACGATTTAGAGCATTTAGTTTGTTTTTTTCCAGCGATTATTTGAATCCGACTCAAAACATAATTCAACCTGTCCAAGCCAGCTGTGTCTCACACACACACACACACACACACACACACACACACCGAGGGGTCAGCGTCGACGTCCTCAGTCTCAGCTTTTTTTTCGGTGAGGTTCTAAGTGGAATTATTCAACACTTGGATGGTCTTTAGTGTCTGCGCTGCGTGTTTACTTGTGCAGAGGTGTGCGCAAATGTGTGACAATATTTTGAGCTTTGTGTGCGACTGTGTGTAGCTTTGTGCGTGCATTTGTTTTCCCCCTGCTCTTTAAACTGGAGCAGCAGGAGTCTTGTTATATTTGGGATATTCCTGGAAATAATCATTCTTCAATTTCACCAGTCAACTTAATATTTACACGAAACCCTGGAGAGGTCAAACATCTGGTGTGGAGAGAAATCTGTAACAGCTTGAATGTTCTGCAATAAATACCATTTCGAAATCAAACCGAATTAAAGAGAATAAACTCAATACCGTAATACAGACATGAAATGTTCTGCACTTTTATGTCTTTGTTGGGTGAACATCTTTAGCAGCAGACATTAGTGTCAGTAGAAACATGTGTGCGTGTGTGTGTGTGTTGTGTGTTGGGGGCGATCTGCAAAAGGAAGTGTGTGGGTGAGGTCTGAGACTCGGGAGGATCTCAGGACCTTTTTCATTTCTGCAGATGTCTAACAGACACACACTCAGTGCTCAGCAACGCTGTGAACATTCATGCACTGTGAGGTCAGAGTTCACACTGAATTCAGTGTTTGTACACATGCATCACTGACTATTACATTTTAGTATCTCCTTATTTTTTATGAAAACATGTGCCTGCGCTCTTCAAATGATTCACAATGTTTTGACTGTGCGCATGCTGCAGCCCTCATCGGACGGCTTATCACATGCCATTTTAGATCATAACATTTACATTTACTGTTTACTCTGGAAAAACATCGAAAAATCTAACCTGCTCTGAAGACTCTCAATAATGGACAAATGTGTCTGTGTGTGTGTGTGATTCGCACAAGGTTGTTTACTTTTAAATGTGCGACAATTTTGCACAAAAATGCGAGACTTGTTGTGCAAAGGCTGTCCACCCTAATCTTAGTTCTGCCCCTGTGTGCGTCAGAGGGCTGCAAACTAAAGTGTGTGTACGGCCTTTGAAGGACCAACCCTGGCAGGAACGCAGCTCTCTCATTCATATCACCGTAGCATCAGGATACCTCATCGCATCGACAACGCCGTGGATGTGCTTTGAGACAATGAAGCGCCCGCTGCCTCTCTGGAGGCCTTGTGAGGCGTCACAGCAGGAGCAGCCTTTCAGGGTCCCGGTTCAAGAACTGGGAGATCACTATTAGTGACACCTATGAATGTGTCTGCGTCACGTCAAAAACCTGCAAAAGAGAGGCGAGCGAGGAGGCGCGGTAGCGAGGAGGCTCAGTAGTGCTACAGTGTTTTTTTGGAATGCGTCCACTCTTCCTGTTAGATGTGGCCGGATGTGGAGGTGTAGCAGCGCTGACTAGTTGAAATGACCAACATGTCCTCACTACACAAGAGAAAAAATGTGAAGTGATTCTCTCAAAGATAGAAGGACACAGAATGCACACATACACACACTAGTGAGGACGAGAAGGAGTCTTCCTGTTATTCACAGCGTTGCAATCTCAAGTCAGCAATTTAGCGGAATCCGATCGGGCTTCCTTCTTTAACCTTCCCGATCTCTGTGTGTGTGTGTGTGTGTGTGTGTGTGAGAGAGAGAGAACTGGCCTCACTCCCTGTCAGTGTTCTTTGTGGTCCTTCAGCCTGCTGTTTTCTCCATTTTCACAACGCTCGCTCGCTCCAACAACAACACATTCACACTACGTACGTCCAGATTTGACTTTAGATTTTACCGTCATTATTTGATATTTCAGCCCTGACACCTGTGTCATTGTTGGACTATGACATCACCATAATAGACACAACATGCTGCATGCAACATGCTCTAAATCTCCTGCAGCCCACAAACACGGTTATTGTCCATCTGAGGGGAAGCAAAATGTGGCCTCAGCGGTGAGTTCTGGGAAGCGGGAGGACTGTAACGTTGTTTCTGCGTCATGTCGTACTCCTCTAGTGGTCTTGTCGTCCACCCCGTGTGGTGGGTTTTTTCTCTGGATGCCTGGTCAAGAACTGATGACAGAAGTGGAAGTACAGAAATGGAAAATGAATTTGTTTCTGTTTTGAAAACTTGTCACAGGAAAAAAGTTAAAACTATTAATTTAGTTTTCTCACAAGTCATTTAATTTTACACTCATACCCCATTGGGTTTATTAATGGGAATAAAAGGAATAGTGGCATGTTAACGTCCATAAATCATCAGTCATTCACCAGGAAACTGAAAGAAGACCTGAAGCCTTCTTATGAGACTGCTGCTTAGACACAGAGGGGAAAGATTGGCCTAAAGTGAAATGATGGAGCAACAAGGGGATTGACCGATCTCCCTCCCCAGGTGGTCCACAAGGGGAACAACAAACGTGTTATGAGATGATTCAGCGTGTGTGTTCATGTGTGTGTGTGTGTAGTCTGATATGTGTTCTCGTCCTTCAGGTCAGGCAGTGTGGATCTGGAGCCCCTCCCCTCCCCAGCTGACAGCGGCGCACCAGCCAATCGCAGAGGGAGCTCAGAGCCGGGGAGTCAAAGTGAGTGTTTCTTCCCGAGACTCTAAAAAAGCTGACTGTGCTTTAGGGCGGGATTCCTTATGAAGGACAGGTTGCTACCACTGCTATGTCCCGCCTCCATCTTTGGTCCATTCCACAAACCAAAGTTCTTAACCCAACGGATGACGTGCCGACGACTACGTCCACATCCTACATGCAGTCTATGATTATTACAATCGGTCTGAGAGATTTCAATATTGGTTTCTCCGAATACAGTCAAAATTAAGTCATTTCTAAAATCTGCGTTCAGTAGATTGTCATCTAACCGCAATGAATCACTTGTCATTTGATCCCTCTGCGACCGTATGGATCAGAAATGACACCGTTTGAACTCTGTCGATCCAACCAGGCACCGCCACGTTCGCCCTGCCCGAGCAGGTTGCCCAGAAAGCCGATCACTTCCTGTTCTCCTACCCGTGGTTCCACGGGCCCATCTCCCGCGTCAAGGCCGCCCACCTGGTTCAGAGCGCCGGCCCGCAAGGACACGGCGTGTTTCTGGTCCGACAGAGTGAGACGCGGAGGGGAGACTACGTCCTCACGTTTAACTACCAGGGAAAAGCAAAGGTAGGTCTCCTCCCGATGTCCCACCGGCTGGTTCACACCCCCGCTGATGGTAGAGAAGTTAAAGGTGAAGAAAAGGAGGCGCAGTTCAGCTCTCGCGTTGGCCTCACACCGTGTTTTTCTCCTTCCTCACGTCTCCGTCTCTGCAGCACCTGCGCCTCTCGCTAACGGAGTGGGGTCAGTGCCGGGTGCAGCACCTGCGCTTCCCCTCCGTCATGGACATGCTCAGTCACTTCCGCCTCTTCCCCATCCCGCTGGAGTGCGGAGCCGCTGGCGCCGTCACTCTGTCCAGCTTCGTAGTGGCGGGCTCCAGCCCTCCATCACAGGGTGAGACTCCGCCTTCCACCCCTCATGTACACGCGTGTGTGTGTGTGTGTGTGTGTGTGTGTGTGTGTGTGTGTGTGTATTACATTACGTGTAATTTAGCTTTTATCCAAAGCGACTTACAATAAGTGCCCAAACTACAAACATAACGTTTGTCCAGACAAAACAAAGTTCCTGCTTCCACTCGCCGAGTCTCATTTCCTCTTTGCTGTTTTTGTTTTCAAACCTCAGGTCAGCTCTCCGGCGCCCACCTCATCCCCTTCTCCCTCCATCGTTGGAGTTCTGAGCCCAGCTTGGCTCACTGCAGCCTGGCCCGCAGCGCCAGTCAGCCCCGCTCCACCTGCCCCAGCAGCACCAGCACCTCCTCCAGCCCCGGCTCCGTCCCTCCGCCCGCGAACCGCCCGTTCCCTCGCACCAACCGCGTGCCCGATGCCCCGCTGACGGCCGCCGCTCCTCTTCGCCGGAGTGAGTCGGCGGGGAGGCGGCCGCTCCTTCCGCGGCACCCCATCACCAACATCCCCCAGCGGGATTCGGACTACGAGCTGGAGCCCGAGCGAGGCCACAAGCGGGCGATAGACAACCAGTACATGTTGGTCTGACCCGCCGAGGCCAGCGCCTCCATCGCCTCCGACAGACGGCAGTCACCTGTGAAGCCCGCGCGTTCATGCACGTGACACACTGACACACACACACACACACTGTGCTGGGAGTGTGTTTACCCGTGTCAGACCCTCACAACCTCCTCCTCCCGCAGTGTCCACAGTGAATGTATTTTTGGGAGCTTTATAACAGTGTTGACTATGATCATTATTCATGTTGAGGTTGTGTGTGAGAGGGTGAGCCACGCGTGTTGCTGTCCTGCAGCCCGGCTAAAAAGTCATTTTGGAAATGTCTCTATTTTTGGGATTTCAAAGAGGTTCGCTTGTTTACTTCTTTGACACTTGGCCTGAACGAATGGGAAAGCACTGTGCAAAAGTGGTTGGATGGAGTACTCCTTTAAAGTATTTAAAAATAAATGTACTCTTCACACACAGGCCTTTGTGTGGAGTACACTCGCATATTTATGTAAACACACGAACAAGAAAGCACTCTTTATTTTATTAGATCCTCCTCTTGCTAATCATTATATATTTAAGTGCATTTTGGAAACAATGTGTATTTTTTTCTATACACAGATTCTTTTGTAGAAAAAAAAAAACTTACTAAGGAAGGCCAAACTTGGTTAAAGTTAGTTTGCAGCCATGACTAAAAAGTGATCTTTTTCCGCCACTTTAAACCTTTGCTGCAACAAAAACAAAAACCACAGGAAATATTCTGGGTTCGCTTTAATCAGCCCCAAGTCTTCAAAAAGCCTTGAGAACCTGTTGCTGTTTGTGGTGCGACTGTCTCCCTGTGCGTGTGCGTGTGTGCCGTTCGTATGAATGTGAGTGAAAGTGTATCCAGTGTAGTGCAGCCTGTGTGTAGTAAAGTGTTGCCTGCAGCCTGTGTGTCCGACCACACCGACAGGTATTTAGAGTAAAAGGCATTATCTGCTCAAAATGAGCACGAGGTGTCACAGAAATAACCACGACAAAGAAAACAGTGTCATTATACAAATGCCTATGATATAAACATCATAATAGAATTTCATATATTTTTTTACAAGTCTGATATGGATGGATGGATATTATTCACAAATGAATTTGATTCAAAGTGTTACAAATTACCTTAATTATAATTAATTACATTAATTATACATTTCACTCAATTTATAGATTTTTGGGGGATAATAAAGCAGCCCAGAAGTATATGTGTATGCATAAAGCAGAAAAGGGTGCTCAACAGAAAACATAAACTTGAAAGGGTTCTCAAGCATCAGAGGGGAAACACAGGAATTAAAGCACAGATTTGACACTTAAGGTCAAAGTGCTGGAAACGTCCTTTCAGGATTAAAATGTTGCGTAATCTTACATTAAACCCTTTGAAGGGCTCTGAAAAGTGGACAGCGATATGATGCAACCAGGAGGGCCTCTGTATAAACTCCACTTTTTAATAGAAATCATATTTTTGTAAGCTTTTCCTGTTCGACAGCAGCCAATAGAAAAACCAAGATGAAAATAATATATATTTGTACACCATGAATACGTTTCAGCAGCACCTCAGTGCTTTTGATGAGAGCTTAGTTTTCTGTCAGCTCAGGTGTGTATTGTTCCAAAGCTGGTGTATCAGTGGAGGTTGCATAGAGGAGTTCAAACCTAAATGAAGCCTTTTACTAAAGCGAGATTTTTTTTTTTTTTTTGTACCAATCTTCTCTTAAAAGCATCCAAAAAGCTGACTAGTAAACCAAAGCGTTTGCATCAAAGGATCAGCCTGCGGCCAGGCGAGCGCCGCTGTCCTCGCAGGAGGAGGAGAAAAGCCTTTAAACACGCATCGAAGACGACATTTACCCTCATTTTGTTCCAGTAGCTGAAGCTTCTCTTCCATTCGGGCCGGGAGGACTTTGGGAAATAGTGCCCGGACTCGTCTGTCTTCTAACCTTGCTTAAACACTAACTTTAGCAGTTTCTTTAGATTAGCTTCAGTAAACCTGTGCTTAACGGATGGTTTAGACCCCACGCGGTCCGTCTCTTTGCCCTCTTTCTCATTGTTGTTCCGTTTAGTTTTTTGTTTTTTTTTATAAGAGAAATGCCTAAAAACAACTTAGTTTCCTCATGAACAGAACCAGTAAGTCTGCTTTGGTTACACCGCTCGTTATGCAATAAGTCCGCTTTATCTACTAAAGGAACATTTTCACAATGGTTGTATAGTTCTCTCCAATGTATCGTCATCATGTTCAAGACTGACATCTTTGAAGTGTTTACAAGGGGATCAAGAACAAGGACATTTTTGGCAAAAGTACGGTTAGTCTTCCTGCCTTTTATGTAACACTTCTGTTTTAATTCTGGAAAACAACGGTAACGATAACTTTTGACTCAGTCCCTTCTCCTATCCGATCAATACTTGTATTTCTAGGGAGAATGACTGTGCCTTTGCCAGAAAGCTGCTGTTGCTTTTCCCCTTTTTTTCCCAGAGCTCTGTGATGTGGTGCAGAACTTGTTTGTGTTTCACCCGTCCTGCGTATGAAAGACGCGATCAGCGGCTTCTCCAACGATCAATCGAGTGAGTGAGAGATCAATGTTTACTTCTGCTCATAGACCGAAGGAAAAATTGCCTAAACGCCAGAAATCCCAGGAAACAATGCTATATTTAAAACCAGGGCTACCACTTGTTGCTACTGTTGATGGCTTTTCATTCTGCGTCGACCCGATGAGTCTGCAATAATTGAGTCAACGCTCCCTTGACCGAATCCCGTGTGAGCCTCAGGTGTGTTTAATCCTCAACATCCGCTCCAGCAACGCCTTCACTCCCGCCGCATGTGTTTCTTTGTAAATGTCCAGTTGATGAATGTAATGTGTTCTCAATACTGTTCATTCTGTTCAACTTAGCACTGTAAACATTCCAGTCCAACTCAGCCAATGACAACTCCAAGTGCTTTTTCTTTTTTAAACCTGTCTTTGTCTGCATCCCTTTCAGTTACAAGCATCTAAATAATATTGAATATATATATATATATATATATATCAACTGTATATTTGACTTTTGTAAAATAAACCTAACCAAAAAAAAAAATGTTGCCCCAGTTTCTGCGTTGCCTTTTTCTCCAATGAAATGACATCATGGTGAATGACGGTCTTGGCCTGATTGTGCCGATCTCACTCTGGTACAACAGAGTGGGAGTCAATATCCAAAAAACAAACTTTGTCTGAATTAGCAACCCAGTTTGAACTGTTTCGGTCTCAGAGGTCAGGGGTGGTTTTAGGTAGAAATACAGATGGAACACAGCGTTAGATCCACACACCACACCTGTGATCACCAACCAAAGTGCTCACCAACATCCATCCATCCATTGTCAAACCGCTTATCCTGCACATAGGGTCGCGGGGGGGCTGGAGTCCATCCCAGCCAACTTCGGGCGATAGACAGGGTACATCCTGGATTGGTCGCCAGCCAATCGCAGGGCTACACAGAGACACACAACCATTCACACCCACATTCACACATCTACGGGCAATTTAAAGTCCCCAATTAACCTGATGCCCAGAGCATGTCTTTGGACTGTGGGAGGAAGCCGGAGAACCCGGAGAGAACCCACGCAGACACGGGGAGAACATGCAGACTCCACACAGAAAGGCCCCTGGGCGGAATCGAACCCAGGACCTTCTTGCTGTGAGGCAACAGTGCAAACCACCACGCCACCGTGCCGCCCTCACCAACATAAATAACTCATAATTAATGCAGACAAGATGTGCCGCACATGTCACTTTATATCTGCACAACCTGTCATTGTACATTGGCCCACACTCCTTGGTATTTGTATCCCGTTAACACATTGCTTTAATTGAATTTTTGGGGAATGGGTCATCAGATGCAGATTATTATATTTGACAGTTATAAAAAACAGTCTTGTGGGTTCAGGTGCACCCCAACCCATTGGGGAGCCCATGCAGGCTAAACTAGTTTACTCAGGCCCACTGCGATGCATCGACAGGTACTCGAGAACAAATTACACCTCTTCAGGTTTATTGCCGCTGGAGTCGTATAAAACAACGGCATCCTGCCACGGGGACGATCCTCAACCCTCCCAGGCAGCTAAAACACTAGATCAATTTTCTAAAAAGAACCTTACAAAAAGACACATCCTGGTCTGTATAAACTGGAGTAAGAAAATGATTAATTACTTTACAATTTCCCAAGTGCTTCAGTTTTGTAAAAGGCCGAAACAATCCATTAGCTTGTTTATTAATACTTTGACTTCCCGCGTTGTGTGTGTGTGGCTTCCAGTCCGAAGCCGGTTGGTCACTGCTAAAGAAGCAAAACTTTAAAAACAGGTCAAACAACTAATTTCATTGTTAAAAAATAAAATGGCTAAAACATCTGGAACACAACTTTTTGCATTTAGCATAGCTTGAATTGAAGTCTGAAAGGCTGATTCCCTGAACTTATATTGCTGATGTTGTATTGTTATTAGTTTCTTGGAGTGCCTATCAGGTTTTTTGTTGTGATCTATCTTCACTAATAAACAATAAAAACCTCTTAATAAACAAATTAGTGGGTCTTTAAATATTTACAGCAGCAGGACTGTGCAGGTGGGATGGATAGAAAACCCTCAGATGTTCATGTTATGAAGGAACAGAAGATGCACAAAGCAACACAACCACAGTAAGCATTTCAGTTTTTAAAACTTTTTTATTGTTTTTAAATTTTTTTTGCTCATTTTTTAAATTATTTATATTATCTACAAAGTAAAAGTTTTAACTTAAAAGTTACATAAGGGTCGGGTGAGAAGTGGGATCTGATCACCTCAGCCATTATAATTTCATAAATAACGTTTCTTCTGTCCTCTTGGCTGCCAAAACATGTTTATTTCACAGGAAGCTTCTTGTCATGTTTCTGTTTTTAGTTTGGTTAGAAACCTGTCATGTAGTCTGGAAACAAACGCAGCACATAGCAGCAGCAATAAACAGTAAGTTTAATACTGTCTAAATGTTGGAAGATTCTTTTTTTCTTAGAACAAGGTGCAGACAAAATATAAGTTCCAGTTGAATATTCCTCTTCACTCTCACTGATTAGTTTCTCTCATTCTCTCTCTCACGTCTTATTTGGCAAGCTGATTCAAGGTACAATTTGGTTACCCCTGAAAGCAGGTGGGTGTTTTGTTTGTTTCTGCGTGTGTGCAGATGTCTGCATGTGATCGGGGGCTGAATAGGAGCAGTCTTGCCTGTTAAAACTCTCTAGCTGGATAAAACATGTCACTGCCTCAACCTGATGAACATTTTCTTATTGCCTAGTCTGGGAGGGAAAGAAAGAGAAGAGCTGACGTGACGCATGTCTGGTGAGGATGAGGAAGGGGAAGAGAGGGAGGGCTCTAACTCTCTTGGTCGCCTGGTCGTGAAGCCTCTGGTTGAGGAGCGGGTCCCTCGGCTCGCTGGTGCCCTCTATCTACAGCTGCTGCTGATGATGGGCTTGCACTGCAGACACGACACAAAATGGGGGAGATGCAGAGCTCAAGGATTCAGAGATTCTCCACAATTGAAACGGTTGAGGATGAGATTATATTCAGGAGCCAAAATTGTAGCGGATCAGCACTAATAAATAAACAAATAATAAAGGCCATGTTTCAGAGTTTGTTTAAATACTTTGACCTGAGCAAAGTGAAGCAGACAGCTATCTCACTCTGCAGCCTTTTTTGAACAGCAACTAGCCACGATCAAATGAACAAAATACATATTTCTGACCCCCCCCCCCCCACACAGCAGTTACTTGATGAACTAAACATACCTTGTGGATGTGCCAGGTAGGAGAAATGCGTGGTGGAGGAAACAGGTATGGGGTTGAGGGCATTCTGGGGCATTTGTTGCTGCGGACCACCTGGAGGACCTTGCGTAGCCATCAACATCATAGTGGGGTGGGTCTGCCCCGGGTGGTGGGACTGCACCATACCAGGCTGCATATGGGCCTGTTGGAGAGCATCAACACAACATTCACACAGGAGCAGGACAGTCGGAGGACCAGGGGACGGTTTCTGTGGGTGTGACGGATGAAATAAGGCATCAAGTGTAGCATCCCGCTTGCAAACACTATTAATCTCCATTCAAACTAACTGACAGTAGAACCAAAGCTCTGGCTTTTAAATACAGTAAAACCCTTTTCTGATTTATACCCATAGATAAAATGTTTCATTAATACACCGCCCTGAAATGTTTAGTAGCGACAACTTTACACCAAAAGTACTACTTCTACCAATAATAGTTTCAGTTCACAGAGCATTTTCTGTGCAGTGAATTTCACCCGAGGAAAGAGTTACATCCTCATGTGAGACTTGGCTTGCCGCGGTTGTCGTGCCAACAGAAGGCGGGTTGTGACTTACCTGCTGTACGTGTGCCATGTGGTTGTGGTTGTAGCCGTGCTGCACCTGCTGTGGGTGGATATAGACTGTCGGCTGGGCGGAGGGGAAGGATGCCTGGGGAGACTGCGGATTGGGCCCCGGGGTCATGGAGGGAGGAGTGGGGGCCAAGGCAGAATACATCTGCTGCTGTTGGGGCTGGTTGGCCAGGTGGAGGGCCTGCGCTGCTGCTGCCGCTGTGACACACAGAGACGCACCCATGGGAACACAATGGCACCGCACACAACGCCAGTGCTCCGTTCTAAACAAGACGTGAGCGGATTTCTGATGGCGGGTTGGGTGTAGTACGCATTTCTATTTCAGTTGGACTTTCCCACTTCAAATGTTTATTGAAGTGTATTGTTTACTCATGATTCAATAGTTCAATACAAGTTCAGCCTGATGCGTGATGGGAAAAGTGATTATGGAGGAGATCCTGTGTACAGTTAATAAGGTATCTACTCGTATGTCATTTTTTTCTTCTTATCAAAAATGTTTCAGGGGGCGCGTTGCACGTCTTTGAACATTTTTGTAGAAGTATAAATTAGGCGTTAAATGTGCAAACTCACCTGCAGCGGCCTGCTGGTGCTGCTGATGCTGTTGGTGCTGCTGATGCTGTTGGTGCTGCTGATGCTGTTGGTGCTGTACTGGGCTGGCAGCTGGGTGGTTAGGAGGTCCTCCATGTTGTTGTGGACCACCCTGCTGGCCTTGGCCGGTGGGTGTGGCAGAGGGCTGAGGGTGCTGTTGGTGAGGGTGCAAGGTGGCGCTGGGGTGGGCGTACTGCTGAGGCATCGGCCCTTGAGACACTGAGAGACATTAAGGAATTAAAAAAAAAAAAAGGTAAATACAAAGAGACCTGCACATTATGGTTTGCAGATGAAGAAGCGCTAACGGTGCACCGACGTACCATACATGGTGTGTGTCTGCTCGGGGTACTGTGCCGCTGACGAAGAGACGAGCGTGGGTTGGCCGTGTGTGGGAGGCGCCATCATCCCGGCACTGCCCTGCATTACCGGACTGAACACATGCTGCGCCTGGAGAACACGCGGCCGGACAGAAGACAACGTCAGCATTGGATCCAGAGGCATTCGAACACACATCCCTCTGACGAGTTCAAAAAGTAAATAAAAATGTCCATAGAACACCAAACTCAGAAGTCTTTGCTAATTCTTGTTCTTTGATCAACTGCAGTGGTGAAAAAAATCCCTTCTTGTTATCTCAAATCCTTTAACTTAATTGCGTTGTGAGATTCACAGACGTTTGCGGCAACAAAAATGAAACTCATCCCCGATCAACCACATCCGGCACCTGTTATATTCCGGCCTGATGGCAAACAAGGTAACAACTCGTCAGGCGTACGAGTGGGAACCTGTCAGCTCCACAAAATCAGTTAACACGATGCACGGAGCAGGCGTTCCGTCAAGCTGCTTGTATCGTGAGAATGAAAGCTTACCTGTGACTGGTAATGCGCCATTTGCTGCACCAGCGGCTGGCTGGTGAACTGCTGCGGGCTGCAGGTGAAGTATTGGGCAGAGTAGGCGGGGTTCTGTGCTACAATAGGGGGTCCTGCGGCCGTGGCTGGATGCATCATAGTGGGCGCGCCGGGCGGGTGGTGCTGATCTGGCCTCTGCTGGGGCATGTTGGGAACTGGAGAATCATTTAAAAGACATTTCATTAAGATTCCTTGGGGGAGAAAAAAAAAAAAGGTACTGCTGATTTGGAAAGGACATTTACAAATTGGCCTGAATAAAAGAGGACCCTTGCTATAAAATACCCCCCCTCAAACAAAAAAAGGTAGTATATAATGCTTATTATACTTGTTTAAGCACCATTAAAGTATTGCTGGAAGCTGTGAAACCATAAATACTGGTTTGTGTCTGAATGTTTTTACAGCGCACACTCAAGAGACCGAGAGAGTGAGCGCAGGGGAGAGAAGTGACTCAAAGCCACGTTTATTCTCACCTTTACCTGGTCTGTAGGGTTTAGACTGGCTGACTGTCATATGAGGCATCTGAACCTGGTACATAGCTGGAGACTGACGTGAGGAGTGGGAACGAGCGCGGCACATGAGGAAAAAAAGAAAAAACATGTTTATACTTAAACTTCTCAAGACAGTTAAGCATTATTTCTACAAGAATAAAAACAGCCCTCACTAAAATACAAGAGCAGCTTTGGATATTGCTGTGGTATTAGTCTTACTTTCAGTCTGTGTGACACTAACTATTCAGCCTTTAGCAGCCAGCCCCTCACCAAATAGACTGAGAATTATCTGTGGGGCCACATGCATTTTCTATCATGTGTTTTGCCACCATAACACTGCTCGTCATCTTCCTTTCCCAACTTTAACAGTAGACACCGTGCATTCATATCAAAACCAGCACTGCAGCAGACAGAGGCTTAAAATCCTATTAGTTTACAACTTGTTTATGTTGCAGAAGACCATCCACAAGGACAGTTTAGAATGAATTACATTAAGAAGTTGGCAGATAAACATTGCCATTTATTCAACATGGTAGAAAAACACCTCAGTACTGACAAAATGATTAAATAAATTCACAAACCTTCCATATTATGCTTTTCTAATGGAGCGAGAAAGAAAGAGGGAGAGAGAGAGGGAGGAGGGGGAGAAAAGGAAAAATAACCACTCTTTAATCATTAACAAAGGTATTTTATCCAAGTTTTTGGTAAAGCAACATGGTAAAGAATTAAATATATATAATAGTGCTCATCTATAATGGTTGTTGAACATACACACTACTAAGCGTCTAACAGTGTCTGGAAGATGACCGGGGGGGGGGGTGCGATGATGAAGTGAAGGCTGCTCATTATCTGTGTATGAAAGTAGAAAGAAAACTAAATAGCCGTAAAATGAATGTGTGCAGCTTATTAAAATGGAAATTAGAACTGACATATGTTGGCATGCATGGAAAATTAATCAGAGCCAGCGAAGGAAAGGAAAATACCAATGAGGACAAACAGAAGCAACCACGCAAGGAGACCTCATGGTGATGGTTGTTAGGGTTTTGTTTTAATGATCTTTGCATTTCATACTGATTTAATGTGATGCTCAGGGCGACATGCACAGAAAATAAAGGCATTTGTCTTAATGCCGGAATTCCATCATGCAGGTGCACTCACCTGCACTCCAGGGCTGACCGGTGTGAGGGGATACATCTGGGGGAAGCAGACCGTCTGCCCGTACATAGTCTGAGGCTGCTGGACCACGATGGAGGGGCTGGGCTGGCCCTGAGGCCGGGGGGGCGTCGGAGTGTTTGCTGGTTTGGGCTGATCAAGGACCATGTGGAGGGAGACAGACATAGAAAATGAGTTCCGTTACATTCTGAGATTGTGGTCATTGTGTGCCTGGTGGCGGCGGCAGCACTTTTTACCTGCGCATTGAACCGGGGTTTGAACTCATTGGCATTTGGGTTCAAGGTGGATTTTCTCACTTGACTGCAGGAGGGGAGAAATGGTGGAGACGATTACATTTAAAAAGGATCAGTCTGAAAGATTGCTTAATTTCCCAAAAACAGCTGAGAAACAAGACTCAAAGAGGAGTAAATAGTTCATTTCTTTGGTACAGTGCCTTCACTCATGTGGAAGCAGGAACAGGTCAAACAGCGCACTTCTGGGACACATTGATGTGTCTTTTTGAATATGAAGAGAATACATCAGGATTTGACTTCACGTTAAATACTTTACGTTGGTTCGGCGGTCTGTTCCACTCACTCGTGTACTGGCTCCTTTTTCTCCTCCTTCTCTTCATGCTTGGGTCCACTGAATGAGGACGCCGCGGTCGTCTGCACTCCCTGTGATGTCACATCCAGTCCCGCCCTCCTTTGGTCGGGGGCCGATGGAGACGGGGAGAGTGCAGCGGGGCTGCCGGGCTTACTGGAGTTTGCGGTGGACGGAGCGGGGGCACCAACGGAGGGGCCAGCAGCACCGTCTTCGCTGCCCTCCCGCCCCACTGCTGAGGCTTTGTCGAGGGGAAGCTCTTTCGGCTTGTCTCCCGCGTCTCTGGGAGGCTTGGTCATCTTCTGGTCAAAGGCAGCTTCTGGGTTTGAACTAGACTGCAACTGGAAGAGGAAGACAAGTGTTTGAGGCACATTCAAGCTCCAGGCTGCATTCAGGAACATGAGGTTTGTTATGTTCGCACACTTACCCGAAAATCAACACTAAATTTCTTTAAATTATCGATTTGTTTTCTGTGGTCTGGTGCCATAGAGGGAAGTCCTGCAAGGTGTGTATAGAGGCAGAGTTAATGATTGAGGGTTTCAGTGATTACAGAATGGTTTCTGAAAATACTGCTGCCTGGGGTGTGTTGTACCTTTACACACTGTTCTGGGGATACCAGCTGAGCTTTCCAAGGGCTTGATGTTTTCCTTGTTTGCAGTGGGGGAGGCCTGTCTGGTCTCCTGGACACGGCACTCTTTTGCTGCAACGGACGAATAGTCTGATGACTCCCAGTAAAAACTCTATCTCAACCGTTTTATCCAATAACGCAGTACACAACACACATTTTGTATCCTCCCTTAATCAATGTCAGCGGAAGTGTGGCTAGACTTTAACCATACCATCTCCTGAGGCCGAGGCAACCACAGGGGGGGCGGGGCTAGCAGCAGTAGGAGAGGAAGCTGATGTCGCCGCAGCAACCGTTTCCACAGGAGCCGTTCCTGTCTGGGCTGCTGGGAGGGAAGAGGCTCCACCAACACTGTTCTGTCTGGGGGAGCGAGGTCTGTGAGCTGAGACGGGGAAGAATTCATTAGGTTTACGTGATCACATAATGTAACTATTAGACCAAACGAGGTCAACATGTTTTCATTTACTGGTCAGCATTAAAGAATGAGGGTTAGTTTTATCACCCATGTTTGTGCTCATCGCCCTATAAAAAAGGTGCTTTTTCTATACTGTGTGAGGCGGAAAAAGGTTTTTTGGGCCTTTTAAAAAGCACCGCTCAGAGGTGCAACAGAAAAAAAAAGGTTTGCAAATTTGTTATTTTGTGTTACGTAGTCATGAATATAATACACAATAACAAGTATAGTGTAAATAAATAGAAGGGAAAGAATTAACTAGTTTACCTCCACTAACAACAGAGGACCACGTCCCCCCAGAGGAACTGCTCCTGGTCGGTTGAGTCACTGGGACCTCTCCAGGGGCATTGTGGGAAATCATATCCCCTCCTGGTGGGACTCCAGCAGTCCGACAGGGTGGCACTCTGTGAGCACGAGGCGTCCGCTGGGACTTTGGAGACATCCTGGGTGGGCCTGTAGGTGAAGAAAGGAAGTAAGAGAGACAATTCCATACGCAGAGCTGTGAGGTAAACACGCTGATCTCTGATGCCTCGTACAATCCCGCAGCGCGGGCTTCTCTTTTAAAACGCTCATCAAAAAAAGTTTGAAAAAAAAAAAAAAGCTCAGCACTGATAACATCTAAAAAATAAAATGTTTAAGTGTCACATAGTAATGTTATTGGGTGACATGCATGTTAGTGGAGACACCGCAGATGATCCTGTAAAGTGATCAAACACACAACACACTTTTCAAACCACAACCAAGTGAAGTGACAGATGAGAAATGGGGAAATAAAGGATAGGAAGTGAGGTGAAAACCCTTATTAAAGAATTCACAATGTGTCTCACAGGTAAAGGCCCAGTGCAAAACCATTCTTTGACTAAACATTAGTATGAATGTTGAACACATTTGAATAGAATACACATCATCCATAAGTATTTGGACTGTGAAATGATCATTTCAGCGAAGTTGGATTCAACACACCGACAACAAGGACTACAGGTTTAAAAGGTTTGCTTTTTGAGAGTTCAAAAGTGAACATGGCAGGATTTGTAACTTAAACAATGCCCTGCCTAATTGCAAGATAATGAAAATAGCATCATCATGGAAGACGGTGGTGAGTCTACAACCAAAGACACCTTGGGAGGCTTTGTAATAATTTGCATTTAACTAGAGTAACTAAGTACTATTTTTTTCTGTCCTCTAGTAGTGGGATCTAACACAGCCGCACTAGTGGGAGACTTTTATTACAAGTACAAGGGATCACACTGGTTAAGTGTCATCAAAGATGCAACAGACTTCTTACGTTTTCAGCAAGAGATCTAATAGAAAAAAAACTCCTTGTTTGGGAGCCATGTATATTTTAACAAATGAGAATATTTTCCTACAATCCATTCAATATGGAATTAAATAAAAAGCATAAAAAATAAAGCTCAAAGCTTGTATTTAACCCTCATTTTTATTGATATAACTTCAAATCCAATGCGCTAGAGTACAGAGCCAACACAACAGAAAATATCACTTAAGCACTGTATGTGAGGCCCGACTAAGTTGTTTTATGTAATATATCCTCATTTAAAAACTGCCAACTTCTGGTTGCATCTTTCCCATTCTTCATTCATAACTTCACATAGTTTTGCATTAAAAAAAAATTGGACTGATGGAATGGCTATGGTTATAATAATTCTAATCATACTTGTTTTCAGCCATGAAAGAGTCAGAACATTTCTAAGTAGTTGAAATAGCTTGACAGAAAGCACAACGCACACTGTAGTGCGACCACATGCTAGAGGTGAAACTGTCTGACGCACTGACAAAAGATTAGCTTAAAATTGAAACCCTCACAATACTAATTTGTAAGGAAAATCGAAAATATGACCCCAAATTAGTCTGAAGAAGCAACTTTACCCATTTGTTTTGTTCCACACTAGACCTGGGCAAACGTGTTTCTGAAACTAGTTCTCATTTAACTTTTGTGACCCTTCTAACATCTTCCAATCTAAATTGTAATGGAACATCAGCTCCATATTGAACTCAATCCGTGCCTTTGCCCAGGTCTACTCCACACTGATGGGTGGGTACCTTCTGAAGACATGCGTTTGGGCAGAGTGGAGGCTGGCGATGTGGGCCCATGGTGGGAAAAGGAGGATGAGGAGGAGGGATAGGAGGGGTGGGATGAATGAGAGGGAGGCCTGGAAGGTCGAGAGGGGGGTCTGGAGGGTGGCCTGGTGGGCGTGGTCGCCCGAGGAGGCAGGGAGGAGGGGCCAGACTGGTAACGAGAAGGGGGGCGGGAGGAAGGAGACGGACAGGGTGAGGGCCAATGGGATGAACCTAAAAAAGGGAAGGACAAATGATCAAGGATGACAAACGGCAGATAACAACCAGTCAAAGTGGGGAAACGAAAGTAAAGCAGGAATTTAAAGAAGGGGGATTAATACATATGAGAAAGAATGGCGAGGCAGAAATAAAATGAGTACTTAACACATACGGTTCGATAAATAAAATGAATAAAACAGCCGGCTTTACATCATTTACACAGTAGAGGAAACAACATCTGTGCCTCCGGATTGTACATTGTGTGTGGCAAGCAACCCCACTTGGTTGTGTGTGATTTGTCAGTCATACCTCCGTTGACCACCCTCTGGTCGGGCCCGGAGCTGGGACTGTAGTCGTGGGGTCCTGGTCGAGGAGTCGGGAGTCCCGCTGAGCTCTGAGCTAGACGGGGAGAATTCTGACGCCCGGGTCCCCAAGACATCGCCTCCCTGTTCCTCTGACCTGGAGGAATGTACTTGTTCTCTCTGGACACACACACACACACACACACAAACATGTTTACTTTAATTACGAAGGAAGTATTTGTTCTGGGAGGAGCTGCTGTTCACTTAGTGAATTTGCTAGAACTAATTTGTCTCCCTTCAAGGCTTAAATATGCTTCTCAAGCCAAAGCTTTTAGACGGCAGAGCCACCCTGTTTGCAAGCATTATGTACATATATTATGTACTTGAGATCTTATCTGTGCACTCAAACAGGGAGTACAATACTGTACTGGCCTAGTTACATTGAAATTGTCTGACACAAAGTTGTTCATAGATGCAGCCACTAAACATATTTAAACATCTCGGCCTGATGTTTGCGTGTGAGTTCTGGTCTCACCTGCTAAGTGTGTGAGCCTCCCTTTCCCCACGCACGACAGCAGTATATTTCTCCTCCTCAGAGCGCTCATCGTTCTCCAGGGCCACGCGGGCCTTATATGTGGCACTGGCCTCAATCTCCTCCGCCAGCTGGGCAGCACGCGCTTCTCTCTTAAGGAACTCTTCAGAGTTGTCTCGCTCCAGAGGGACCCTGGGAAACAAGCTCAGGTCAGACTAGTGCAAAGACCTGCCATTCATTGCATCACGCCAGGGTTAAACACTACAGATATCAGAAATATCTGGAGCAGACATTCTCTAATTGTAATTATATCTGCTCTATTAGTTTCAGTACGTGTACTGTGGTACAAAATGTCCCTGCAGGTAAAGGCAACAAAGTAACTTATTCTAATGGAGAAAACATAACATGGGCCGCACTGAGGGAGACACACATGAACAAAGAGAAGCTTACGTATATGTGGACAAGCTGCTGTCATATGTAGACAATACTCCATACTTCTCCTCGTTGTACTTGAACATGTCATTGGGGTCCCAGCCATTTGACTGATATGAAGAGAGAGGGAGAAGCAGACAGAGACTTTGACACAAGGGCCACTAACATGTAATCAGTGATCTGGATCAGCAAAACTTATTATTGCTTAATTCAAATATAAGGTTTTCCATTCACAAGCCTCATCATGTGAATGCATGTATGGATTCCATGTGCTCACAAGTGCCACATCAATAAGTTCCATCTTTTTTCTCTCACCACATCTGTATCCAGAGACTCGAGGCTGTCAGAGTTGTGTGTCTCTCCTCCATCCCATGGCTCTAGATCCTTCTCTTTATGCTCGCCATTGATCTTACCGCTCACTGCTGAATCTGTGAAGTTGTCTGTGGCACACACAAAAAATGCATATTTATGTACGTCACGCACACAAACACACAGCAGCTCCCGGTGGCACGTTGTCACATTGTTGCACACCTGTGCCCCAGGAGGCACATGGTATAGCAAAGGTCTATGTGCAGCTCGTAGCGGTTCACCAGGCACACAGTCACAAACAGACATGGGGCCGACTGGATTGAAAAAACAAAATCCTTGCAAATTATTTTGTTGGCTAATTACTTGAGCTGGTAAAGATATAAAAGTATTAATATTCTTACAGTGGGCGCAAGAATATGAGAACAGCCTTGTGAAGAAATGCAAATAGAAAAATACAAATGAATTAATTTAATTTATCATGCATCTTTATACCAATACTTTGAAAAAGAACAATAACATTGAGAGGCCTGTGGCAGATATTTGTCCATACTTTAAAAGGAACATGCACTGACATTGAGTGAAGTTACAGAATATAGGCTCAAACTATAAAAAGAAAACTACATTAGAAAGGAAATCCAATAACATGTGTGCACAGATTCCCTCTCTGCCACTAATGGACGGCATGCATTAAGCATATCAGCCACCAGTAGTTAGTATAATATGGAGAGAGGGCTGCTGATCCGACGGCACAGAGCATTTTCATAGATACTAAATTGGCACCGTGCAGCTAATTGGGCTGGAAATACATTAGTCGGAGGTGGCTGGTGTGCTCTATACGATCTGTCCACCAAGGGAATTACACATAAAATAAATCAATGCATAGTGAAGGGTAAGCGAACATGCATTTAGATTGCGGTCAATTGTAAAACATTTGGGGGCAAAGCAAATGACAGCTGTTAACACAACTTGATTTATACATCAGAATATAAATTACCGTGCTAGTGCTCAATGTTAGTTTCCAATCGGTTGCTTTCAATAGAATCATCTAGCTGATTGTAACTGAGCTGAGGTCCAGTAAGGTTTGAAATCAAGCAGAACCTCACATCCAATTATCCCAATGTCATCTGCTGATCTTTAAGATAAAGCTAAACAGCATAAGCGCTGTGTATCACAGAGCGGGTGGCACAGTTTTCCATCAAAAGCAACATCCGGTCAAAAGATGTAGCAACACTGACTTGGATCCAACACGATTCTTAGATTAGGAGTACAGATTGATACCAGAATTCAACTAATTTGATTCAAAGTAGCAAAAAGGTACCAAAAATAAATCAAACCCCAGCCAAAGAGATTGGCTTCAGTGCATACAGAGTTGTGCAAGAGGAAAAAGTCATATATTACCTGCATCAGAGGAGACTGGACCATTGGAGAGGAGAGAGATAAACGATAGTCAGAAAATGGACTTTCAGGAAGAACAAGTGACTGACACCAACAATCAATCTTGTTTTGTTTCTTTACAACTTTAGAGTTGTTTTCCTGGATTTAGTCAAATGTCTAGTACACTCTAACCACTCAAAGTCCAGCAATTACATTGATCATATGCAACGTGTTAACAAAAATGACATTTCTATCTACAGAATGAATGAATTACCTCGTTGACATAGTAACATGGGATCACTAACATTAGCAATGGCGCTTCAGATGTTTTACTTTTCCAGTCTGGGTGTACATTTCCACAATCCACACAATCGCTCAGTTTAACAACCGTTTTATTCATAGTTTTGCACCAGGGAACTCTTCAGAGCATGTGGGGAAGACCCTCATACATTATCTCGTCTTTTTCAGAAAGAAGAATTGTGTGGGTCAAGACTAAGTAGATGAAGAGGACTCATTCAGCCTCTATTGAGTGTCCTTGCTGTGGCCGGGCAAACATTGGACCAATCAATAGATCACATTAGTCTTCAGTGACTGGCCACTCACAGCAGACACCCAAGATTTAACTCCCGGCAAAGCCTCTCTAATCAAAGTGGTAACTACAAACTCAAATGGATCAACATTGTGTGTGTGCATCATGGGTCTTCAGCATGTGCAGGACGTTGTTGTGCAAAAAGACTACTGCTCACTAGATTGAAATGTGACAACACAAAGTCCCTCAGTACCTTTCCTGGCGAAATTCAGGTCCACATCTTTGAAGGTCACAACTACGACATCGGAGGCCTTGAAAACGATGCTTTCCACAATATCTTCTTTCCTGGGAGCTATGCTTGGCTCCGGACTCTTTCTGTGGGCTGCATCCAACACCAGGTCACACTAGGGAGGGAAGTTATGTCTCTGATTAAAGTGCATTCTGGAAAACAGCAAAAGCTACATTCGTCTACAGAAGTAATGAGTGATCATGGGACACGTAGGACAGAGACCGTGCAGCGTTTCCTTCCCATCAAGTTCCACAGTAGCTGGACAGGTAGGAAAATAAATGAGATTATTTTAATAATCTATTATTTCTTTAAGAAAATGTAATAATGCCAATCTTTCTATGGTTCCAGCGTCTTTTTTCCTGCATTGTGAATGAAATATCTAAACATCTTAATGAATATAAATTAAATGTCTAATTTTGAAATGTCAGATTGAACAAGCAGTTGGAAAAGGGAAGGGGTCACCTTGTGCTCAGGAAATTGGGGCACTTTTCTTTCCTCTTATACACTAAATGATGAAGAAATAATTAAAAATGAAAGATTAATGGATAATAATTCTGATAAGCAGAGGAAAAAATGATGAAAATTAAATCCCTTGGTGTGTTTCATTGGAATGAAAACCTAACGTCTTGGCCCAGATGGAGGAGCTTGTGACCTAGAATTTCCCCCCAAAACAGGTTTAACAACAAGTAGTAAATTATAGGAGGAAATTGAAAACACAAACCCAGCAAGCAAACAACACATTGTTGACTTAAGAGTGCACAGAGGGGCAGTGAGTAGTTCAGAATGTTTCACTGTTCCACTTGCGCACGCAGTAATAAAACTAAATGTGATTCTTGATTTTGGACTCAAAACAAATTGGTTGTGTTTGACCTGTGCAAGCAACAAATATAGTTTATTTTGGAGTATTCTGCGATCATGATTCACATTTCAGTCGTATAACCTGTTATAGTGGTGAATATAACAAGGTAAAATGTACATCCCATTGAGAACCTAAAACAAAGCCTCTGCCAAGTGAACTAGACAGAAATTTCTACCACTACTTGCTCTTATAAGCTGTTCATTTGGGCAAAGTGAAATTTCCCCACAGGGCAAACATGGGAGAATATTTCAACCTAAAAGGGAAGATGAAGGGCCACATACCTCGCCTCCTTAAAAGGAAAGATGGAGAGACTGATCTTTGCCCTCGCCCCCTCACGGGTGAAGCTGCTATTGGCTAGGCACCAACTTCCCGGCATAGTAATCCTTAGTCAATAGTGCTGCTAATAACTTCATTACACATCTATCTCCACACTAGCACAGTTAAAAAAAATGTTGCACTATGTGTCATTCTTACCTCTGGGCCGTATGTCTTAAATACTCCTTCATAGACTGCTCCATTTTTCACTTTCAGCTCACACTTGGTCCCCTGCAAATAAATATGCCTATTATTGTTATCAATTGTCTGAAACTGACATGCAATTAAAAGTGACAATGTTTATTTACAAATTGCAAAAAACTAGTTCAGAAACCCATCTGCTGTGAAAAAGACAAATGATTGATCAATCTCTGCTTTCATTAATGCTACCAGCTGTCTCTACAGATCACACAGGCTTTGCTTATTGCAGCGTTGACAATTTGACAAAACAGTGTGATGAAAGACAGACTGCAGTTCATTCTGCTGTTACACATTAATTTACAGTAAGCACAATTCATATAACTGTGCTTATTTCTCTATTCAGAATTGAGGTAATAGAGGAGGCAACGTAGATAAAGATGTACTAGACAAAACTAGAAATAACACATAAAACACAGTAAACATACCACCACTGAAGTCAAGACATGGACCATCCTCATATTTGCATATACACCATTGAAAATGACCTAAAGAAAAAAAAAAGTTAAATACGAAGAAATATAATTTGCTTAGTACACTCTCACATGTATGTGACATCTATTCATAACAGATTTATTACAATAACAACTGTTTATGTGCAACTTTTAAACTATAATACATCAGTTTACAAAAGACTGTTCACATGACTGCAATGGATGATCAAAATAAGTTTAAATCCAGAGTGGGGTTTTCGTAAAAGAAGCCTGCTTTTGCTGATAATAAATAGAAATCCGGTTGAGTCATTTTCAGATGATACATCCCTACGTCGTATCAAAGCCCACTGACTTATGACAGTTAACTGGTTACTCACTGCTGCGGGACCTTTACCACTGTGTCTTCCCCTGGAAGGAAAAGAAATGGCAGTGTTGTAAAACTTGCCGCCATCATCATCATCATCAGCAGCATCAGCAGCACTGACGTTACTGCTCGCATTTTAACACAAAGCCATCTCTAATGGAGGCACCTACTCGAGAGATGGTGGTGTAAATCTATGACGGTACTGAACTGCCGTTTCACAAGAAACCTCACACACATACACACAAATGCAACAAAATACACATTGAAATGTCTTCGGCATCCTCATTACATCTTTTAATGCAATGTACGGTCTGAAATTCCAAACAGTTTCCAGGACATTTTGCTGGTTGGAATGGTCGATGAGCGGCCAGCCAAACACTACTTGGAGTGGCTTCATTTTTGGTTACAAAGCGTGTCCTAAAACGCACCGCGTTCAGCAGCGGGCACGTGGCCAAAGCACTCACGCTTTATTCGACGTGGGCAACGGCCGCCACATCGCTCCTTTAGCAGAGGAAATAAAGCCGATCCAAGTAATGTGGATGAACCAGGCGCGGGTTTTTGTTGCCCATTGGGATTTCACTAGATCTTGGCCCGGCCTAACGGAAGATCCTACGCCATGAATGGGACGTAGTGTCCCAGTGACCGGGGGTGGGGGGGCAGAGGCCGGCCCGGATTCACACCGGCGACGTCCACGGCCCGCGTGCAGCGTCTGCACCGACAGTAAGCATTCACTGTACGTTAGGACGCCCGTGACAGAAATGTCATGCTTCAAGGACATTATTGCACGCGAAACAACGTCAAGGTTGAAAGCCCGTCGGTCTATAATTCCTCCTCCTCTTCCTCTCCTCCTCCTCCTCCTCACCCGCCCCATTTGTTCGTGCGCCCACACGTTTTATATCAATTTCTTGACAAACCCGTTGCAGCAATGTTGCGGTATCGTACCAGCCTAGACGAGAGTGAAACACACACACACACACACGTTTGATCATAGACCCCTGATGCCCCCCGCTGTACAACTGACTGAGGCAAGTGCACCGAATCACAAGCACGGGCTGTCAAACGGCTAATTAACGGTGTTAGCCGAAGCGGCTCCGAGCCGATAGTAAACTGATATCAGCAACTTGGCAGGCAGCATCAGCGCTACACTCGTGTGGCGAAGTGTGTGTGTGTGTGTGTGTGCGCACTGAAACGTGTCTAAATACATAAGATGATACGTTTTAAATCAACGTGCAGGACAGGGTAACATCATATCGAAGTTGTAACGTTACCGGAGCGAGCAGCGGACAGGCCTCGCTAGCGCAGCCGCAGAGCGTTATGCTAACTCGGGTGACCGACATCGCAAGGCCCGCACAGCGCCCAGGAACACGCAACGTTAACGATACTACTTTTAAACCGTTAACGGGAATGTCATCTCCCAACACCGCCACGGTTACAAGCGTCCGTACGCGAGTATTGGAATATGGCCACACTGTCCTTCGCTGCAGTGTTTTTATTTGGCTAAATTCGCTTTTTAAATTCCACAGACCTGCCCAGATTCTGTCGTCCCCCTCCGCTTCCTCCGGCACCGGAGGCGGCTGCGGCGGCACCAGAGGTGTTGCCTCCGCCGGGCTTGCTGCGATTTCCACCGGCCTTCATTGACATGGTGATCCCATAAAACGCAGCGTCTTAAAACGACCGACTTCACACCGCAAACCCTCGGCGATGTGCGATTAGGTGACAGCTCGCAAACGTTAGCAATCCTAAAATCTGGCTAGCGAACAGGGTAATGTCAACGTGCCTGCTGAGGATGGTGCTATGCTAAAAGTTAGCTCGCTAACGGTTGCTATCTGAATTAGCAATCGGTACAAATCCTAGTAAAACAGAAAAAAATGATAGTTTAAAAAGATAACAAGCGCCAATTACTCGACCAAAATGAACAGGGGCGCTACGCCTTCTGTCAACATGTTGTGTAATCCTGAGCAAAAAAATGGTTTGTCTCTAAATAGGGTTTACAGATATCTCAGGCTCCTTCCGTTGCTAACAGCGAAAAGACCAAAACAGTCTGAAAGGGGACAAAAAACAGCGGAGGGATATATGAAAGGCGTAGCGGCTCATAGCATGTAATGTTAAGCAAATGTTTCTATATTATGGTTTTTTTTTTACCATCAATCTGCTAAAATACAGCCGTAGTCGTATTGAATCTAGATCACAAAAGAAATACATATATTCTCGTTTATTTTGAGAATGATACGTGCAACATGGCACTATTTTCAGGAAGTCCTCGAATCGTCGACGGCTGGTTTGTGGCGTCCACGTGAGCCGGCGAACGAGCTTCATACACCGGCGCTCACGCAGAGAAGCCATGGAAACATTATTTACAATCGTCCCGATGTCAATACGATGCTAATTTAAACATTACAATGCGATTGCATGATGAAGATGAAGTTTCCTAAAACGTTTGGCCGTCTTGCAAATAATTGTTCTGACCTCGACAATCCTGAAAAACATAAGTAGTCAGAGGCACTTGCAGGTAAATTGCCTTAACACCATATATTATTTTATAAATATATACATTGATGATTTGTCTATACAAGATCAAATTTCGTGTCGTTGTGGGAAATTTTAAGGAATTGTTATTCATTGTGGGGGCCTTTTGTGTACTGAATGTTAAGTTAAGATAATAAAATGTTAACTGTTTATTTCTCTATTCATAATTTACGTTAAACAGGATGCGACATAGAGAAGGATGTACTAGACATAACTGTTGAAATGAAACATGAAGACAGAACATGCACCATCTTAATTTTTGCATATACACAATTGAAAATTGACATAAAGACAAAACAGTTAACTTGTGTGATATTTTCAAAGAAATACATCGTTAGGCTCTCACTTGTATATGACATATATTCATATTAGCTACAGATTCATTGCAATAAAAAGGATTTCTGTAAAACTTTCAAACTACGTCAGTTTACAAAAAACATGCCACTGTACTCATACAGTGGCGGGGAAATGTACAGCAGGAAAAGTTAACCTGCAAACAGACATAGCACAAGAAACAAGTTTAAAAAACTGAAGTGATAAAAATAATCCATAATTCCTAATATCAAATGAAATATTATATTTAGAGACAGATTATGAGGAATGGATGGGTCGGGTCTGTTATGAACATGTTAAATAACAGGGATTTTTATCTTTTGAGAAAATCTGTTTGAGTGATACAAAAAAAAGATGATTTACTGCTCATCTAATGATGCAAATCACATTTTCCAGGCACACCCTATCCTTTAGTTCCACACCTACCCAGTCAATGAAATAAATGCTTATACTATGTGAGGGTGCTTTGTATCACATTTATACACGGCCATCATTGAGTCATTGAGTCCATCCTCTGCTCCTCCATCACCGTCTGGTACGCTGCAGCCACAGCCAAGGACAAGGGCAGGCTGCAGCGGGTCATCCGCTCTGCAGAGAGGGTGATCGGCTGCAATCTGCCGTCCCTGCAGGACTTGTTCGCTTCCAGGTCTCTGAAGCGAGCTAAAAAGATCGTAGCCGACCCCTCTCACCCCGGACAAAAACTGTTTGTGCCCCTTCCATCTGGCAGGAGGCTGAGGTCCATCAGGACTAAGACCTCCCGCCACACCAACAGTTTCTTCCCGTCGGCAGTCGGGCTCATCAACAGAGCCCGGTTCCCTACTGACTGACTATAACATCCCACCGGTCACTCCCCTTCATACTGCACATGTGACTTTAACTGTAATTTTTCACTTTGTCGTCACTCGTCACTTTGTTACTTGTTCGCTTAAAAACTTTATGCTTAATATTTTTTAAATTTTTTAATATTTTACATTTTTAACTTTAACTTTATTCTCTTGTTTTATACTAACCCATAGCCTTATTCTACTAACCCATTGATTAGCAGTTCATGTTATTTTATTACTTGTGCACTGCTGTCTTGTTGTCTATTGTTACACTGTCTACTGTCACGCACCAACCGCCAAGACAAATTCCTTGTATGTTTGACATATTTTGGCAATAAATGTTTCCTGATTCCTGATTAATATCCTGACCAAATAAAAATGGACTCAACTCAACACCACACCCCTACAACATGGGACAACATTTATTAACAAGATTTATCACGACACCTTCATACTTCATCATCTTTCAACTGTTTATCTGTTTTGAACTTACAGATAAGTCAACTTTTTGTTATTCATGTGTCTTTATCTGCGTGTCTAATGCGTATGCTACTGGGTTGCGGTGCACTGTATGTTTGCCTATTGTTTGTGCAAAAAAGAGTTAATAAAGTTTATTTAAAGAAAAACGCCGGGGCCCTTTTGTAAGGACCCACCAGTGTCTGACCATTTCCAAATGTATTTTATCAAAATTTACAACCGTTAATTAAAAAATATTACGAGCATTACACGCCTAATAGGTTCCAAAGCTACACATTTACTATTCGAAAAACAATACATATCCAAAACGTATCCAATTTATACATCATGTCTATTATTTTAATCAGGCATTCATTACGGGGCTCTAATTATCTATTCCCCTTCTTATATACAGTCCATGGTGGTCCCTCTGACAAGCAACCGTGGGATTAGCTAAACAGTGCAGAGATGTGTGTATCTCCTTGGTCACCTCTGAAAACACTCTCCCTTAACCCTTCCCACCTTTGAGACTGCGTTATACGAGCGCTGATTTGTATTAGGCCACCTCTGTCTTACGGAAACATGTTAACATCTGTTGCCTGGAGGAGAACTGGAAAACGAACTTGCCAAGCTAAGCTAACTTGATAGCCCGTTAGCAGGCTCGGCTCGACGACATAATAGGCTGCTGTGCTTCTGGGAACACGGTGTGCTCGTCCTGTTCGGATCAAGCCAGCGCGAATCCAGGAGACGTATCTGCGATCTTCAGAGCATATCTTGGTCGTTTTTCTTTCCGCCGGTTGCCGTTGTTGCGTGGCCGTCTGCCCTGAGCCCAGGATGGAGGGGCACTAGCTTACTTAGCCAGCCGCCGGTGTCTTTGCAGAGCACCGCTGTCATTGCTCTGCTAAAAATACACCTTGTCCCATGGACTTTGCGCCTCCAAAAGTGGTGGCCTAGTCCACATTGGACTTGCCCTCGGCTCCTCTGTTAGGCTTGCTCGGAGTCTGGCACTCTACATGGTCACCACACTGAGTTTAGGACTACTGGAAGAGCGAGTCGGACCCCGAGGCGGTGAGCACTGCTGGCCCGATCCAACGTTTCATCCCTCCGCCCCGGTGACCGAAGGAGTGCTGTCGTTGATCGGTGGCCGAATATCATTTTGGTCCAATGGCCTTGTTCGATCATAACTAGTTATATACACGAGCCTTGGTCCAGGCCAGGGCTGCAAGACCGGAGCTGTGTGAAGGTCAGAGAAAAACGCGTTGTGTCCGTCAACTGTGTGAGACCGGCGAGGCAGACTTCATCTGTCCAGAGCACAGCACCATGTCGGAGGATAACAACGCAGACAAGTTCATCAAGGTAACCCCAACCAAGTCTCATGTCCATCTTTGTGCCAGTAGGTAATGCAGTAATTGTAACTTTTGTAGTAGTGATCCATTTGTCTCGATTTCATAACGTTTGAACGAATGAATCAATTGATCGATGCTTGCTTAAAGCTGACTGAACCGTCACTTTGTGTTGTTGTTGTTTGGTTTGGTGTGTACAACATGGTTGTCATTGTTACTTCTGTCTGCTGATTCTTAATTGTCCTTTGCATTAATAATGATTACAATGAAGGCTGCACAAGAAGGTACACTTGAATCTTTGTCATGACTTGGTGTAACACACAACATTCCTGTGCAGCTCCGATCGACCTTACGTGGTCACGGTCATATTTCCGTACAGCCCGGCTCTGGGATTTCCTCCAGGGCCTCGCTTCTCTCCCCGCTCAGGCATCTATAGAAGCAGTAAAATGTGATCTTCAGTGACCCCGGCCCCCTGCTGTCACAGTGTCAGAATGTACCTAATGCCGGGGCGACGGCGGTGGCATTGAGAAGTGAAACATACTTGGGAAGTTATCCCAGGATATTCATGGTGCTAAAACTTACAAACATGACTAACCTATTGATTAGAATACACTGAAATTGACCAAAAACCCGATTGCGACACTGCCAATCCGATCCACCAGGTCCAGCCGCCCCTCAGGCAATTTTGACTAAAATAAAAGCTCTAAGAAAACAGTCAGACTTGGCATCTGGACTCGCGTCCATCATGGCTCAGCTTTGGTTACAGCGTTATTATTTAGGCGTACAAGTTTGATTCGCTGAGTCACTCTTCGTGTCACAAGCTTTGGTCTGTCACAAACATATTGGCTAGTGAGCCAGTTTTAGTCAGTGGGCTCAGGGCCGTCCGGTCCAACGGGGGAGAACCCGACTGACCGCTGAACTGAGAGGCTGTTTAGTGTAAGAAGAGGAAATGGTGTCGGGGTGGACGTGACTCAGGAGCAACGGATGAGTCCAGATCAGGGCGGAGCTGCTGCGGCAGCAGTCTAGACGGGACACGTCAATATGTAATCCAAATGTGGACATTAATAACAATTCCCCCTAACTGGCTAGTTTGGTTCTTTTCAAAGCCGTAATTTTCCTTTTTGATGACACGACTTTAAGTCCTAGTATCCTCTTCTAGTTGACTTAAGGGCACACGGCTGTAGTTGGGGGGTTGACTTTTTGCAGCTTGGACACGCCCACCTAAACCCGGAGGCACTTTGTCACCTGACCGACAGGCCAGAGAGAGTGAGGTAATGTCCTCAGGACACGTCCGCACTGCAGCTCAGCCATGTGCCTCTGCCACTTGCTTCATGGTTGCAGGTTTGGTACCACAAGCATCGTATTTGGGAGGAGAGTCGGCCAGGTGTGAGGATGTGTATCCCAAAGGTTTGAGTTCAAGATTCCCTCAACTTCCACCGACAACGCGTGGAGTTCTGTCTCCGCGAAGGGAGCGGCTTTCCATAGTGTGTGTGTGGGGGAGGGGGGGCGTATGAAGGGTGGAAACGGGAGATAATCCGCTGATCTTGTTGACATGGCTGCCCACCAGGGTTAGAAAAAGAAAGAGGGAAATCTTCCTGGGGAGCAGGTGCTGGGGGGGCCCCGTGTTAATCTGAAATATAAGCCACGATAACAAAAATGTTCCTGAAAATGTTGCGTCTCTTTTTGGAGGTTCCTTTCCAGACAGGAGCGTTTGTTTTGTGCTTCCTGCCCCACAGGTGTGGTAATGTGATCTCGTCTTGGGGTCTGTTGCATAAAAGGTTGATTCTTATTTATTTATTTTCCGCACATCCAATTTAAGGCCTCCGTTTGTGGTTTCAGGAGACCTCCATTCTGGACGAGTACAACATCAACTGGACGCAGAAGTTGGGAGCCGGCATCAGTGGACCCGTCAGGTGAGTGCCAGAGTGTGTCGGAAGTACTTCCCTCCACGGTCTTCCGGCGTCGGATTGATGTTGAGCATATTGCATTGTGAATCCCAAGAAAGGATTAAAAAGAGTTGAATATGTATATATTGCCGCTGCGGGACAAACCCACAGTTGACTGCTGCTGCATTGTGTGGTTGTAGTCCGATCGGCTTCATGTCGGAGCAGATGTGGCGTATTTGCTAACTGAGCCAAAGTTGGTGACTTTCCCACACGTTGCCTGTGATTTTATTGCATCCGGTTCAATGTGGCACCATTTCAGCAGCAACGTCTGACTTTGACGCATTTTGAGTATTTAACATCAACATCAACATAACATCACATTGAGTTCTGTGCTCGTGCAACACATTTCTACGGGCCGCTCAATTATTTTGTCTGCCACTTCTGGAATATATATATGGATATATGGAATATATATCCATCCATCCATCGTCACCCATTTGTTACCCAGCGCAGCCAACGTTTCCTCTGCATTTGGCCGTCGTCCGATGGTAATTGTGTTTTCTGTTTGTAACACGTCGCTGCCGGAGGCTGAATGTGGAGACGTTTGGCAGCAGCGTCGTAGTCGCTGTGGGCTCATTTGGCTCAGACACAACCCGTCGCATCCTGGGCTTGAATCCATCCAACCTGACACATTTTGTAATGTGGGGACAGGAGAGAACCTGCTGGAGTTTGTTTTTCCTTAGGTTCTATTCTACGATTTGATCAAATGTTTGTCCAACCTGCTTTTGAGATCCATTCTCGTGGATCCATTAGGGGTCAACGATGCAACCCAGCAGTCAGCAGCGATGACCTTTACCTCATGAGGAACTGGTTTGAATCATGTGCTGCGTCTGAGGCACAGACTGAGGTAGTTGTCGGGCTGCGAAGCGAGACTTTCGTCCGTTACCAGAGCGGAGGGGCTGGAGATCGACACCGTCGGGTTCAAGCTGTTCGGCCTCCCCTGCTGATTCCAGCTCTGTGCGGTTTGTAGCGCGTGTCTGTATCCGTCTGTTATTTCTCCCCCTCACCTCTTTATCTCACAACCCCACCACCCAACTGTGTTATTCCTTAGGTAGGTGTTGCCTCCCAGGAAAGTGGACTTTGGCCGACGCTGAAATGTTTCTCGCAGCGATGCTTAAATATTGTAATCTGCGGTTGCCGGTGGAAGTGGATGTCTGAGGCCTTGCTGCTGTAGAGGGGAACGGGATGATGAGATTCTTGGATAGTGACGTGTTGATCGATGCAGCCCGTGTTTCATGTGTTCTGCTGGAATCAGACCGTCGTTACCAGGAGATAGTCATTGAACACATGGTCAACCTTGAATATGAAGAAGAGGAGGCTGGTGGTTCGTCTCTTCTTCCAAAGATGTAGACGAGATTCTCATGTTCCAAAACATGGTGGGGTGTTTACAAAATATTGTGCTTATCTCTACGTGGTCAGCTGCTTTCTTGACTGCGTCTTTGTGTCAGGCCAAATTTAACTTCATCAAATATAATTCATCTTTTTCTGTGCTGCAACCATGCCGATTATATAAGCTAATATCGGCCGATTTTAGCTCTAGTTCAGATTCGCAGAAATGAGATCCCTCCGTGTGGAACTCTGGCTTCAACGGGGACCTGAAACAAGCTGCTGCACAATAAACGAGATACGCTCGGACGACTAAATGTGTGTGTGTTTTTTGTGCTGCGTTAATAACATTGGCTTGATTTGATGATGTTTCTTTGTCCTCAACAAGAATGGTGGCTTAATGCCCGGCTGGGTACTTTCTAGTGATTGAGATTCAACAGATGAGGATTCAGAACGCAGAACTCCGACATCCGTAACAAACACCAGGAAAATACTACCGATGCCGTGCATGGTCTCATCCGTCGCACAGGTGGCGTTATCCTGCTGGCCGAGATGTTTGTTGACTCTTGTCTTTTGTTTTCTTTCTCCCCTGTTGTAGAGTTTGTGTGAAGAAGTCCTCTCAGGAGCGCTTGGCCCTGAAGATCCTCATTGATCGGCCCAAGGCCAGGAACGAGGTCAGAGTCGCTGTGTCTGATTAAGGCCGGTTCCGTTTGTTCCGTCTGCCTGCCTCTTATCAGTCTCCATTAATTCCCGTCTGCCTTTTCCGGGTCGATCCGTCTCCTGTGCCTGAATGCTGAACCTGTTTGTTTGTAACGCCGTCTTCCTGCGGTGAATGCGGCCCCTCCGTGTCATTAGAGGGCTTCTGTTTTGATCCAACGGCTTACACAACAGCTGAGCAGTGACACGCGCCGCCAAAACAAGCAGCCTCACACAAACGCCCACAATTACTGCTCGACAATGTCGTGTTCAGCGCCATCTTTTCTTCTAACCTTACCTCCATGCTTTCTTTTTAATTTACGTTGCCACAATTATTCAGTCTACATGTTTTTCTAAAGTCTCAATCTGTCACTTTCTTCTTATTCTGATAACTTGAATCATAGCGTGCCGTTAGTTGGAAGGAGCCTCTCTGTTGGTTGCTGAATAATTTGTTATATTTGAGTTGTAATCTACTGAAGCAGATTCTGCATTCAAACGCAATCTGTGGGCCACGGTAAAAGATACCGTTATTGATCCCTTTCTAGGCGAGCGGTACTGACCAATCGGCTTTGAGCAGGCTTTGCTCGAGCAGTCCGTGTGGGGAGCTGAAGAAATCCCGCCGCCCGTCTGACAGTGTTTTGGTTCAAGCTTGTGACACAATGCCTCAATGAGCAGCGCGCAGGTCTCTGCTTGGAGATCCGCTCGGCGCTGAACAGCAGTTTTGTTCAACGCATTTCTGTTCTGGTTGTCGTGGCACACCGCTCCTCTGTTCATTTGTTTATTTATCACCTTCAGTTTCCAGGTGGTCACCCTGCTCTCACTAACTCCCACACAGTAGATTACAGCGCGGTGTGTTTGATTCCCTCAGGTGCGTCTCCATATGATGTGTGCCAACCACCCAAATATAGTGCAAATCCTGGAGGTTTATGCCAACAGCGTCCAGTTCCCACATGAGTCCAGCCCGAGGTACTGTGTGTGTGTGTGTGTGTGTGTGTGTGTGTGTGTGTGTGTGTGTGTGTGTGTGTGTGTGTGTGAGAGAGAGAGTTCTTTGGAATGTCCTCTCGTTCGCTCTTCCTGACGCAGCCACGCCGCCTCTCCCCGTTTCAGAGCGCGACTCCTGATCGTTATGGAAATGATGGAGGGTGGCGAGCTGTTCCACAGGATCAGTCAGCACAGGCACTTCACTGAAAAGATGGCCAGCCAGGTCACAAAACAGGCGAGTGAAGACACACACGGGGTGTTTTTTCGTCCTCCCTGAATGAAATGTCCTCGATCAGTCTTCGCCCACCGGTGTTTGTCGGCGGGTTTGTTTGTGAGAATCACTGACGGCCTCCACATGTCACACGCAGCCTCACTGCTTAGATACACAACACACACACACACACACACACTCACCAGCTCAAATGAAGTGTGTTTGAAATGTTTCTTTGGACATACACGCGCGCGCACACACACAGACGGGAGTGGTGTCTCAGTCTGATGTCTCTGCCCCCTGTAGATCAGTCAAGCCTTGGAACATTGTCACTCCCTGAATATTGCACATCGCGACCTGAAGCCAGAGAACCTGCTCTTTAAGGACAATTCTCTGGTAAGTTGCTCAAGCTGTGGACAGAAATACTTTAAATTCACCCCAACTGTTGCTTTTGATACAAAGGAAATTCAACTCCGCTGGACTGTAACGCTGCAGCTTTAGTTTTTGAGACCCTGCAAAGAGGAGATCTGTCTCGACTATTTGCATTTTCAGTCCTAGTCTACAAGATCAGCCCTGCAAAGAGTCCATGGAACGCAAATGTAAAGTGAAGCTCCAGCCAGAGATCTGTCACCATGTTCATCTTTGATGCTGTTTTTTCCACAGGATGCACCTGTGAAGTTGTGCGACTTTGGCTTTGCCAAAATTGACCAAGGGGACTTGATGACCCCTCAGTTCACTCCCTACTACGTAGCACCTCAGGTAAGAAGGGAATAGCAGTCTCACTCGTCAAATGCACGCGCGCACACACACCCACACACAGACAGATGGTGACATCTTAGATGGGGATGAAAGCTGAAGCACATTTCACAATTTCCTTCTGCTCTTGTTTCTGTTCAGGTACTTGAGGCTCAAAGAAGACACCAAAAAGAAAAGTCTGGAATTATACCCACTTCCCCTACTCCTTATACCTATAACAAGGTGAGACCCAAACTATGCATTTCGGTGGCGAGTATTTCTTAAAATGAACCCTAATCTAACTTGCAGATTCCAATCTGTGGGTGGAGAGCACGGGGAACGTGGGGTATAATCCTGCTTCACACATTAACAGTAAATCCATCAAATTCAGCATGTCGCTGAAATCCAAGTTGCGTCCAGGCTTTTGACGCGCGGTTTTCATCCCTTTGCCCACATTCTTCTGGGGATTTGGGCTCCTGCCGAGGACGTCACGCTTTAAACGAATGCTTCTCTTCCACAACTCGTTCTGCAGAGCTGTGACTTGTGGTCTCTCGGCGTGATCATCTACGTGATGCTGTGCGGCTACCCCCCCTTCTACTCCAAGCACCACAGCCGCACCATCCCAAAGGACATGCGGAAGAAGATCATGACGGGCAGCTTTGACTTCCCTGAAGACGAGTGGAGCCAGATCTCCGAGATGGCCAAGGACATCGTACGCAAGTGAGTCATTCTGTCCCTCGCTCCCTCTGCGTCTGGTTATCTCATCTCGCTGTAGTCGCAGAACAAAGCATTTTTCGCTCGTCATCCGAGTGACCTTTTTTTGGTCCGCAACGCTTCCCGTCCCCGCCTGCCCCCTGCAGGCTGCTGAAGGTGAAGCCCGAGGAGAGGCTCACTATTGAGGGAGTCTTGGCTCACCCGTGGCTTAACTGCACCGAGGCCCTCGACAACGTGCTGCCCTCCGCCCAGATGATGATGGACAAGGTGAGTGGGAAGCCAAAGCCATTCTTGGCAGGGCTGAAAGTTGGTCGGAGTACCAGCGTCCTCGTCTTCCCTCCAGGCGGTAGTCGCTGGTATCCAGCAGGCGCATGCGGAGCAGCTGGCCAACATGAGGATTCAAGATCTGAACGTCAGCCTGAAGCCTTTAAACTCTGTCAACAACCCAATCCTCAGGAAGCGCAAACTACTCGGGTACTAGTCATTTTTGTCATTTTTTAATTGTTTTAAGAAATAAACTGTAATCATATTGCTAAACTTTAGCAGTTTATTTCAGTGTTTGAAGTTGAGCTACGTCACGCTAGATTGCACTGATAAGATAGCTGCTAAAGCTGAAACCAAAATCTCATTCTCTTCTTGAACTTTTCTTTTAATTGATGTTGAGACTGATGTTGTGATGTCCATGTTGCAGCCCCAAGCCCAGTGACGGTTTCTTCATCCACGACCCAGAGATCGGAGGTGAAGACCACAACGTCGCGCTGGAGAAGTTACGAGACGTCATTGCACAGTGTATACTACCACAAGCTGGTCAGTAAACACAACGCCGTCATTAACAAGGCCGAAAGGATCATGCAACCAGCATTCTGCTGTATATATATGAATACTTGTGCACTGTTTGGATTGCATATCAGTCTTTACTGGTATAGTTACCTGCGATACATTACACCGCCGACGCCATATCTACATTTAAGTGGACAAATTTGTGTTCAACTAAGGAATCTCTAAGCTGGAGATGAAAACGGGATAATTATTGTCCTTAACTTAACGTTTGCTATGTAACCCACTTTAGCGTAAGGAAGACCATAGGCATAGGTGTGCTATGCCATGTCAATGATGACCTCTAGTCTCGCGTCAAAATTTTGATAAAATTACATACATCTCCCATCCTTAATGTATGCTAAATAAATCTTGATGACCGGCCCCAACATTGCCAATGTTAAATAGCGCAGAGAGAGCGAGCCGCCTCTGGAGTGACTGTTTGTGTTTGTCCAGGAGAAAACGAGGATGAGAAGCTGAATGAAGTGATGTATGAAGCCTGGAGGTTCAACAGAGACTGTAAACACCTGAGAGACGGCCTGCAGGGGCTCAGCTGGGACGGTCGGTACCATTTCACCACGACTACAGCAGGCCATGTTCTTATCGCTTCAACCACTAAAAGCAAAGCAGCTGTTGAGACGCCTTGTTGATCCAATTCACCGGCTGTTTTCTTTCTTTGTTAATTCATCTGGCATTAGCGCATGAATATGTTTGTAAGAAGTATTTGTTTAGCTGTAATGACCATCCAAAGCTTATGTCATTACCAGCTGCCTCACCGCCAACTTTCTCATTGCAGGACGATCCTTCTCCGATAAAGTCGACCGCTTGAAGTTGGCTGAAATAGTGAAACAAGCTATCGAAGAAAAGACGAATCTCCAGGAGTCTCATTAGCAAACTGATTTTATATATTGTTTAATATGACCCTTTTTAACCCATATCTGTAAAGAGGCTTTTTTATGTAAAATAATGCCGTAATTCTTTTATTTCTTTTCTTTTTCATAAATTCACTTGCAAGACCTATTGTACAGCTGTAGATATATTTCAAATCCTTCGTACTATCATTTTTTTGTAAATGGAAACTTGCAAAGAACATTGAAAAACTATATTTTCATTTTTGCAAAAAAAAAATAGAAAAGAGAAAAATCAGTTAAAAGAAATGTATTTTCTGGGAGGGAATTTTTATTAGCTGATTGTCCAACTAGCTGATTGTCCAGGGTGTCACATGTTTTACCCCAATTATTTCCTTTTATTCTGTTCCATTTTTTTTCTTCTTTTTTTTTAACCACCCTAAGACTAATTTAATTTATTTAAACAAAGAGTTCCATTATTTTATACCTCACTTGTAGCCCGTCAGTGGGCTCTAAAGTCGAGACAAGCCGTCTTTGTTTGTTCTTCCACACGCTGTGATTCTGAACCTGCGGGCTGTAAAGGATCTTAGTCTTTGTTTTTGTGTGACCTTTTTGTTGTGTAGAGGTCACGGCAGACTGGAAATGCAGGTGTCCCAAATAGACAAGTCGCAGCCCCAAATGAACCTCGTCATTGTTGAAGCTTGTAACAGACGTAATCAGAGAGATCACGGCAGCCTGAAGAGGCACGTTAACATCCATGTGTTTTCACTAAGAAGTTAATTATTTCATATAAAGGCTTTTTTTCACATTTCTGATGGGATTCTGAGCGCTCTCCGGTTCAGTCTTCTGCTAAGGTCGTTCAGCTGTGAAACGCAACCCGCGCTGCTTTGACTTGAAGTCGTATTTACTGGAATTCAGACCGGAGCCCGTTAGCACTTGAGCCATTTCGAAGGAAGACTGCTTGCTACTTGAGCCAACGGAAACAAACACAGCCTCATTCAACAGGTTGCATTCTGATATAACCTGCAGTGCTTCTGACTGTGCAATAACCTAATTAATGTGTTCCTAGTGTGTGTGTGTGCATGTACTTGGTAGTGAGATATCATCTATCAGTCCATCAGTATTACAGTCTTCATTTCAATGGTCTGAATACCAGCAAATACTCCTCATCTTCCCTTCACGCCGCCTCCTTTAGTTGTAAATAATGTGTCATTGGTTATCCAACACGTCACCACTGCTCTAGTGCTCCAGTCTGATTTTGTTTCTTCAAAGACTGGTTGAAAGACGAAACTCTTCTTCGGTGCCTCTTCAATACATTTTAGCGTTTCCTTTGAAAATCATCAGAATCTATGAATTTCCCCTTTTTAAATGAGTTTTTTTATAAAGGAACTTTATGAAAAAAAAATATTTTTTTTCCCTTAATGAAAACATGTTTACTCCGAGTCTTCAAACGTTGGAGCAATATCTCGTTGCTGCTCAGTAAAAAACGTACAATTGTAAACTGAATAATCTTTTGTTTTGAATGTTAAGAAATGTCTTTCTAGTTACACTAAAAACATGAATAGAACCTATAATTATCGGTAATCTGCATTATCACATAGCCACACATCAACAGCTATCTTACCCATAAGTTACTGGTCTGATGATATGAAGCTGGCCTTATTCACACAATCTATCGGCCATGAAGGAAGAAAAAAAACCTTCAATTATTTATGTTTGGCCTAAAAACTGAGGGATGATTATAATTTGCGGTGCATGTTTTTCATACAGCTCCCTTCAAGTCTTAAACGGCCCGTGTTTAAAAAGGCCTTATTACGTGAACACGTTTTACGCTCAGATGTGCCTTCTCGGTCGGCTGGCATCTTCATTCCTAACTGCTTTTATCAGAGAAGCTGAATTACAGGATGAAGAGGTCAGAAGTGAGATATCAGTATTTGTCCTTTTGGCTGTGATTTGCTTGTTTTCATGTTATGAAATGAAGGCTTTCTGTCCACAAACAATCATAGCCTACTGGTTTGACAACATTGTGTTGAAATTAATATAGTTATCTGGCATAAGTACTCATTAGAAATAAGTGTCTTTTTACCCTTTATTCGACTACTCATACATTAGGGGATTTTTAGAAAACGTATAGCCTGTAAGCAGCAGCAGGTTAGCTCGGCTTCACGGGAGACTGGAAACAATTGGCCTGGTAACAAAGTGCGGCCTCCGGCTTCTCGACATCACGGTAATCAACACGTGATGAAAAGTTGTTTGCTTTTCTTCTCCTAAATGCTGTTGATTTGTAAAATCAATGCAACCAATTGGTCCTACCTGGGTCACGGTGCCAGTCCGACCATTAAATCTTCTGGTTTTTGGAGTAACACAAATATTCAAATATAATCAGCATATTTGTCAAAATGTCAAACTTTTGCTCCATTGTGTGCGGCCTTAAAATTAGTTCAAAATCACAGTATTGCAAAATCCGCGGCGCTCTTTACTAATACTTTGTTTTTTTTGTTTAACTTTGACCACGTCTGTGTGAGAATGTGACACTGCAGTGAATTGTGTATGAATGTCTTCTGTGTTTGTGTGTCTCAGTCCTACCTTCTACTGGAGGCCTATAAATTAATCCAAACTGCTTCCTTTAAATCTCCTGCTGCACCTACAAATAACCGAGTCCGTTGCTGAAGCGCAGCGTATTTATTAGCATTTCTTACCAAGTCGAGCCATATATCCTGATACTGCAAACAAAGGAAAACCCCCGGGGAAAGTCTGTTGCTCGGTCTGCCTCGGCCGTCCCAAATAAATCCCAGAGCGGCGGTTTGTTTAGAAGACACTACCTCCCTCCTCACGTCCTCTTGTTGAGTCGATGCTGCTGCAGGATCCCCTCAGTCTGTCTTTCAGCTGCAGACACATTTCACTAGATTGCAGGGTTTTTTTATACCAGGAAAGACTGCTGGTTCCCGATGTGAGCGCTGACTGCGGATAAATGAATGCGTTCTTTCTTGGGGTGTAAGATACCAGCACCCCGAAAAGGACCCGGAAGGCAGTTGAATGGTTTGTTGGGACTAGTCTTGAAAAATACCTGTTGCTTCTGTTCCCTCTGTGTAAGTGTAGAGAGGTGGGTTTTGTATCTTTTTGTTTTTTAGCCGTTCCTGTGTAAGTTAAGTGAGGAAATGTTTAGGAGTGAAGGTCCTTCTCTGCTTGAGCAACCCGTCTGTTCTCTCTGGCCTGGCAGTCATGTAGCATGCACCTGAATCCCTCAGAGACGTGTTCGATTTCTGTCTTCACAGCCAACTCTTTTGCCCTTTCTTGCCTTTCTTTGGAACATCATCAACATGCTGACTTTGTAATAAAGGAATTCTTTGACTTTTGAACGGACTTAAATGCTTTACACTGTGTTTTTCTGTGGATTCATTATTTTCTGCATTTTGCTATATTTTCAGATATTTATCGAACGTGTAAGTCCCGCCCTCCCAATTAGCGTAATTGCCGAGGTATTTTAGTCACATTCATCCTCCAGACCACGGGAAGAAACTAAACTAATTCAAATCAATTAAACTTGTCTCTATTTGACAGCTTTGAGTGGTTTACTATAATCTCTAGAAAAATCTTGACACATTTCATTTCTTTAGTATCTTTACATTTTTTTTAGTTTCTCACAGCGTGTGTGTGTTTACTATAATCGGTCATAAATTAAATATCTTCTCGACATGACATTAAGTTAAAAATATTTTATTGTAGATTAAAGAGCAGATAGAAATCTAGAAGAAAAAAAAATATTTTAAGTAATTCATAACCTCAAGACAAAAGCAGGATCACATTGATAGATAACAGAAGACACTCTTTGTCACAGTTAAGGCACTTAAACATATATCTATATCTGGGTATAGACATTTTATATATATTAAATGTTTGGGAGAGAAGCAAAGAAAACGCTCCCAGAATGGAAAAAACACCATCAAAAGATTAAAAGTTACCTAAAGTCTGTTTTACAGGGGTTGAATTGCAGGTGTTATAACCGATCCAAACATGTGATATGCAGGTGACTTTCATGATGTGATGGAGGGGAAGGCGTGTTTCAAGCAGGTTACCACACAAGAACATCTCATTGGGTTTAAAAGAAGAAATATTAAGGTTAAATGCAAACGTTGCGTTGCCTCCCAGATGTACAGTTACATTTTTGATAGCAAGCTGTAAGAGATAAGGCATTTACAATTCCTTTAGGGGGATTCTGTGGTTCAGTGATTCAGGTGGAGCATTCAAACTTAACTAGACACAAACCAGACCAATCTTTTAATCTGCGCTGGCACTTTAATGCCCAGTGGAAATGGGTTAAACACACAATATGCATGTCTGGAATGTGTTCTTAGTGCTTTGCCGCTTTCTCCATGACAACATCACAGATAAATCCATGGTAGGTTCTGAAACGCCTCACTTCAAAGCGGACAATGCGGTGATGCTGAGGTGTTTGCACAAAATAATGGAACTAAAATGCAGTTACAGTTTAAAAGGGAGCAGCAAATCCATTTTTGGTCTGTAATAAATCTCTCTAAACTCCACGACCCCCTCCCCAAAAAATAATGGAATACAGTGAAGATGTTTTGACCCGGCCAGCTCAGTCCGAGTCCTCATCATCCAAATACTCTTCAGCGTTGCTGTGTAAGCGCGTGGTGTCTGAGACAAGAGAAATGGACAATTAATGACAGGAATATTACAATAGTGTGTGTGTGTGTGTGTGTGTGTGTGTGCGCGCTGCGATGGTGCCCCCTTGGGCAGCTGTACTCACTGCCTGCCTGCTTCTTTTTGAGAAGTGAAGCACACATTGGGTTGGTGGACATCTCCAGGGCCAGTTTATTCTCGTTGTTCCTGACGTCCGTCCTCGCATCTGAAACAAGCACATTCACGCTAAAAAAAAAAAGCCCACAAACTACACGCAGAAAGAGACGGAGGTAAAACTGCGTGCCGGTCAGAGTCAGCTGGCTTTCTATTTGGAACCACACTTTTATGGTTTGACACACGCCTTTATGGACCTCTGTGCCTACATTCCACCTGCTCGCTTTCAATATCTATTTAAATAAAGAATATGACCTGCTTGCCATTTTTTTTCCCTTCATAAAAGCAAATACAAGACAAATACTGGACACTCACCCTTGTTCAGCAACATTTCCACAATGTCAGAGTAACCCTTCCAGGCAGCAGCGTGCAGAGCGGTGTCGCCAAGTTTATTCTGAAACACAAAGCATCAACATCACCGCTCTCTTAATGTCACAGCTCCTGATTCACTTTTACTTTACTTAATCGCAAACCACAGTGGGCCCATATAGACTTGTAAGCTACTTCTTGCAGCTTTCATGGACCCAATTTTCTAGAACATTTATAGAATATTTTAAATATCTACAATTGGCAAGAAGTTATTGGAACCTATTTTTCAGATATGTAATTCTTCAAGCAGGATGATTGTGTCCCCCTCTTGTCCTCATGGGGACACATAGGGGACGTGACCAAACACAAGGTTCAATCATAAATTCAGTAACATGGATAGCTCCAATCGACCCGGCAAAACACGTTAGAAAGTAGATCAGTTCACGTTCCTTCCTGGTTCCATCAATGTTTGCAAAATGATTCTCATGCTGCATTGATTATCTTAGATTAAGCCCATTAAATATATCTATGCTATAGGGTCTATTGATTGAGTAGAATGAATATGCGGAGGAAAATACATTTGGTCGAGTTCCTAAAAAGACATTTGAGGTTTTAGACGTGTCCCCATTCTGCAAATCTTGCAATAAGGGACACGCTGGGTACATTTAGGTAACAGCAGCTCAATGCTTTGATGCATTAGTTTGATCTACATTCAGGCCTCAGTGCGTTTTCAAACTCTACCTACCTGCTGGTTGAGCTCCACGTTGGTTTGGCTCAGCAGCACCTCCACCACTTCTGATACAGAAAAGAAAAAAGGGAACTTTGAGCAACTGATTTGCTGAAGAGTTTATGTATTACAAAACAATCATGTGGGAACACTGGAGGAACACACGATAACTGGAACCGTTTCATAGACAAAGTTCCTGTTTTCATGTACTGTGTTTCAATGTGTAGAACTGCACACAATCTGTCAGTCCATCATCACCGCTGCCAGTGTGAAGGGTTCGTCATAAGGAAAGAGTAAATGCTAACGCGTTTTTAACGCCGGTCTGTTACCTTTGTGTCCCCCGTGACACGCCCAGTAGAGCGGCGTGTTTCCCGCTTTATCGAGCCCATTGATTCCAACCTTGTTCTCCACACATTCCCTCAGCCAGCTCAGATTGCCTGTTCAAATAAACCAATGTGAGCACACAAGGGGTTAAACTGAGAAGGGCACTAATAATAGAAATAGTGCAACAGCTCTTCAGCAAGGAAAGACAAAAAAAGGTCAATGTTTTTTTTCTTCCTCCACGAATAAAAAAGGTCACACATAAAATACAATAATAAAAACACTTGTGGATGGTCGCCACACCTCGTTTGGCTGCTTCGTGCATTGGATTGTCGATGGACTCCGCCTGTTCAGCCACTAAAAAGACAAGACAGTCCAGCGTTATCTGAAACTCACTGTCAGGATTCTAAAGTGTGTCCGTTGCTTACTCACCATAGTTACTCGGAATGAGTCCCGTCCTTCCTCGGCACGTCCCCTTCCACCAGTTACTGTCAGTCTGGGGATAATAATAATAATGTAGAAATTGAAGGGAAATAGTAGTGCAATAAAGAGGGAGGGAAAGGGAGACTTTTTAAAAACTGAAGGGTGGAAACAAAAAGGGAGACATAAAATGCAAAGACTGCAACTGAGCTTTCAAAAAAAAGGGGAAGAAAAAGTGCAAATTAAGGTAAAAACTGATGGGACACCGAGAGGGAGACAATTGTTGAGGCTTTACTTACTGTGTCAGAGATATACAGAAAGTCTCCTTCCTCAAAGAACAGCTCGTCTGGCTGTAATACAAAAATAAGAATGTGACTGTATAAATCAGCCAGTTTTATGCCATCGACGGATTAGACGGATTCTGCATTTCATCCGCTTTTCACCCTTGTTGTTAATGACGAATGCTTTGAATGTGGTTAAATCTAAAACTAAAAAAAGGAATTAGTGACACAGTTTAGCGGCCAGGTTATTTTTATTTTCCTTTAAGTGCTTCTATGGCATTTTTTTGATAATGAATTAATTATTTGATTAGTCATTCATTATTTTCATCTTCTTAATCATGAAGGAACAGCTTCACTTTGTTTTTAGATTTCATAGCTAACTTGAGATCTTATGGTTTTGGGCTGTTGGACAAATGAGCAGCTTGTAGAAATACTCTGAGAAACAGACATTTTTCATATACATTTTGAGAATAAATATTTTGATAAGATAGGCAGTACGTTTTTGGCGTTGTTGGGCAAAATGTAAATGATAATCTTCAACGTATTTGTAATATTTCAATGTAAACAGACACACTGGTTTGAGGCTCTCCGCCGTGATATTTAGGCCACAGTTAGCAGAAGGCTAAAAATATTAGCAGGATTTCCTCTCTGTGAAATGACCTGTTATTTTATGTGGACATTAAAGTCTATTCAAGTCCCCGTTTATTCAGACTCTTTCTGGCTTTTATTCTGCACGGGATTTGGGATGCTGCCATGACGGAGTTAACGTGATTCACATATTGGAATCATGGAATGTCTAATGAATAGATATTGAAAATAAAACTAATGGTTTTTCGACAATCAATCAAATATTAGGAAAACAATCCACCTAAACGAACAGAGATCTCTTACCGTTCTGGGGTCAAAGGTGAATAGCGCTCGGAACACCTTGACTTGGCCTAGTTGAGACAAAACAGATTTCACGTTAGTTTAAATATTTGCATGGTTGCAGAACGTCAACCTCATTCAAAATACTAGTACAAATATAATATACAAATATGATAGAGAAAGCGAGGTGACACTACACCTTCTACCACTCAACAGTAGTTTTTCCCCCCTGATGGCCGATTGAAAGAAAATACATCTTTCACATTGGCCTCACCTTTCAGAAGAAGCGCTCGCCGCCTGAACATCACCGGCAGTCACCTGACCTAAGAGCCCCCAGCATGTGACTGAGCATTGCAACCTGCACTCAGATACACCGCTCCTCATGTCTGCCCTCGAGCCCTTTCCCCTTCCACCTCAACTACACTGCACCTGCCAACAACACACATTTTTGTGCGCACAGCGGGGACAGAAACGCGTAGCTGGGGCTTGCGTGCAGCCTGGAGGTTTCTGCAGGAGATGTTAGCTTTGCTGCTGGAAAGATACCGGAGGGAATGTGGCAGCTGAACCCGTTCTGGCCGCTGAAGGCTGGTAGATGCCGATTGGTTGAGCTGACGGGGTTTACCGTAGGAGAGCCGTGCCCCCCCCCCTCTACCCCCTCTCTCTTCTCTGCTGTTTGCTAGGCTTTCTGGTTAGCTTGCACACTGTCTCAGTGTCTGCAAAGGGACGAGGCTGCACAGGCCCACTCTGTTCGGCACCAGCCGCCACGTCTGCTCTGCAGGCCCGGTCACGTCCCCGGAAACACACCGGAGGCCTGTGCCGACTAGTCCGCCTCGTGTCTGGGATTTTAAAGCCTGAGACTCGTACAAAGACTGTCTAGTTGAAAAATACAAGAGAAAATGTCCTCAGAGTGAGCAAAACAGTCAGTATATTTTATTTTGCATGTGGACTTTGATGATTTCCAGCTGTGGTTATTTCACCGAAAGAGCAACTCCGACAGTCTGGTATCTCCCATTCCTTCACAAAGCCCAACACAAGAACCCAAAAACCTCAAAAGCTTCCAAAAATACGACACCAAGAGTCATTTGCGCAGACACAGTAACATGCTGCCCCAGAGAATACACACAGATCTCAGAAAGAGGAATGTAGAGTTGCCCTCTACATTCCTCTTTCTCTCCAAAAGTATTCCTCTTCACACACAAGCCTGTTAGAGGACATTGTTCAGGGAGTTTAGTTTACCACTAAAGAAAGAGATCATGGGACATAAACTGAAGATCCCTTCAAGTACGAGCTACATTATGAATTCCATATTTTGCTTTGCCTCCTCAAAATGTCCAACAAGCTGAGAGAACAGAGAGGACAACTATTTCAGAAGCGCCCAAAACCTGCACATCACGGCGTGAGAATATCTCCTGCAAGATGCTCACGATCCAGTGAAGATCCATCAGCCACACCACCAGCCGTGACCCCTGTGAGGGGTTAACGGAAGACACCAACCAGCCGCCCGTCGAGACGGACGCGGGACAGACGATCTCACCTGCCGCCACCGCGGCCAGCATGAGCGATAACGCCGTCTGTACGTCCATCCGTCGATGGAGGCGCGTGCGCTTTGTTTTCACTGCGTGGGCCTCGGCCGAGGCCTGAAAAACCGTACAGATGTCTGCAGAAATTTACTGCACAGCGTGCGTTTCCATAGATTCTCAGAGCTACTCTCAGCCACCAGCTGAAATCGCCCCTGCGATGAATCCAAGTTGGTGATAACTGAAAACTGTTTATTGAACTTTGTGCTTTATCATTCACGTATTTTGTCTCATCTCATTCAGCGCGTGTCAGTAAAGGCAAACTAAATATCCACGTTGAGAAAGATCGGTAAACGTTTGTCAACGGGAACAACCAGCCAACCGAAAAACCGAGCGCATGTTTTTACACCAGATGTGAAGATGAAATTATTTTCTAATGTTAGCCTTTCAATTTTGCCATGACACCTGGTTGCGCAGAAACAACCTGCAGGGTTTCCTCCACAAAATGAAGGTGTCTTGCCTTCCCATCTAAAGTCATGTGCACGCACATTAAATGTGCTTTTGAGCGAACCAGCAGTCATACACTCATTTCTAGGATGGAGCCACCGGCACACTGGGCCATGAAGGAAGTGACGCTGCTGTCACCGAGCATGGTGACTCCTTGTCACCTCCTAACCTACAGCACGAAGCCACTCAATGAGCGCACTGTTCTAGCGTGTGTGATGGAAATAGGGAAGTCACACGGGCCCGCTGCGAAGAGTTAGATCCCCCTATCGATCGTCCCTGGAGGCCGTTGATCCACCGTGCTGGTCCTCTCTGCAACGACGCGTGTTTAACGTTACATTCATCGGGAGTATAAGGAGGAGCCCCCCCGCTGAGAGTGTAACAGAAACGACACAAAGGAGCATTTCCTCCTCACCGCCCGCCCCATTAGGCTCACACCGCCAACAAGGTGTGCGGAGTCCTCGCGGGGAGCCTCGGCGCAACTTTGCTCAAACATTTCAGCGGCAAACCTTCTGCTCTTACCTGGTTTGGCCGGCTTCGGAGGTGGCTTCGACATTTGCGAGGCTCGACAGGTGAACAAACGAAACCCGCGGTACGGTTTCTGTCTGACACAAACGTCGCTGGTGTGAAAACCTTTTGCCGTCTCTGCCAATGAGGAAGTGCGTGCAGCGCTGCGGGCTGGGCGGAAAGGCCGTGGTGCGCATGCGCACATGCGAAGCTTGTGAAATGTGTCAATATATGGGCCAATTAACACGTATAGATGTCTAGATAGTTAACCACAAAGATATGTTCACAGCTCAAATAAAGAATTCCCATAACATTTTATGTTAATGTAAAAAGTCTAATAGTTTTGGTATATATATATATAAATAAAAAAAAAAAATTTTTGATATATATGTATTTCGATATATTAATTTGTTTATATATCAAATACATTGGGCAAAACGTTCAGGGTTCATATACAACTCGTATATATATATACAATCTATATAAACAGGTGGATGTAACCCTGTTGTGACCTGATTGATTTGACTGTATACGTACATGCACGTCAGATGACGTAACAGCTGCATCAGCGAATCACGAACCGATAGCGGGGAAGCGCGAGGACGTCGCTCTGCAAGCGGCTGAAGCAACGGACGGATCCGTCTCCACGTTGGCTGCTAACTCACTGCCAGCAGTGGGTATTAAACGGTGAGATGAAGACAGTAGTCGTAGGAGTCGGTGGGTAAGTAAGTCCTGAGGCCCCAGCATGGTAACAACCCCCCCCTCCTCCTCCCCCTCCTCCCGCATGCCCGCATGCCCCCCCCCGCATGTGCTGCCGTGTTGACGCGCCCTGCGTTGTTCTGCTCGGCTCATTTCGCCTGTAAATAGCCTGTAGGACCCCAGACGCTGTTTTGCAGGCGTCAGTTCTTCACACCACAATTATAAGATATAAAGTGGGAAAGTGCGCTGTTATTCAAGGAGTTCTACCTTAACCACAACCTAGTGGAGCAGCACGGACGGCACCAGATCAATACAGCACGTGACAGATAAAGACTTTGCAGAGGAATACGTTGCATGTGTCTAATGTGCAACTGAGGAGTTTTTGATTATTCTGACATTGATTTACTTTCCAGACGTGCAGACAAGAGTTAAGGCATTGAAGCGTTTGTTTGTAAAGGCAAAAATTCAGTATAAGTGGCTCATGCAAAACCTGCAATTACATAAAGCAAACTGTGAAGAACTTTTAATGCACCTATGAGTGTGGTTTGGTTGAACCTCTGGCCACACACAACAGTGATGTCACAGTGTGGTCAGATACGTGTTTTGAATGTGACATTTTAGAGAAATTAGAATATAAACTTGGCCTTTGACAAAGAGTGGCCCAGATATTCTTCTTCTATTTCTGTTATCCAAGAAAGATCAAATTAGACACATTATTTCTGATAAGGGTCTCTTAATATATGTGACTTGAATATGTACCAGGCAAGACATTTTACAGATAAAAACAAAAATGTCTGTACTGCAATTTCCCTTTTTTTATTGGCTGGCACACATGCCACGTGTCATACCTGCAAGAAGCTGATATCTACTGATGTTCTTTTCTTTCAGTACGACCAATGGGGGGAAATCAACTCTTTCCAAGAGTTTGCACCTGCAGATACCCAACAGCTGTCTCATTGCACAGGATTCATATTTTAAGGTTGACTTTTTTTTCTAATCATATCATACTTTTTGCACTGACAGTTCCGACACCTAAACGTGAGCATAAGTGATCACAATGGATGTTCTTTCCTTCAGGAAGAGTGTGTGGTTCCAGTCGACAGCAACGGGTTCAAGCAATATGACAGTAAGGACACTTTTAATTGTTTGTTGGGGACATTTTGGGTGACGCTGTAATCCGTTTAATCAGTCATCATATGAAAATGCTTGATAGATTTATGCATGAATGGGGAATGCACAGGAGTCGCTACAGCTGAGAACACTGCACACCGTTTTTGGTATTTTTTTCCGGTGTTTTGGGAGACCTGTGAAGAAAATATGATTTTGAGACAATATTTAGACCATCATGTTGGCAAATACAGTGAAAGTATGGAAAATATACAAAGTCATAACTGAATAAATTAAACAACATGTTATACTAATGAGAGAAAATTAGCTAATGTTTATTTTACTTGTAAATATCTATTCTTTTTTAAATAATAATCCTTGTAAAATATTGTTAAATAGTGAAAACTATTAGTTACAGTTTCCCATTCAAACAAGGAAACAAACAAGCAAACAAACAAGGAAACCCTCAAATTCGAGAAGCTGGAACCAGACAATGGTTGGTATTTTGATAATAAATGACTTTAATAATGCAACGGATCTTGTAATACTTTGTCTTGAAATCCTTCTCATTGCATTTTGCTGAAGAGCTGGATGCTCTCCACATGGACGCGATGATGGACGAGGTCAACTCGTGGAGAAGAGATCCTGAGGCGTGTCTGAGGCGGCGAGGCCTGAACCCAGCGCACGCGACCCCATCGGCGGACGAGGCGGTCCATGTGCTGATAGTCGAGGGCTTCCTCATTTTCAACCACCGGTACACAACGCTTTAAAACAGTGTTTATGATTTACTGGCCCTTTATCACCGCGTTACCAGGAAACAACTCTACAACTTCTCTCTTCAAAATCAGAATAATAAGATAGTAGGTCATTGTGCTGTAACTCACTAATGTTTTTGTGTGCTTTACCTTTCCAGCCCTCTGAATGAGATATTTTGCAAAAGATACTTCATGGAAATACCTTACGATGTCTGCAAGAGGAGACGAAGGTGTCAGAATTCAACATCAATACACTTGTCTTTTCTTTTTGAATGAATTTGGTTTCAGTTTTATTTCCACGAGTTCTGTTCGAGCTGCAGTTTCCAAAAATGCGGAGAGAGAACGTTTTTGTCAATGTGTTTGCCTCTTTTGCAGTTCGAGGGTTTACACACCTCCCGATCCTCCGGGGTACTTTGATGGACACGTGTGGCCAATGTACCTGAAAAACCGGCAGGAGATGGAGAGCATGGAGTCTGACATTTGTGAGTGTCCAGTTGGATATGCCACGTGAAAAGCATGTGATGCTGGTGATGAAATAAATAGAATTGTGAGAGCAGTCACGGTATTTACGTGGTTGAGACCTCGAAAACAATGTTACATTTTGAAACTTCTTTCACTACTTATTAGGAGGAAATGACAGATTTATCTGTTTTTCATTAGTGTTTCTGGATGGACTGAAGCCAAAAGAAGAACTTCTGGCTCATGTGTATAGAGATGTTTGTCAGGAAATAGAAAGGCTGAGGGGTAAGTTGCAAACTATATTAAACAATACGTTGAATCAAATCAAACCTACTTGTTGTGGCTTCAGTAGTATTTAAGTATTAGTACTATTTTAGTTAGGTTTCAAACTGTTTAACACACACTGTTTAAAAAGAAAAAACAACTTATTTTATTCTGTTTGCAGAGAAACACTGAGGTGGTCCAGATTTAATTTAATTTGAAGAGTGACCGCTGCTCCCATGTGTGATGTGAGGGAAGGTGTCCATTTCTATCCGATAGATAATAACTTTTTAAAAACGGTGTGTAAGGATTTAATGATGCTGCAGCGACTGAAGTTGTTGGTGCTGGAGAAGGGACACAGACTACAAGTCGTTTATGTAATAGACAGTATTTTAAAATTAGAATCCACTCTGAGAAACCAAAATGTGTTTTTCATAAGTTGTTGATGAGTACAGTCGACGAATGTGATATCTTACAATTTTTCATATCTTTGCATTGTTTTTATAGTAATGTATAAAGGATTTTTTTTCTTTTTTTTTATCAGACATATAGATACTGTGTACATAATAAATACCCCCCCCCCACCCCCCCTGTGGAGGGAGAGGCCGAGTCTGGGCCGGCTGCTGTCCGGGGGTCCTTAGATATGAATATCCCATCGTCCTTCTCCAGAATAGAAAGATGTGGGGGGCACGGGCCCGTTTTGTGCTGTGAGGGCTGTGGATGGGTTCAGGACTGCTCCTTTGTCTTTCAAAGCGGCAGCAGAAGTCATTCAGCTCGTTGGCCAGGCGGAGGTCGTTCATGGAGTGAGCAGCTTGTAGCTGGTGGTCTGTCTGAGGCCTCTCAGGACTGGAGCCTCTGTGAAAACACACGCTTGGCGTCTCTGACCGCCTCGCCGAAGAACCTGTGTTTTACACAAGTCCCTGTCCCCACTTCTAAACGTCTGATCCTCGAGCAGCCGCAGGTGTCTGAGATCTGCTGTAAACCAGAGTTTGTCATTGTTGTAACTCACCCTGGTGCATGATGGGACACGGCTGTCTTCCCAGAAACTGATGTATGTCGCCTAGGCCCCTGCCTCATCTAGACTACTGGTAGCAGTCTTGAAAATATTGCAGTCTGTACAGTGCAGACCCACCTGTAGATCCTCCCTACAACAGGCTTACAGCGTTTCTGCCTGTATGCAGGAATCCAATGCATCAGCGCGTGGTCAGTGTCCCGTGCAGCGTGAGGGATGGCGTCCAGTGGTCCAGTGTGTTCTCCTCTGGTGGAGCATTTAACTAATTGACTGTGTTTGGAGAGTCCATGGCTGAGGTTTCCTTTGTTCCTTTTATTAAAGTCTCCAAGGACAATAACCAAGGAGTAAATAGGAAATAAATAGGAATTGATTTAAAAAATGGCCTCTCCTTAATTTATTAAAAATAGTCATAAACCCCTTGAGGATTGTTACATGTCTTTGTCCGCCTCACGCTGCACCTCATTTAGAATCCTATGAATAGAAATCCTGCTTCCATGCTCTGGCTGAAACCTGTTTGACAACAGTATGAAGCTCAGCCTGCCGTTTGAACCGAGAGCTGCTTTCTCCAAAGCTCTCGTGCAACTTCCTTTAACTTTTGTACAATCGTTCTGCGACCACTGAAGTTGACATTGTTTCCCGCTACATTAAATGATAAAGTTCTCAAAAAGTCCGTGCTGTCAGCTGCAAATCTATGTGAACCACAGAAGCCAACTCGCGTGACGCAAGTGTGCAGTTGAAGAGTTGTCACATGTAAATCTGGATATTCCTGACTTCCCTGTACTGACTATATCCTCTTCTAACTCGACATATATAATCGTCTCCGGCAGGTTCTCTCATAAGTCAAAGCTCTCTTAACGACCTCACACCTTTTTCTTGCTGCTCGGTTTGACCCTGGATATTGAGGCAAGATAATGTCTAACACGGCATCGTCAACATACGTCTGCTTGTTCTTCGCCTGCTGCTTGTGTTACAGCGAAGCTCTGCCGGCTAAACTCAACCCCGAGGCTGTGAGCGACCGACCTGTGATCGGTGAGTGAGGTTTGTGGGATAAAAACAACACGACTGTTTCTTTGCAGCTGTGTCACTGCAGAGGTCTTTGTCCCACAGGTATCCTGACCCAGATAGTTTCAGACGAGGAAATGAAACCGTTCGGGAGGACCTACATACCTTCCTCCTATGTGAAATTCATCGAGTCCGGGGGAAGCAGAGTGATGGCGATCCGGTGGGTTGAGTTCTAAAGACAGACCACATTATACCAAATAGCTTTTTTGGACCGTTTTGATTACATTAGTCAATTTAAGCAGCAAGAAAATGGCATTTATCGAAACAATTAACACCATATATTGCATAATTGCGTTTGTCTTCTACAGATTGACTCTTAAAACCACTGAATATGAAAAAATCTTCAGTAATATCAATGGGTGAGCTACTTCATTTGAGTTGTGGAAGTGAAATAAAATGACATCTCTCAAAATAAGACACTAATTTCTACGCTAACTGTGTGCTGTCTCTTTAGCTTGCTTCTCATCGGGGGAGCAGCTGACTTAGAGACATCAGACTTTGCCAGGGTGGCAAAGATTTTTTACAGACTCGCTCTGATGGTTTGTTCAGCAGATCCTTATTTCCATTGTTTCATTGTGAAGTTTAACACAACCGACAGTACGTGGAGCTCCTACATTAAAACTCAGTTTTACTATCCATTATCCATCAGGCATTTTACTCTGAAAGGAAGCTTTGCACTGCAGTCCGATATATTTGATTGTTTGTTTTTTACATGGTAATTATGCTTTAATACAAATTTGAATGCAGGGTTTCTTTCCCCTAAAAATGTAGTTTTGTTTTTGCAACAGCGACCATGTGTTGTTGTTTGTTTCAGACACAAACACATTGACTCTGTATGTGTGTCTAGGCCAATGATGCCGGGGACTATTTCCCCATCTGGGGTACGTGCATGGGCATGCAGCTGCTGACTGTGCTGGTGGCCGGAGAAGACCTGCTGGAAAGAACCTCAGCTGAGAACATAGCGATGCCCCTCGACCTGACCCCAGGTCAGCGCTAACTGCTTTATCATTGTTTAAGGGAATGTCTTCCTTCATCCACAGCACATTTAGTAAATGTGTTATAAATTGGAAAAAGTCTAAGTCTAAATGGCGGAAAAGTCTAAACAAAGTGAACTATTTCATTTCCAATTGTCTAATTGTACTGAATCGTACCACTTGGTGTCAGTAGAAGCGAGTTAGAAATCAAAGTATGTTCAGTTTTTTGTGTTATATTAATCTGTTTGATGAAACCATATCACTTCTACGTTAGGTTGTTTTTCTAACAAGTATTTCTCTTTGTAGAGGCCAGTTCTAGTAGGATGTTTGAGGGTTTCCCCGACAATCTTATGAAGGCTTTGACTTACGAACCACTCACTGGCAATTTTCATAACTATGGAGTGGCAGTCAAGGTACAGTAAAGTGTCCCTGAACCGTATGATTCACTTCCTGTTCTTTTAGTCAGCTGCTACTGTGCTGGGAAATAAAATTAGAGGCATTATGTCTATATGTGTCTATAGTATAAAAACCCAATACAAGAACACATTTTTATCAGTTAGGTGGCCTTACAATAATGACAAGGCTAAAACAGGAATAGTGCTGTGAGGTTAATAAGAACAAACGTCTTTTCAGACCTTCCAGGAAAATGAGAAGCTGCAGAGTTTCTTCTCCCTGCTGTCTACAAATGTGGCTGAGAATGGAGTCCGCTTTGTTTCAACCATAGAAGGTTAAATTGTTTTGTATATCAAACTATTACCTTTTAATTTATTTAAATTATTATACCATAATAACTAACAAATATATTGTTTTGTTTCTCCCTTCATTCCAGGTAAAACACATCCCTTCTATGGAGTGCAGTGGCACCCGGAGGTGAATCGTTTTCAGTGGAACATCAGGCTGAACTTTCCTCACTCGGCTCACGCTGTTCACTTATCGTCTCTTCTGGCCGAGTTTTTTGTCAATGAAGGTAAGATGATAAATAACAATTTCTTTTGATTCGATTAGTTATGCAATCTGGTTTTGGGTTGTAATGAAATAACCATAATATTTTCCAAATTAAGTTTCTGGAAATCTCACAAACTATATGACTCCAATAATAAGTGACGCGGTTAGCAGTTGAGTTTATATCAACCAACAATAGTATAGAGTAAGTGCTGATGTATAAAAAATACATAAAACAATTTTTATTTTCTACAGTAGGTGCTGACTAATATATTGATTGGTGCATATCTCAATAAACCTAAAACAACATACTATTTGGGTTGTAGGTGCACACGTCGACACCGCATCTGAAAGTTAAATGCATCAATCTTGTGCACTTTGAGAGCAAAATCTAGATCTCCAGAGAACTTTGTGCTCTGGTAAACATGTCAATCATACACACATTGGTTGTGTAAATAGGTTGAAGACAAAGCAAAAAGGTCATAGTCATAAATCAGGGAAGGCGAGATCGACTTGAGCACACAGGCTTCATACAGTTAATTTAAAAAAAGAAAAATTAGAGAAGACAACTTGATTCTCCCTATAAAGGAAGCGTCACCCAGCAGGTTTGCAACCTGTTACGCCAATTTCACAATTTGACAAAGTATCCTCCATGAAAATAAGATAAAAGAGAAAGAGACAACTAATTTAAGCCTCCCTGAACAGTAGCCATTAAGCCACTGCATCTGAAACTCATGTGATCCTGAAACAGGTTGGTTATGTGACTGTGGTAAAGCTTGTAAATGACCTAATGCAATGGATTTGTGTACGATGGCACTGTCTTATAGCACTTTGTACTTTGGCTTTCTTGAAGAATTTGTACTGTCTTGATTCTTGTTGTTGTGAGTCTGTACCCTCTTTGTTGAATGCACTGAGTTTGCTCTTCTGAGTTTGTATCCCTATGGTTGAATGCACTTATTGTAAGTCGCTCTGGATAAAAGCGTCAGCTAAATGACATGTAATGTAATGATTGTGAGTCACTTTGTCACTCGCTGGCTCTCGGTGTGAATGCAGTGCTCCAGATAACCCTTCCTGGAATGGAAATCACAGTCTGATCTTCGGACTGTTGCCTAATTCACTGTAAAGGACCGAAATACACACGTACATTAAGCTTACCATGTGAAACAACAACCAGTGTTTAAACCGAGGCATTCATTTGTGGTGTTTTCCTGCACATATGCATAATCAAAACAAATATTTCCCGCAGCAACTACTGAAACTGCTCTGACCTACAGGCCTCTTTTTTAACCGACGGGCCCTTCATCAGTGGAGCCTTTTGGCCTAATGGGGACTACTTGTCCTTTTGTCCCTCTCTGAATGAAACTCAGCTGTGGTTGTCTCTGCTGCTGCCCCTGCTGTCTCCTCTGCTACAACGAAACGAAGAGCAATAAAATACCACCCGTACTCCACCCGTTTATCTCTTTGCAAACGCCTGTGAGGAACCAGACAGGCCACTCACTAGCAATAGATAAGGGCAGTGGAGAAACAATGCTGTGTCAGCAAATATTGGCTGGGGTGGAGTGAGAGATGCTTTGCTGAAGCTACGGGCAATCACAACTTTAGGGAGATTTTATGTCCACATAAGTGTAAATGTTTTTGGTTAATTGAAAAAAATGTGTCTGCACAAACTAGACCCATTTGGCTCCACCAGAGGCAATTAATGGGAAAGACTTCTAATACAAATACCTGGTGGTGTAGCCAATGAATCCACATTAAGCAAAAAAAAACATAGTGATGTGATTACTGTATCAATCAACTCAATGTTTTAAATCTGTTTGTTTCCAATTGTCCCATTGAGACAATTTGCCGATATTATTATATTCTAATCACATGCATCTCTCTTTGTTCAGGAAGGAGAAGTTTACATCACTTTGACAATCCCGAGGAAGAGGCCTCGTCACTGATTTATAACAACACGCCCGTCTACGCTGGAAACTTCACAGCATATGAACAGCTCTATTTCTTCTGAAAGCCTCCAGCAGCTCGGCCCATTTCACTCTGCATGTGCCACAAAGCACTTTGCATACAGTCATGGGGGGTTTTAGTCTGCTGTTGTTGTTCTTATTTGTATAAATACACTTTTTTTTGTCATTTTGGAGATTGACTTCTTTGTATTAGAACATCTGGATGGGTCTTAGTAAGTTGGTAAGTTAGTGAAGTAAAAAGCTATTTCAACTAATAACTGCTTTTTATTTGTTGTCTTTTTTAATTTACTTCCACAAACAAGCATATTTTATTATGTAATGCTTTATATGTGGTTTTATTTACCACACTTAACTCACTTGAATGATTTCAGTAATAAAATGGGTTAAATTGATCACCTTTTGGGTAAGAGACAAACTGCACCCACAAGCAAGAACAATTACTATCTGAAACGATGCACAATTCCCAGTATAAAGTCGTTTCCACAGAAAGCCTAATGTGGCTAAATGTATTATTTAATGTCGAGACCATATTAAAGCCTGAGCAATTAGTTTGACGTTTTAAAGTCGAACACACAATAAGCATTCATATATTCTTTCTAATTCACATTTATTCCAATTAAAACGATACGATTGACAGCAACAAAAAGTAATTTGCTCCTCTGGACTGGTGTATTAGACATATAATCAAGCAACAGCTCAAGGAAAAAACAAAAACTGTGCCAATTTGTTGTTGAACTAGCAGCTAGCAGCTTAACGTTAACTCACCCAACTATTTCGGACCAGTTCCATTGCTGCTGTGAGAAACCATCCCTTATTGTTGCTAGTTTCCTAATGAAATAAAAGTTAAAGTAAAGTAAAAGTAGGTTTCTTTCGATTCGTGCTGTACAATGCTGTAAAGCAGGACTGGTCTGCGGGATCACGTTTTGTGGTCACATTTACTTTTAAAATTAAAATAAAAGGTTCAATATTTACAGGAGGGATATTCAGTTACTTATTTACCTCAGAGCCTTATACGTTTATACTACCCACACACCTTATTTCAGGCACCTAACATTAAATAACTTTTCATAGAGAGTTGTTTATTTGAGTCTTTCAAGTCTTGTCACGGCATTAGCATGTCAAACGCGTGATGGAACCGGAGACATGATGGCAGAAACCACGCAGCCGGTCCAACTGGGCCGCCACGAAGCAGCCTGGTGATTGATCGCCGCGCACGTCAGTACGCGTCCGCGGGGGCGGGATCAGGCAAATCCAGCGAGTGATGTAGTTTCTCACACAGAGGCCGCCGGTCAGTGTTATGCCGTCTGTTAACAAAAACACAGGAGAAAGAAGACTATCGACAAACACGCCTTTTATCCACCTTTTTATTGGCGTATTGTTTTTACAGGTCGCATTGTCTCGTTCGGGCCACTTCTTTGCTCTCATCCATCTGCTCGGGCGGCTGCGGCTTGATTCCCTCCGGTGCATCAATGTCCCCATTTGATTGGTGTAACGGTGAGCAGTCCTTTATTGTTACGGGCCTCTGAGATCATGTGCAACCCAGCAATCTCTCATCACAGTCTCCTAATCGCTGGAGTGTTTTTTCTTCACTCCTGTTAAAACAGTGACATGGAATATCCCTAGTTACATATCTGTATACAGTAAAAGTTTTTGTGTGTGTGAATCTTAATGTCTTACTTCCATTAGAGGACGACACAGCTGACCCTCAGCTCAAGATGAATAGTAGAGTACTTTTTATGTGTGCAGTTGCTTTCAACTGTGTTTTGAGATATTTTATCAGGTTTTGCAGTTTCAGGCCTTTGTGTTCGTTTGTTTCTCCAGCCTACCTCCTCAAACACCAAACAATGTGTGTTAATTCTTCCCTCCCTCTAATTTTAGGGTGCTACTGTGGTCGGGGACCTTTCCAGCCGTGTTCCGCGCTGTCATTGCCGGACATCCTTGAAACCTACATCTTCTACTTTGTGATAATCCTGCTTTTCATCGCCCTGGGTTTCTGCTGCTATGCCCCTTTCAGGTGAGGGGCAGACACAGGCATATGTATACATTGGAAACCAGACCGGTGTGAAAGGCAAAACAATAATTTTCACAACAAGCAACTTGATACAGAATGGTTTAAGACAGGACTGAGACATTTATTGAATACTTGCAAGTGGGAGCTCTTCTGAGCTCTCCATCCCCCGACTTGGAAGGATAGAGTCTTAGATAACATGCATACTGAGCAGGGAGGATGGATCACTGGTCAGTGCTGTTATTCATGATTGTAGGGGAGGTGAGAAACAACCCTTTATTTACACCTAGACAATACAACTTCACAGGAAACTATCCTGATACTGCCTCACAAACCACCCTGAACATTTGTTGTCCCAGAACACCACGTGTCTCTATGCAAGAGATAACACACTGTAAAATTTACAAGGTTTCTCCAACAGTCACTTAATTGGATTCTTCTGCTTTGATAGTAAAATCTTTTAAATACCAAAATAACTAAAACTTGTATTAAGGAGAGTTTAAGGGAAAATGTGTATCACCGTGAGTTACTTATTGAATTGAAACAAGGCAGCTGTGGGGAGGAAGAGGAATTGTGCAGATTCTGTAAATTACACACATTCTTTACAGCAAATATGGTCTTACATGTAATAAATAGCTGAGTTTCGGTGCAGCACATCTTATCCCAAAAGGGGCGTTGCAAAGAGAAGTGTAACCACGGCCTAATTGTACCAACCCCCGAAAACAAACCAGTTTCACGGCAATCCATCCAATAATTGTGGAAATGTTTAAGTCTATATCTAAGAAGAAAGAGGAAGGGGGAAAAGGGGGAACATGGTAACCTCTCCCCCTGTCGACTGTAAACTCCCTGATGAGCTGAATGGGCGTTTGTGACGGGATGTGAGGCAACAGGAAGCAGTTCGCCACAATGCGTGAGGACAGCAGCGAGAAAAACTGCTGAGAGACTCAGAATAAACGCGATTACAACAAACTTGACTATATTTAAACTTGCACTCAGGTGTGAACAATGCAACCTTAATATGTCAATATACTGTAACTGTAATTGCAGTTAGACAGCATAGTGTTGAATTAACCCATTTGTTTCAATCATTCAATTTTTTTTTTACAAATTACAAATTCCTTTGTTTCAACTCTCAGGCAAACCCAAAGGAAATCCTTTGCAAAACAAAAAACAGGCCCATTTCTGCCCCATTAACATGCTGAAGGGAGTCCTGGGCAGGAGTGTGATTGTGAATTTATTTATTGATCTGGTGATTCACCAGATGAATACTGAGGGATGAATGTCATTCTCTGTAGGGGGAGCACTATTTTGCACTCAGACAGGCTCTCTCATGCCAATTTTAACATTATGGGGACTTAAACACCTGTCTCCATTCGTCTGTGTGAGATTTTTAATCAATTATTAATGATGATCATCATAATAATAATGCTTTCTAGAGTAAAATTACAATTAATGTCTGACTTCATCTTTTTTAGGTTCCTGAGTCCTTCTTCCAACAATTTAAATCAGACCATTAATGTGTTTTTCTTTTCATCCACAGTAAACTACACCAAAACGATAATAAGTGGCCTGTATACAAAGAGGTAAAGCTTGACGTTCATACCGAAGCACCATTTAGGACGCGACAATAATGAATCTCTCTGAAACATGTTTTCTTTTGTTACTTCAGGTGGTTTATAATGGAGATCCAGAAAAGATGAATATTCTTGGGGTAAGGATGTGATTTCCATGTACTAATTCACTGATTTCCGCAAAAAGTTGTATAATATGAAAGAATAAGGAAGAAAATGATGCATGATAATTTCATCCCTGTCCTCACTCTGTCCCGTGTGTCGCTCACGCAGCAGACGTGTGCCGTGTGTCTGGAGGACTTCAAAGTGAAAGACGAGATGGCAGTGTGTCCATGCCAACATGGTTTCCACAAGAAGTAAGTACAGGACCGAACAGCAGAGTCTCTGCTTTACTCTTCTTGCCACTTTGCACCTGCATGGGCAAATGAAAATGTCCGTGTTTGATCTGATACACACACAGTTTTAGTTGAATCATTCATGACTGAATCGCAGCATTACAAGAACATGAACTGGAGTGGTTCAATAGCATATCCCAGCATGCACCGGGAAGATCAGTGATTAAACCTGGCAGGGGAAGCATTCAGTCTCAGACTGTGATTTTGCTAACAGTCAACTCGAACATCACCATTTTTTACATCAAGGCGAGACTAAATATGAAAAAGGCATAATATTGAGCTCATTGTATTTGACTGTGTACATCAACAACTAAAAAACTGATATGATGTATGGATCACAGAGATCGTGTCAAACTCTGAATGGTTGAACGGAAAAACTCTCAGATGCCCTGAGTCAGATGGTAGAGTTGGAGAAAAGGAGAGGGACAGACACAGATGATCTAATAGAGTAGGTCGTTTGGAATCTTTGGAGGACAGTTACACTCTAGCATCCCCGTGAGGCTGGACACTGATGGTGCTGATGGAGTAAAGACAGCAGGTGGTTGATTTAAACTCTCAGTTGAATCTCCCTAGACGTTAACAAATTGCAGAGGGAAAAAACCCCAACATTTATTATATTGTATATTTACACACATCGAACACTGATTATTTTACAGGCCAATAGATCTGTTAGATCCTAAGAATGGAGTATTTTATATTGTTATATTGATACTAGGGGTGTAACAATTCATTTTAACGACGATTCAATTCGCGATTCATGGTTGCCGATTCGATTCATGGACGATCTGGGTTAATTTAGAACGATTCGATTCGATTCAGTGACTTGAAATCGATTCAGTAACTTTACTGGACAGTGCAGGCAAAGTTTCTGAGATCCCTGTTGTTTCTTGTAAGGAAATCAGGTTTAAATTAATTATGGATATTATAAACAAGCAAACAACAATTAATGGCAAATGTATTAACCTTTCATTTGAATCAAGTGCCATTTTCAATGTAAACATTACACAATAATTACACAATGTTTGGATCAATTCACAGAACCCTGGATTTTCAACCACATTGTAGGGTCGCACGTCTTTACAGATAAACTTGGCAATTGTTACTGTGATGTTGAGTTTGGTGCTGGCGAGGCCTGAGGCGTCTGCAGAGCTGGAGTTACCTGCTGCTGCTGCAGCGGTGACGCTGCTAGAGGCGCCTGACTGTCGCCGTGGTTTAATCCCACGGCGCCTCAGTAGATGGCCGGAAAGATTCGTCGTGTTTCTGTGTTTTTTTTATTTGGCTTCTACAAACAGCGACCGACTTATTTAGAACTGTTTTGTTGTTGTTCCGAGTTTTGCGCGGCTGCCGCTGCGTACTGATGACGTCACAGACAGACAGACTGAATCGAGTAACCTTTAACGTGTCTAAAGTACTAAAAAACAAACAAACACACATCCATACCGTTTTTGTACCCCAATGTGCAATGTGTCGATACAATCGATTATGTACCATTTCAATCGATTTGTAATCAATATATGTCGTCCGGAATGCCGATTTGCGGAGCACAGATCGATTCAGTTGGATCGGAGGAATATAAATCGATTAATCGATTCAGTGAATGAATCATTACACCCCTAATTGATACTGTCACTTAAGTAAAAATATCACCTCCTGTTTGTGATCCTTTGCTCAGGTGTCTGGTAAAGTGGCTGCAGGTACGATGCTGCTGCCCCATGTGCAACAAACCTGTAGTTACACCCCCTGAGGTGATGTGGGCTGGCCTTGAAATGCAATATGAAATATAGTTTCTGAAACACTGCCGGCCCGGGTGGGACGCCCCGTCCTGGCCAAACCAGCTTATGAAAGGTAGCGACCAACTGGAAGAGAGACACTGTTTTTGTTGGGGCAATGTGGATACAACCCGGAGAAAGAATCTGAAGTATGCTGTTGCCCAGCAACCATCTCTGGGATGGCAAAAGGACACCTTGTGGCGTCTGAGAGATTATTTCAGTACACCACACATCCCGCTCTGTAACATCGTTGCCTCGTTGACACCAGTGAAGAAGGGTTTTGTCCACCAGGGCTGAATTCTTTGAAGACACAAGTATAAATTGAAGTCACACTGGTTTACAAAATGATGGAAAACATGAATTCAGGCATCATGGGTGAGATTTAGATTGATCATATTACTTAAAAGGAGCACCTACAGCTGTTGTCTTTGTGTAGCAAACTAATCTGTACTTAACTTAATAAATACTGAACAACACATTCTTTGCTTGTATGTGCAACTGATATCGACACGCCCTGCCTTTCACTGTAACACCGTGGTTCTGTGTTGATATAAATTCCACCTTGGATTCACCCATTGTTTCTCTATAATAGGAAGACTTTTGAAGGCAGCTTTGCAGGTTTCATCTTTCCAGGTGTGAATTATTTGATAAAAGTCTGAAGTATCAGAGATGCTGTTTCATCTGAAGACAAGCGAGGCAGCAGTTCAGTTCCTCAGTTGTGAATTAACCACAGAATCTCACTTACATACTGTTCTGTGGCATCATTGCTGAAATTCAGTCTTTACATTCATCCCGTTGTAGTTCTTTTTTTTAATCATTTATAGCGTATTATAAAGCCAAACACTGCCTACAGCACAAAACTCAAACAACATTGTCCAGACACAGACAGCACGTGAGTGCTCTCAAATGTATATGCCAAGAAAATAGATTTGTTCACTCTGATTCTGGTCACATCCCACATTTTTTAATTGAAACCAATGTAAATAACTCAAAACAATAAATACGGTTGTGTTTTAAGCTTCTCTTGTTTATTTCTTGTCATGTGTCTGGCACCATCATCAGGTTAAATATTGCATTAAAATATATTATAATAATACATATACCTGACAACGGTAGACGAACGGGCTCAGTTCCAGTGGCGACTTTGGCCAGTAATCTGCCATCCAAGGTGGTTTGCTTCCATTAGTAGGTGGTTTGCTGGCGTTCCTCCTCTAGCTGACACCGTCCGAGTTGCATAGGTTCGGGTAGTCTTGCGAGCGGGTAAGCGCATTGTTGGCTGCTCCTTCCCAACGTGTTCGGACTGTGGGGCGAGCCGAAAGAAATGCCCCGCTGTCGCTCTCTTCCTCTCCCGACCCCGGTTATCCACTCGAATGGCCAGCGCAATCAGATCCTCTAGGCAGTTACATTCAGGGTATGAGATCAACTCATCCTTTATTGTGTCACTTAGTCCATGAGCGTACACTGCTCGTAGCGCATCCTCGTCCCAGCCGCTCTCCAACGCTAGGGTGCGAAACTCAATGGTGTAGTCAGCTACGCTGCGTGTTCCCTGACATAATGATATAATGATAATAATATAATGTCATGATGATGCCCAATCACATATGCAATCCTCGACTTGTCTGTGACGTACGTTCGGGGCTGTTGATGAAAAACCAAAACCGCATTGCATCAAAAAGGAGCGACACTGTCCTAAATTCCCATCATACCTCTCGGGGGTTGGGACCTTGGGTTCACGATAGGGCCCCGAAACGGACTCTTTAGACGCTGCGGGTGTGGGCACAGCTGTGATAGGGGTGGCTGGGTTACTCAGTTGATTTTGTACTGCTGACATGCTGACCGAGAGGCTTTGCCGGCTGCCCATGGTGTCCACTAGCGCGGTACTGTGCTGGCCCAACAAGGCTCCCTGGGCTGAAACCGCGTTGCGAACGGCGTCCGGATCTGCTGGGTCCATGATGGGCGGATCGTACTGTCAGGGTTCGGGAAGGAACCCAAAAGCAGACCGGGACTCAGAATGGTGGTTTATTCAATAATAAAGTGAGGAGTGAGGAGGCCAGCTGGTCGGGACCGGAGCGTGGTGGCAAGTCGGAGTCAGAATCATGTAAACTGCAGACAGCCAGGTCAGAAAAGCGTTTAGGCACTATCCACACACAAAATATCCACACACAAAAGTGACTTAACGACCCGGCGGGGACTCGGCGTCAGGTCCTCCTCTTTATCCAGCCGTTAATTGTAATGAGGAGCAGGTGTGAGCCCCGGACACTGAGACTCCTCCCACCAGCAGGACTCACGAGGAGGGGTTTGTGACACCACCTTGTGCCTCAGTATTCCTGCACATCAGAAACATTTAGTATTTTATTCCTTCACCCCAGCTGAGGAATTGGCCATTGTTTTAAACCAATGAAGGCCTGTGACGGAAGGGATTCAAGGTGGGACAGCTACTGACTCCACCTGCAGAAACTGCCCTCTTCATACATGGTACATTTTCCAGTCCGCATCTGTCCGAGAACAGTCAGAATACTGATGTAATACCGATGAATGACTCGTCCCGCCCATTTTACCAGGCATGCATCGGAGCAGGCTCGTCTCTTCCAGATATCCCAGAGTGCATTTCACCTCAGCAACAGGGAGTATTGCACAAAAGTAGAATAAAGAAATCCAAGATAACTAAAAAAGCGGCGGTTGACTCAGTGTGCAAATGGTGTAGAAATTACTTACGAGATGCCTGCTCGCATATTTTATCCAAACTGATATTAGCAGTTAAGAAGACGGCTCATTTGTCACAGGGGGGATTGGAGCCGCTTCTTCCGTGTTCTTTTTACACAAGTGTCTTTCGGGTGTTGCTGTAGTCAGTCTGCTGTGGCGGGCCCCTGTTCGGCCTACCAGCCTCCAGTTCATCCAACGGCGAGCTGTCGCATGGGAGTAGCAGATGTCGGTGAAGCATTTACAGACATGTGCGATGAAGTGCTCTGCCTCCTCTTGCATCCTGGGCCAATAAAACCTCTCCCGAATTAGGTCTAATGCCCTGTCCACACCTGGATGTCCCATTTCTCTGTGCAGCTCTGTAAAAATAGTCCCAAAAAAAGTCTCACAATACTCTCGAGGGAGGACCTGCTGATGCCGATTTCCTGATCGTCTGCAAAGCACACCCTCTGCACACCCTCTCCACCCACGCCCCCCCCCCCCCCCCTGGAAGCCCCTGGCGCAATCTTTACCCGCTGGATGGTTTACAGTAAACCTTCATGAAAGAATACATGTGGAACAAGACAAAATCCAACCCAAGGTTAAACCTTGACCTGTTTAAAAACACACCAATTACACCGGGAGAAAAAGTACTTCCTTCGTCTAGCTCAAAACTACCCGCCAAGTGGCAAGGGCCCTTTGTGGTCACACGGCGGGTAGGGGACGTCGACTACAAGGTGGTGCAATCTGACAGGGGTGGAGCTACACAGATCTACCACCTCAACCTCCTCAAATTATGGAGGGATGCGGAGTCTGTTTTCCTGGTGTCCCATGCCAAGAAAATAGATTTGTTCACTCGGATTCTGGTCACATCCCACATTTTGTAATTGAAACCAAAAACTTAACTCAAAAGAATAATAAATACGGTTGTGTTTTCAGCTTCTCTTGTTTATTTCTTGTCATGTGTCTGGCGCATGTAAAATGTATTATAATGATACGTATACCTGACAACAGTAGACGAACAGGCTCAGTTCTAGTGGTGACAGGTTACCTGAACACAAGAGGGAAATTGTTCGAAGAGAATTGGCTGCTATGCTGGAGATGGGGGTAATAGAGGAGCCCAACGGTGCCTGGTGCAGCCCCATCGTTCTGGTCGCCAAGAAGGACGGCTCTATAAGGTCCTGTGTGGGCTGTCGCAGGGTGAATGCTGTGTCACGGTTTGATGCATATACCCGTACTCCTGGACCGATTGGGCGCCGTGCGTTTTTTTATGACACTGGATTTGTTTTGGGATTTCGTGGTGCAGAGGCCAGTTCTAGTATGTTGGAGGGTTTTCCTGACAATCTTATGAAGGCTTTGACTTCGAACCACTCACTGGAAATTATGATTCACTTCCTGTTCTTTTAGTCAGCTTTTACTGTGCTGGGAAATAAAATGAGAGACATTATGTCGCCAAGTATGGTATTTACATACAGCGCAGAGATAAATGTATAGATGAACACCCAGTAGGTTTGATATTCATCAGGCATTACAATACTCAATCTTTTCTCCTTGACCTGTGGAATAATGGTCTGAAGTCTTAAACTAATGTTTTTTTTAATGAACACACCGTAAGAACTAAAAGGAAAAATAAACTAGTGCTAAACTAATAAGACGTAACCCTTTCTTTGCTTTAATATTTGTTTCCCGTTGTTTTTCCGTCCATTTATTGTCTTTTAACATATTTTTGTTCTTTTCCCGCTTCTAACCACACAAGTTTTATTAAACTTATAATTATTATACCATAATAACTAACAAATATATTGTTTTGTTTCTCCCTTCATGCCAGGTAAAACACATCCCTTCTATGGAGTGCAGTGGCACCCGGAGGTGAATCGTTTTCAGTGGAACATCAGGCTGAACTTTCCTCACTCGGCTCACGCTGTTCACTTATCGTCTCTTCTGGCTGAGTTTTTTGTCAACGAAGGTAAGATGATAAATAACAATGACTTTTGATTGCATTAGTTATTCAATCTGGTTTTGGGTTGTAATGAAATATCCATAATATTTTCCAAATTAAGTTTCTGGAAATCTCACAAACTATATGGACTCGGTTAGCAGTTGAGTTTATATCAAGCAACAAAAGTACTGTTGATAAAAAAAAAAACATTTTTATACAGTAGGTGCTGACTAATATATTAGTTGGTGGATATCTCAGTGGACCTAAAACAACATACTATTGGGGTTATGGGCGCATTCGACACAACATTTGAAAATGAAATCTTGTGCACTTTGAGAGCAAAATCTAGTTCTCCAGAGATCTTTGTGCTCTGGTAAACACGTCAATAATACACACATTGGTTGTGTAAATAGGTTGAAGACAAAGCAAAAAAGTCATAATCACAAATCAGGGAAGGCGAGATCGACTTGAGCACACGGGCTTCATACAGTTAATTAAAAAAATTAGAGAATACAACTTGATCCTCCCGATAAAGGAAGCGTCATCCAGTTTGCAACGTGTTACGCCAACTTCAATCTGGACTAACAATACAGGCACTTCCTTCTCCTTAATAGTGACTCCCTCAAAAACATTAATGACAAAGTATCCTCCTTAAAAATAGGATAAAAGAGAAAGAGACAACTAATTTAAGCCTCCCTGAACAGTAGCCATTAAGCCACTGCATCTGAAACTCATGTGATCTTGAAACATGTTCCTGATGTGACTGTGGTAAAGCTTGTAAATGACCTAATGCAATGGATTTGTGTGCATTGGCACTGTCTTATAGCACTTTGTACTTTGGCTTTTTTTATTTTTATTTGTACTGTCTTGATTGTTGTTGTTGTTGTGGGTCTGTACCCTCTTTGTTGAATGCACTGATTGTGAGTCACGTTGTCGCTCTGCCGCTGGCTCTCGGTGTGAATACAGTGCTCCAGATAACCCTTGCTGGAATGGAAATCCACAATCTTCATTCTAATCTTCAGACTTTTGCCTAATTCGCTGTAAAGGGCCGAACTACACGCAGACGTTAAGCTTACCATGTGAAACAACAACAGCAACCAGTGTTTAAACCGAGGCATTCATTTGTGGCGTTTTCCTGCACATATGCATAATCAAAACAAATATTTCCCGCAGCAACTACTGAAACTGCTCTGACCTACAGGCCTCTTTTTTAACCGACGGGCCCTTCATCAGTGGAGCCTTTTGCCCCAATGGGGACTACTTGTCCTTTTGTCCCTCTCTGAATGAAACTCAGCTGTGGTTGTCTCTGCTGCTGCCCCTGCTGTCTCCTCTGCTACAACAAAACGAAGAGCAATAAAATTCCACCCGTACTCCACCCGTTTATCTCTTTGCAAACGCCTGTGAGGAACCAGACAGGCCACTCACTAGCAATAGATAAGGGCAGTGGAGAAACAATGCTGTGTCAGCAAGTATTGGGTGGGGTGGAGTGAGAGATGCTTTGCTGAAGCTACGGGCAATCACAACTTCTAATACAAATACCTGGTGGTGTAGCCAATGAATCCACATTAAGCAAAAAAAAACATAGTGGTGTGATTACTGTATCAATCAACTCAATGTTTTAAATCCGTTTGTTTCCAATTGTCCCATTGAGACAATTTGCCGATATTATTATATTCTAATCACATGCATCTCTCTTTGTTCAGGAAGGAGAAGTTTACATCACTTTGACAATCCCGAGGAAGAGGCCTCGTCACTGATTTATAACAACACGCCCGTCTACGCTGGAAACTTCACAGCATATGAACAGCTCTATTTCTTCTGAAAGCCTCCAGCAGCTCGGCCCATTTCACTCTGCATGTGCCACAAAGCACTTTGCATACAGTCATGGGGGGTTTTACTCAAATCTTATTTGTACAAATAAACTTTTTTTTGTCATTTTGGAGATTGACTTCTTTGTATTAGAACATCTGGATGGGTCTTTAGGGTAAATTAGTGAAGTAAAAAGCTATTTCAACAAAGTCATTTCTGGTCAGTTTCCACAGGAAGCCTAATGTGGCTAAATGTATTCTTTAATGTTGTGACCACAATAAAGCTTCAGTAATTAGTTTTACATTTTAAAGCCGAACATACAATAAGAGCAATAGGAGAATATGGAGCATTTTCGTTTTTGCACTTGGAACCAAGCATACATTCATGTATTCTTTCTAATTCACATTTATTCCAATTAAAACTATACCATTGACAGCAACAAAAGGTAATTTGCTCCTCTGGACTGGTGTATTAGACATATAATCAAGCAACAACTCAAGGAAAACGTTAACTCACCCAACTATTTACCAAGTTTATGCTAGCCATACACCTTATTTCAGGCACCCAACATTCAAAATATTTTCATGGAAAATTGTTTATTCAAGACATCAGGAATCAGGAAACATTTATTGCCAAAATATGTCATACAAGGAATTTGACTTGGCGGTTGGTGCAGTGTAACAATAGACAACAAGACAGTAGTGCACAAGTAATAAAATAAAATAAAATAAAATAAAATGAAATGAAATGAAATGCTAACATGGCCACTGCACGGCCATTAGCTGGACTACCAGACAGAAGATCAGCAGCTCGTCCAGTCCATGTCGAAGTGCACTGAGGCAAGAAAGACACTTAACCCCAAATTCCTCCCAATTGTTATGCTCTTCACAGTGAATGGGTGTGAATGTTAACTCCTCACATGGGTTAACTCCTCGCCATGACCGCATGTGGTGTAAAGCGCAATAAGTAGTCGGAAGACCTTAGAGGCACAAGGCACGATTATTTCTTCTTTTCGTTTGGTCTCAGAGCCAGCAATGAGAAAAACATGGCTATCCTGATGACAAATATTAAGTTTACACCAGATAACCGTATGCATATAAAGCGTGGGATAAAAGGTGTGTGTGGGGGAGGAGGGGGGCTGAAATAGGGGCCCACATGTAGCCTACATTTGGCCCCAAGGGCCACCTACAGGGATACTGAAACTGTGTGGGAGAGACCAGTCTGACTCGTAACCTCAGTCGTTTCCGAGTCTTTCAAGTCTCGTCACGGCATTAGCATCTCAAACGCGTGATGGAACCGGAGACATGATGGCAGAAACCACGCAGCCGGTCCAACTGGGCCGCCACGAAGCAGCCTGGTGATTGGTCGCCGCGCACGTCAGTACGCGTCCGCGGGGGGCGGGATCAGGCAAATCCAGCGAGTGATGTAGTTTCTCACACAGAGGCCGCCGGTCAGTGTTATGCCGTCTGTTAACAAAACACAGGAGAAAGAAGACTATCGACAAACACGCCTTTTATCCACCTTTTTATTGGCGTATTGTTTTTACAGGTCGCATTGTCTCGTTCGGGCCACTTCTTTGCTCTCATCCATCTGCTCGGGCGGCTGCGGCTTGCTGGTAAACACGAATCATGCCGCCGCCAACGATTCCCTCCGGTGCAATTCATTGGTGTAACGGTGAGCAGTCTTTTAGTTATTCATATTCTTCAGCTACTTCTGTATAATGTATTGTTTGTTTGCATTTTTCAAGCAAAAGTGGCTTCTCAAAGTGTGATGGTTTGAATATTTTCTTATGTCACATACTGGATAGCTTTATAGTTCAGACCTTTGGTCAACAAGTTGATCGAATAGGTCACCTTGTGTTGTGGGAAAATATGACGAGCATTTCCTACATTACAACAGTCAAAACAAGTTATGGTAATAGAAAATAATATTATTATATTTATGTAATAACCCCTGCTTGTAGATAATAAATATACAGGCTGCTTAATCAAATTAATTCCAGTTGAGGCTCCACAAGGTCAGTTTCTGTGCTCTCTGTGTAACATTTGGCCTTGCTGGCTACACTTTTCCTCCGTCTCTGATTCTGTGCATGTGTGTGTGAATCCTAATGTCTTACTTCCATTAGAGGACGACACAGCTGACCCTCAGCTCAAGATGATTAGTAGAGTACTTTTAATGTGTGCAGTTGCTTTCATCTGTGTTTTGAGATATTTTATCAGGTTTTGCAGTTTCAGGCCTTCGTGTTCGTTTGTTTCTCCAGCCTACCTCCTCAAACAACAAACAATGTGTGTTAATTCTTCCCTCCCTCTATTTTTAAGGGTGCTACTGTGGTAATGGACCTTACGCAGAGTGTGTCACGGCGATGAGCGTCTTCAGGATCTTCTGTGTGATGTGCGCCTTGGTCCTCATCCTGACTATCTTCTGCTACTGCTTGAGGTGAGGGACAGACAGACACATGTGATTAAAAACAAGAGCTGTGTGAAAAGAAAAAACAATACTATGGCTTTGTTCAAAGTTGGATATTTTTTCTTGACTGTATTTGCCTCAGATAGAGGTTATATCTTATTTTCACAACAAACAAAAACTGCTGCAGAATGGTTTGTGAGACCACTACCTCTACATCAGGGGTGTCCACACTTGTTTTCCCAAGGTCTGGGCCGCTCACTAGACGTGAGGTGGATTGTTAACACATCAACTGACGTTTGTTTAATCATCAACTTTAATTGACTGAATTGATTAAGTAATTGTGCTTATTGACAAATGAAAACGGTGCATATTTTAACTCCCCTGTAATGGGTCCGAAGGACAGCTGGCAGGTCAGCAGTACGTTTGGTGGTTGAGATGTGAAGGACGTCACGGTAAACTATCCTGATACTGCCTCACAAACCACCCTGAACATTTGTTGTGCCAGAACGCCACGTGTCTCTATGCAAGAGATAACACACTGTTGCCTGAAGTAAAATTGACAAAGTTTCTCCAACAGTCACTTAATTTGATTTATCTGCTTTCATAGTAAAAGCTTCAAATAAGTGAGTTACTTAGAATTGAATTGAAACAAGGCAGCTGTGGGGAGGAAGAGGAATTGTGCAGATTCTGTAAATTACACACATTCTTTACAGCAAATATGGTCTTACATGTAATAAATAGCTGAGTTTCGGTGCAGCACATCTTATCCCAAAAGGGGCGTTGCAAAGAGAAGTGTAACCACGGCCTAATTGTACCAACCCCCGAAAACAAACCAGTTTCACAGCACAAAACAACACTTGTTGAGGCTTTGTGGGGCTGCCTTTTGTGCTCTGCAGCCGTCAGACAATTAATGTCTGACTTCATCTTTTTTAGGTTCCTGAGTCCTTCTTCCAACAATTTAAATCAGACCATTAATGTGTTTTTCTTTTCATCCACAGTAAACTAAACCAACACGGTAGTGAATGGCTTGGATACATAGAGGTAAAGCCTGACGTTCATACCGAAGCACCATTTAGGACGCGACAATAATGAATCTCTCTGAAACATGTTTTGTTTTGTTACTTCAGGTGGTTTATAATGGAGATCCAAAAAAGTTGAATCTTCCTGAGGTAAGGATGTGATTTCCATGTGCCAATACACTGATGTCTGCAAAAAGTTGTATAATATGAAAGAAAAAGGAAGAAAATGATGCATGATAATTTCATCCCTGTCCTCACTCTGTCCCGTGTGTCGCTCACGCAGCAGACGTGTGCCGTGTGTCTGGAGGACTTCAAAGTGAAAGACGAGATGGCAGTGTGTCCATGCCAACATGGTTTCCACAAGAAGTAAGTACAGGACCGAACAGCAGAGTCTCTGCTTTACTCTTCTTGCCACTTTGCACCTGCATGGGCAAATGAAAATGTCCGTGTTTGATCTGATACACACACAGTTTTAGTTGAATCATTCATGACTAAATCGCAGGAAGGAGTGGTTGAACTGGAGTGGTTCAATAGCATATCCCAGCATGCACCGGGAAGATCAGTGATTAAACCTGGCAGGGGAAGCATTCAGTCCCAGACTGTGATTTTGCTAACAGTCAACTCGAACATCACCATTTTTTACATCAAGGCGAGACTAAATATGAAAAGGGCATAATAATGAGCTCAATGAGATGTATGGATCACAGAGATCGGGTCAAACTCTGAATGGTTGAACGGAAAAACTCTCAGATGCCCTGAGTCAGATGATAGAGTTGGAGAAAAGGAGAGGGACAGACACAGATGATCTAATAGAGTAGGTATGAATATGATATTTTAGGTCGTTTGGAATCTTTGGAGGACAGTTACTCTCAATATTATCAAATTGTAGAGGCAAAAAAATGCTTTAATAAAATACCGTCCTTATAGATACAATTACCCAAGAGTATTTACACACATCGAACACTCATACTTTTACAGTTGAATAGATCTGTTTTACTTCATTAGATCTTAAGAATGGAGTATTTTATATTGTTATATTGATACTGTCACTTAAGTAAAAATATCACCTCCTGTTTGTGATCCTCTGCTCAGGTGTCTGGTAAAGTGTCTGAAGGTACGCCGCTGCTGCCCCACGTGCAACAAAACCACTTGTGAGCCCATTGTGGAGCACTGGGTCGAGCCTATCGAGTATATTAACCTACCAATATAGTTTCTGAAACCCTGCCGGCCCGGGTGGGACGCCCCGTCCTGGCCATACAAGCTTATGAAAGGTAGCGACCAACTGGAAGAGAGACACTGTTTTTGTTGGGGCAATGTAGATGCAACCCGGAGAAAGAATCTGAAGTATGCTGTTGCCCAGCAACCATCTCTGGGATGGGAAAAGGACACCTTGTGGCGTCTCAGAGATTATTTCAGTACACCACACATCCCGCTCTGTAACATCGTTGCCTCGAGTCGGGTTGACGGCACCAGCGAAGAAGAGTTTTTAAGTTTTCACCGTAGTTCTGTGTTGATATAAATTGCACCTTGGATTCACCCATTGTTTTTCTATTATAGTAAGAGTTTTGAAGGCAGCGTTGCAGGTTTCATCTTTCCAGGTGTGAATTATTTGATAAAAGTCTGAAGTATCAGAGATGCTGTTTCATCTGAAGACAAGCGAGGCAGCAGTTCAGTTCCTCAGAGTTGTGAATTCACCACATATATTTCTGTGGCATCACTGCTGAGATTCAGTCTCTACATTCATTCCCTGTTGTGGTTCTTTCTTTTTTATGATTTATAGCGTATTATAAAGCAAAACACTGCCGACAGCTCAAAACTCTCAAAGCACATTGTCCGGACACAGGCGGCACCTGCACTGTAATCAAAAGCCAAACATACACATGAGTGCTCTCAAACTCACATGCCAAGAAAATAGATTTGTTCGCTCTGATTCTGGCCACCTTCCACATTTTGTAATTGAAACGAATGTAAATCACAACAAAACAATAATAAATACGGTTGTCTGTTTTCTTCAGCTTCTCTTGTTTATCTCTTGTCATGTGTCTGGCGCCATCATCAGGTGAAATACTTCATTTAACATTTAACTTGGTTTAATGTGAGAACGCATAAGAAAGAAATACTGTTTTAATAGCAGTAACCTTCTCTCCCTTCCCTGCTTTGATAAGAGTGCTTAAATATTGGTTAATTAAATGTTTTTTCATATAATTTTTTTATTAAAAATGTCAGAGACTTGTAAAAAAAAAAGCCAGCAAATTTCTGTCAAACCAACAATCCAAATAAAAAGCGTGTATATTAATAAAACTGTTTTTTTCCTGTAAAAGATAAGATGAAAAAATTTCTATTTTTGTAGTATTATTGTTCCTTCTGCAAAGGAGTTTGACCGTATCAAAATGTATCAATTATAACTAAATGCAAGGATGGACCCCATGAAGTGAAATTGAATAACGGAGGGAAACAAAGCAGCAAACCAAAAGATTTATAGGAGTCAGAGCTCAGGAGTCAAAATCGGAATGAAAACAGCACCCATCTGTACGCTGCCACATTAAATGTGCAAGACCTTGTGTTATTGCCTCGAGGGAAGTGCTGGGAAACGGTGGAGACTGAGAGGTACTCGGGTTTGGACACTTTAGCTCTCAATTTAGACAAGGGAGAGCGCTGTTTCATTATTATATGGATGAGTAAGCCTGTCAGTGCGGGCCGGCATCCACTTGTCCTTCAAGACAGCTAAAGACTAAGAAGAGATGAGCAGTTCAGGATGATGGACAGTCGCAACTTTCCCTTGAGATCCCACAGCAGCTGGTGATTATATCAAAATATTTTTTCTGTAGTGTTGCGTGTGGCGGTGGATGATGATGAGGAGGTTTTTCGTCTGTGATCTGTTTCATCACAAATCTGACCTGCCGTGATTTGCTTGCCTGTGAAGTCGGGATGAAGGCGTGATGAGAGCTCTGCTGCCATTTTAAATAGATTACAAGGTTTTTAAATAACCAACAAGATAAGGAGATATGGAAGATTACTATTAGAATGGATTTTTAGATAACTATTTAAACCCCAAAAGTATTTTTTCTCTCAATTTGCTTTTTTTTTTTTTGCAATTTGTTTTTGGGTTCTGAATCAGGGTGAACCTTTTTGTTACAAATTATCTTCAATCATTTTTCATGTGACCTGCATTGGTTTAGTAGAGAAAACAGTTACCTCATTCCCTTTCACGTGACCGCTGTTTTAGAAAGACGTGAATGATATTATGCTCACTGCTTTTGTTATTTTCACTTTACATTTACACTTGCAGGTTAGTAATTGTTTGCAGTGATAGTTAAATTGTAGTGTGATAATAAATGACCATTTCAAATCATCCGAGCTGTCATGATACATTATTTTAATGCAGGGATTTCTTTTAAATTAGTATCTGCTGGTTTACATGCACTAACTTACATGAGAATATGATACGTGTTTGCAGTGGACGTATTTAGGCCAAGGAATTGGCTGTAAAATGTTGAGCAACATATTTTTTTTATTATTATTATTTAACATACTATTTGGTTATACAATAAGGCCTTGTTTTGTCGGTTTTTGCCTATTATTCGTTTATTTATTCAATTTGATAATTTTAGTTAGTTTGTTAACAAAAATAAAGGATAAGATATCCTACTGTGTTTTTTATTTATTATTATTATTTTAAATTTCATCAATGCTTTTGGCAATGGGTGCCCCTGTGTTTTGGTTTGAGCACCTGCCCCCCAAAATATCTGTGCACGTGCCTGCAAAGGGGTCTGCATATGAGCACATGCATCAACACACACTCTCCTTCTTATAAACACACACACACACACACACACACACACACACACCCTGGACCTAGAAACATAAGCAAGTCTTTCATAGGATCACCCTCTACCTGAGCAATAAAGGGCCATCTGTGCTGTGAATAAACTGATGATGCCAACGCACACACACACACACACACCACACACACACACACACACACAGGATGGAGAGACACACAGAGAAATGCTTGTTTCCGTCACTTCCCACTTTCAGCGTCGTGGCAGTGCAGAGTGAATGTAAGGGCAGCTTATTACTCTCCCCGTGCATTTTATAGTAGCAGAACTAAACTTGACCAGCACTCCAACAGCAGCAAGAAGAGGGCGAGTGAACGGAAACAAGCTGCTCACAAACTACTGAGACCCATCCGGACGAGACTGACCTGGTTAGTTTGTTTACTTTCTCTTTTTCTCATCTGTTTTATGAATCTCCTACATCTGTTTCCTTCTGCCTTGAAACTGTCAGCACCTTTTCAGAAGGACTGCCTTGTAGTGATGCAGCCTATGCACATTCACGTTCCTGAGAGGATGAACCAAAAGAGCTTTGTTGATCCTCTGGCTTGTCCTCGAACGCACTTTTAGCATACTAAGAGACCAAACTATGATGTTGAACATGGTAAAGATTACAGCAACATGCTGATGTCGGCAGTGAGCATCGCTGTGCTGCCTCGGTAACACGGTTACTAGCAAAGAATCTTGTCTTTTTTCCTCGTGAAATATCTTACACTTACAATCAAAGTACTAAAAATCTGGAAAATGGAATAATCTAAGAATCTAAAATGATGTATTGGACAACGACTGGACTTGCGAGTTCATTTTAAGGGACAGAAACCTAAACGTTTGGGAAACCACTGCTTTAAAATGTACATTGTTGTAACAGGGAGTTTCAGCGCTCTGGTGATGTGAAGTGAAGTGTTCATGCGACACCTGTGAAGATGCTGCCGGGGGATGTGACAGATGCGGACAACATGAGAAATCAGGAGGAGGTCTTCTTCAAAAGCCATATTTACTAATCTATGGTTAAGAGATGATGGTTTGCTCACCTTTTTGTGGAAACATCTCCCCCGTCACCAAAGGAACAATCATGATCTTCTAGACCTCAACGCGCTAAAGTTTTTTTTAAAGACATTCCACCATGTTTAAACGGTGGCTTTTGGCCCTCTTGGCACGGGTCGGCCTCATTGTGCTGGGCCTCTGCAGCTGTCTGTTCCTGTTCTACTTCCTCGCCTGTAAACCGACGTCTCGCCGCAGCCAGCAGTCTCTGCAGTGGTCTGCAGGGGCCACCAGCAAAGAGGGATACATGGCCCTGTTGCAAGAGAGGGAGGATACGCACAGACATTACATCAACAGCCTAACGAAGCAGATAGCCCAGCTGAAGGAGGCTCTCCAGGAGAGGACGAAGCAGCTCCAGGAGTCCCTGGAAAAAGCTAAAACAAGAGGGGTTCTGCCTAAAGGGCTGGAGAGTCTGCACAAAACCCCGACCCAGACTGACCTGAAGGTAGGAAAACGCGACGCAGGCTGGTGCTGTTGCAAAATAGATGGAGGGGTGAGGATGAGTGTGTAGGTGTGTCGTTGCCGATGTCACATCATTTCCTCCAGGAGTTCTTCCTCTCCCAGCTGAACCAGGCGGAGGTGACATCCGGTGTGCAGGTGCCGAGCGAATACGCTGTGATACCGTTTGACACTTTCACCCTGCGGAGGTGAGTTCATCGTTAGAACAGAGGAGCCCCCCGGGGGGGGGGGGAGGGGTCCGCTCCTGCCCGGTGCCTGAGGCGTGTCGCTTCGTTGTCCCGTCACTCAGAGTGTACCAGCTGGAGACGGGGCTGTCGAGGCACCCGGAGGAGAGGCCTGGGAGGAGGGACCGCAGAGACGAGCTGATAAGCACGGTGGAGACAGCTCTGCACGTCCTGAACGGACCCCGGCAACACGCGCACGGCGGCCGACGGAGGCGCACGTACTCCCCGGCCGACTTCGTAGAGGGTGAGAAAACGGAAACGTTCCTTTGATGTTTTTCCACGTTGATTGACGAGATTTAAGATTCAGTTTCTTTTCTGTTGACTGACTTATAAAACACGCAAGAACAGCTTCATCTACCTCTGCTTTCTATGATTTGGCGGTTGTTTTTACAACCAGGGAAACAGGGGTCAAGGATCACAACGCAGAGACCTGTTTGGATCAGTTAGCGATTCAGAGGTTGAGAGCAGGAAAGAAACAGGAGCATCCAGAGGAAACACCAATGGGTAGAAAGGGTGAAACCTGCAGAGGTCGTGGTTCAAATCCAGGACATTCTGTCCTCCACGGGGAAACGTGGCACTTGAGCGTTCTACAAGGGGTTACACAACGAGATGCCTTTTCACATCTGTATAAATACTATAGTATTATAATATATTATAGCATATAGCATATTTATATTATTATATTATAGTATATAGTATAGTATTCTAACACAATTTTTGTCCTAACTAACTTTAATAGCATTTTCTAATTGGAGTTAAACGTGTCTTCTAAAAGTTGATGATTTATTTTAGAGAGAAAGCATTCACACACAGACTCATTTTGTATATAATAGCTGATCATTACCGTCGTGAAACTTCTATAAATCCAGTGAAATCGCGCGGCTACACTTCAGCATTCATCAACAAGTTCCTTACAAAAAACAGAAAACCATTCATTTACCTCTTAAACCATAAATTATCAATACATTTATTGCAAATTTTGAATCATAGGCAAAACTCAGATTGTTGCACATCTAACTTGCTGGTTGCAACGTTCAAGTTCAATGTTATAATTGGCATTAGTTTATTGGATGTCTTTCCTGTCTTGCATGATATTCTTGAAAAAATGTAAGAAATGAATACGTGGCTGATGAACTGAAATGCAGTCCGCCTGTCGCAGGGCTGACCCGTACGGAGCGGGACAGAGGGACCGCGTACGAGCTGTTGTTCAAAGGCGACGGCCCGCAGGACTTCACGCAGCTCTCGCTCTTCAGGCCGTTCGGCCCCGTGCTGAAGGTGAAGAGCGAGAGAGTGGCGGCCGGAAGCATGCTCATCAACATCATCGTACCTCTTTCCAAGAGGCCGGACTCATTCAGGCAATTCATCCGCAACTTCAGGTATCCTTTGGAAAGAGAGATGACAAGCTGGCCTCCACTCACACATGCTGTGATCAGGACATTATTCTCCTGACATTGACAGAGCGGAGTGGGTCCTTGTCTCCGCTGCAGATCAAATTAGATTTTTTTTCCAAAGTTGTGAGTCCAAAAGTTGTCCTGATACTCAATGAAGCACATTTGTATTGTGTTTTTGGATCAGAGAAGTGTGCATCCAGCAGGACGGCAGGGTTCATCTGACCGTTGTCTACTTTGGTCGAGATCAGATCGATCGGGTGAAGGCCCTGCTGGACCAGACCACCAGGTAATGCAACGATTCTACAGTAATCATCGGCCAATGTCACATTAGTCTTGTTTCCATTCACATATTTTATATTTCTATGGGCAATTTGAGGGATTCAGCAAGGTTTGAATAAAACTTTTAAATAAACATGGATTCTCCCATGACAACCTTTTCTGGTCTCCTGTCCTTCTTCAGAGAGACTCAGTTCAGGAGCTTCACTTTGATCCAGCTGAATGAGGAGTTTTCTCGTGGGCGGGGCTTAGACGTAGGCGCCAGAGCGTGGAGACGCAGCCCAAATGTCCTGCTCTTCTTCTGTGACGTTGACATCCACTTCACCGCCGACTTCTTGACTTCCTGTCGCCTCAACGCGGAGCCTGGTGAGAGAGAGGACTGCTTCCCTACAAGCATTCTTACCACATCTTCAGGACCGGCTGATCCCACTGAGCCATTGTAAGGGGATATTTGTCCGTTTTAACTGTAGGTAAGAAAGTCTACTATCCAGTGCTCTTCAGCCAGTACAACCCCTCCATCATCTACAGTAATCAGACGCTTCTACCCTCCGTTCAGCAACAACTGGTAAGTGGGAGAAATGTATCCCACGTTGGCTGAAGTCATCATTATTAATTGTCAGGCCGTTGTTTTTTGTCTCAGGTGATGAGGAAGGAAACTGGGTTCTGGAGAGACTTTGGGTTTGGCATGACATGCCAGTACAGGTCTGATTTCCTCAACATAGGTAATGCAACCGCTTGTGTCTTCACCTACTTCACTCATTTCATTTTTTGTAAAATATTTAAATTACAATTTGCATGCATTTTTATATAAAAATTTGATTTTTGATGAGATTGTCTGTCGCTGACGCTCAAAAAAAGCAATTGTACTTTTTTGTACATTGTTGGTTTACATTTGTTTTTTGTTTTATGCCCTTTTGTTGTTTAACAAGTTCAAATTAAGGGAATGATGGCTATTTGTTACTATGATATTAACTCAGCCATTAAACATGCATGCCCAAAGCTAGAAGTCAAATTTGCACTCTAGTGGATGTCCGATCAGTGCTTGTGGTAAGAACTCGATTCCCCAGTACGTCCTGAGAGAGCCGCCCCCCCCTGCTCACAAGGGTTGTGTTCAAAAACCTTCAGGCTGGGACAAAGAACTTTAGGATTCATTGAGTTATAATAAATAGAAGTTTTGATACAGAGTATATATTTCTCTATTGGCGTTGAGCCTTCACAGTCCACAGGCCACTACTGTCTATGCTTACGCTCCAGAACCAAGAACAACATTGGAGGATATACATTACAACATTTGAGGCGTAGTCGCCTCTTAATAGTTAAAACATGCTGCCGACTGATTTATCATACGTTTAAACGGATATGGAGCTGGCTGTGGGTCCGTTTAATGTTAGTGCAGAGGAGTCTTCCACGCCACGGCACTTCGAACTCCGAACTTTCAGAGCATCGTGTTTCACACTTAGATATTTCAGTGAGCAAACTGATTTACAAATAAGACAAAATGCCCTAAATGTCAATGAAGAAAAACTACACCCAAACAGAAAAAAACCTACACTCTGAATTCAAGCGTCTATTTCACACCGTAACCACACAGGCACCTGCCAATCAGATCGCGTTTATGCTCCCGTGAGAGCGAAGCTCAAGAATAAAAGATGGCGGACCAAACTGCGTGGAATAGAAGGCCCTGCTCCATCTCGCCATCAGTTTGGGGGTCCTTGGCCTAAAAAAACGTTGAAGACCCCTGTTCTCCAGGATCCTGAAGAAGTTATCCAGGACACCTCTGTCCCAGTTAGGAGAGAAACCTTCAAGTATAATAACTCACTCACATCTCTCTCTCTCTCGCTCCACCATATGGAGGGTGTCCGTCGGTCGAATCCAGAGTTACCTTTATATTTGCATCTCCTGATTGCTCGATGCGCACGTCTGAACTCCTCCACTTCCCGGCAGGTGGGTTTGACCGTAACATCAGAGGCTGGGGGTTGGAGGACGTGCACCTGTACAGGAAGTACCTTCACAGTAAGCTGATGGTGATTCGCTGTCCGTCCAGTGGGCTTTTCCACTTGTGGCACGAGAAGAACTGTGCAGACGAGCTCCCACCGGACAAATACAAGATGTGCATGCAGACCAAAGCCGTGAGCGAGGCCTCGCCCGGCCAGCTGGCAGAGCTGCTCTTCAGACGAGACATTCAGGTCCATTTGAGCTCCCAGAAGTAGAGGAACATGAGGAAAATAAATGTAAATGTTATGTTATTCTGTGGGTTTATGATCATCATTGTTTACTTATATAAATCATTCAGCTTCAAACAATATATGATTTACTATTAATATTGTTCTCCATGTGAAAACTTGTGAAAATGATGGCTGATATATTTTGTGTGAATAAAACAATGAACTATATGATATGTAGGTATATTGTAGGTTTTCTTTCCATGGAACAAAGTGGGAATGAGGCAGAAATATTCAAACTTTTTGGGGCTTAATATAGTTTTCTTGTTGTTTCCAAACGTGTGCTGTGATGCTTCCCTGTTAAAAGTATGTTTCTCACTAAGTAATAATAACTGCATGGGATTAGTTCACACTTAACAGATCATTGATAAAGGAATGTCGATCCTCTGTTACGTTAGTTGTATTTTAATAACTACAGCCACATTTATGAACCATGCATTCTATCAGCCACTCTGAACGCAGCACAATACCTCTTCTCATAGGAATACAAAGCTATTTTTTTGTACATACAAAGATTTTTATGCATAAAAAATGTGATGGATCAGTTTGATTATATTTTCAATAGTAGTGACGGCTTGTTGACCATCACCGTTTTTTTGTTTGCCCTGCCACCAGCCTGGAGGCATTTTGGCAGTCCTGTGTCTTTAGTGCTCCAAAGTAAATCTGATTCAGGGTTAAATTCGAAATGAAAAACAAAATAAAAAAATAAAAAATCTAAACAGACATTTTGAATCGGCATAGCAGACACATTTAGTTACATTGATCTATTAATAGTGATACTGACGTCACCTCATTACCTCTGCAGACACAGAGGGAGGGACAACATCAGCCGACCATCAACACAGCCACGTGATAGGCCCAAAACTCCACCACCACGTCCCTGCCCTATGCTGCATTCGTGAACACGTCGGAAATTTATTTCTGTCCAATGGAGGAAAAACGTTTTCGGAATTGTAGCTTTCACTTGACCCCCACCCCGTCAATAAAAGGCCTGACCTCAACATAGACACAGGCTTATTGTCTTTAATATATTTCCTTTACATTTCATAAATGAGTATCTTATCATAATAGATCATAGCAGTATCAAAGTGAGCATTGAATGAATCAAATGCATGTAGAATTTATAGTGAAATTATTTGCTATGGTTCTACGCTAACAATGAAATATGAAAATGTAATTGAGTTTAGCCAATATTTGAGTCAGCAATGAAACCAAACACTTCTAGTCTATATGTGATAATAGGATAGAATATAATACATACGCGATATAGGCAATGTTGATCTGAAATGGACAATTCTGAATTCTTAATCATTTTAAGATTGATTCCTAAGTACATTAATGTTAATATATATACCATTTCATATAGCCCCTGTACTTGTACTAAACTAATTATACAGTATGGCCTCGCTATCTTTGCATAAGAAGAATAGGCTACTTCTCCCTAACACGCTAATGTCACTTATGTCCTGGGACCACTTCATTGGTTAGTGCCTCACCTACTCTACAGCTCACAGTTGGTTATTATTTGTACTATTGTTATTACAGGAATGCGTTCAACAGAACATTGCTTGTTTTCTTTCCTAGCGTCCCGTGAAGGCAGCATCGACTCACCGCGGGGCGGCGGCGATCACTCGTCTCACCTGAGGACGGCGCGCGGCTGTGAGCGGAGCACCTCCTCCCGATGACGGCGTGCGAGCAGCTGGGCGCGTGAGCGGCTCCCCGCTCGTGCGGCCCCGTTGGATCAGACCCTCTACGCCCCGCAGGCTTCCCCGGACGGTCCCGCGGGTCGGGGGCCGCGCGATGACACTGCTTTGACGCCAGAACAGCCGCGCGCGAGACGGTGAGCGAGAAGAAGAAGAAGAAGAAGATGAAGGAGAGGAAGAAGAAGGAGAAGAAGAAGAAGAAGATGAAGAAGGAGTCGAAGAAGAAGAAGGAGAAGAAGAAGAAGAAGAAGAAGAAAAAGGAGACGAAGAAGAAGAAGAAGGAGAAGAAGAAAAAGAAGAAGAAGGAGACGAAGAAGAAGAAGAAGGAGACGAAGAAGAAGAAGCAGACGCAAGATGTTCGAGGCGGCGGGGAGCCCCCTCGTCGTGCTGGACTTCCTCTGTCTCATCCTCGGTACGTGCACCGCGTCGGGTGAAGCAGCCATTTAATCCGCGTGGCTTTAATTGTAAAGAGTCGCAGCTCGTTAAAGGGGCCTCGCAGTGTCGTCACAGTAAAAGTCAATTACATGGAGTGGGCACACACACACACACACACACACACACACACACACACACACACACTCTCAGTGGGCAGGTTTGAGGTTTTTAGGGAACTAGGCAGGAGATGGAAAAACGGAAACAAAGTGTGCGTGTGTGAGCGTCTCTCTCGGTATAAGCAGTATTTTTAGCTGTGTGTTTGTAGTGTAATTAGTGCACAGAGACAAGCTGCTAAAACGAAATTCACAATATTGCAGTAAGAAAGTTCATTAAAGAAAACCTTTGTACTGCCACGGCTCAGTTTGCTGGCTGCCATAAAGAATAAAGATAGAGAGCGGCTCAGACACACACACACACACACACACACACACACACACACACACACACACACATCCTTGTCGTTATTTATTTCTGCTGACTGGGCACCAATCCTCCCATTGTGTCCAGTTCAACTGGAAAGTGAACAGTCCTCTTAGCACTGGAGAGTAAAGGCTCATTATGAGTCATGCTTTTGTGCTTTTCCATATTCCACATTTTAAGTGAAAGTGCTAAGAGGATAAGAAGAACTTTTAGATTAGAAGTAAAAACTACCACAAAGGGAAAATATAGTGTCCTGTATTCAAGTGTTTAGATATTATTTAGTAGTCAGCCAAAAGAATAATCTATAATCCATGAGTATTGTATTTGTGCTGTTAGGTCATACTGTTGCATTACTGTGTTTTACTGTTCTCAAGGTGAATTGTGTTTCCTCTTTTGTTATTTCCTCTATTACATTGCACTGTAGTTTATTGAGTACCTGTTTTTTCTCAAATACAACCAACTCTTTTTCTCCCCCTTCACGTAACACATTTTTATTTTAATATATAAAAAGTGAATAGATATAAATGTATCCTCGTTACATTGTTACAATACATGTTGTATAATGTACATATCTCTCTTGGGAACGTATGGTAGAACTATTGGGTTGAATATAAGCTGAACTTATATAAATACAACTTAAATAAAATTATCTTGACGCAAGACCATCGGTCACAGGGCATTTTCGACTGAAAAACGGACACCAACGACATACTGCTGCGGAGCTAAAGAATGAATACAAAATAACTAGAAAATAAACAACTGTATTGTGGATATTATTTCTCTTTTTGCATTTTAGTCAGATCAGCGTAGACATTTACTGACAGTTTTAGTTTATTCAGAATTTCAAAAGGCAGAGAAGTCTGCCCTACAGAAGGTTTATATGAAAAAAACAAAGGTTTGTGACTTGTGTGATACGCAATCTGCAATGATGAAAGAATGCCTGCCATTGCACAACAGTTTAGACAAAAGTATGTTGGTGTTGGACAGGAATAACCGGGAAGAGGAAAGCAGCACGCGTTGAAGCATGTTTTATGTGTGCCACAAGTATTTACAGCTTCTTGCAAACATGATCATATAAGCAACGAAGAATTTCTTACAAATCATTTTCCTCTTTCTTTCTTTCGACAGTCGGACTTCCATTTTTCATCCTCACCCCTCAACACAACCCTTTCAAACGGGGTTTCTTCTGTAACGACGAGTCCATCCGATACCCCCTCAAGGAGGACACCATTTCCTACCAGCTGCTGGGAGGAGTCATGATCCCCTTCACACTCATCGTGGTAAGCGACCGTCATCTTCTCCCACGAGTTCCCCGAGCGGGAAAAATGTCCGTCGGCGAGGTCACTCGTTGTGTGTCCTCTTCCCTTTCTGTTGGCAGATCGTCTGCGGCGAGTGCCTTTCTGTTTACTTGTCTCGCGTCAAGAACCAGCCTCTGGGCACCAAGTATGTAGCGTGCGTCTACAAAGCCGTGGGCAGCTACGTGTTCGGAGCGGCTGCGAGCCAGTCCCTGACGGACGTAGCCAAGTACTCCATCGGCCGCCTGCGGCCCAACTTCCTGGCCGTGTGCAAACCGGCGTGGAACAGCATCCACTGCAAGGCCGGAGGATACGTGGAGAACTTCACCTGCACAGGAGACAATTTTCTGGTGGATGAGGCCAGGTAATGCGCCAGCTTCTTTTCTAGAAAGGGAAATGCAGGTAAACTTATAGGATGTAGCGTCTTCTGACTGAATCATCACACTGTTGGCTCTGTGTGAGAAGTGGAGTCTCTCTGAGAGCGACTCGATCCCAAGCAACTGGCATTATTTTGTAAGACGTTCTATTCTTCTATTAACTATTATGGCAATCTGTTCTCCAAAGACTTAGTATAACAATTTCTCTTCAAGTGTAGTCTACATGTCTACAGCCTCTTAGTCCTCAAAACGTTAAATCATACTTAATTGAGCTTTTCTCCAATTTAAGTGTCTCAATAACTGGAGTAAAGAGAAAACATGCATATAAAAGTAACAGAAAATGAAAGCACACATACACATTAATCATTTACTGTAGAGAGTCTTTTTATGAGACCTTCCCTATCTGCCTGCAGTCCCCATTATAATCATAAAATCAGTTACCGTAGTTCTTGGTGAAGCTTCTCTGTCACCGCAGATGTTATACAGCTGTCAGTTGTTAAATCATTCAATTCATTATGGTAAAATGAGAGTGACATAGAGTTTGATTATCATACCTATAAAGTAATGAAAGGTGACTTAATTAAGCTCATGGCTAGTTTCATTCTGTATGTCTTTTGTTTATTTGTTGCAGATTGTCCTTCTACTCTGGTCATTCATCCTTCTCTATGTACTGCATGCTGTTCCTTGTAGTAAGTACATTTAAATATATCGCCCGAATGTGTAATATTTGAGTGCTGGAAATGCTAAAAACAATGCTGTTTAATTGTATGTATTGTGATTCTACACTACACTCCTTTACATTATACATGACTAATGTATGCATGCTATTGTCAAACAGTATAAGCATTGCCGTACAGACGACAACATTCTCCTCAGCAACGCTTAAGTTGCCAACACCTGTACTGTGGATTTTGGCTCCGACCAAATAAGCAGCTTTCATTGTTTCTAATATTTAAATGTTCCCTCGTCGTCCTGTAGCTGTACATTCAGGCCAGACTGAGGTCAGAGTGGGCGAGGCTGCTGCGTCCCACCATCCAGTTCTTCCTGACTGCCACTGCTGTGTATGTGGGTCTGTCCAGGGTGTCCGACTACAAGCATCACTGGAGCGACGTGCTCGCTGGCCTCCTGCAAGGAGGTTTAGTGGCCACTCTCACGGTAAGATTCCTCTAAAGACCTATTAGCTCAACGATAAAGAGAGGTACACATACATATGTGACACCTAAACACATTACAGTGAATATGAGCGGGGGTTTGAGGCAGATTTTGGTCACTGAGTACTGCAGAAGGTTGCTATAAGTACGGTCCATTTACAAGTACTATAGTACCAGTAGAATGATTTTTTTTTTTATTGTGTTGCTCATTTTTCTGCAGGTCTTCTGTGTGTCCAATTTCTTTGAACAGCCGGTGGACCCTGTAGTGTCACAAGAGGAAGAGGCCTCCCACACCAGTCTACAGGAAAATCCTCCCAACGGGAACCACTATGGCAGCACTGAATGAATCAAAGACGATACTCTCGAGGCCCCGCGTACCTTGCAATGATCACGGAGGACCTAAACCAATGAACTGCAAGTCTTTGATGTAATCAACTGGTTGCCGTTTGTGTACATTTGTTGGACAGTTTCATCTGTGCTGAGGGCTTCAGCTGACACCTTTTGGTGTCGTCGGTAAAGCTTGATTCAAGGAAGAAAAGTGCACTATAGAAGACAGTTCTTGCACTTTACTGAGGTATAAAGAAGCAGAACCGTCTGCAGTGGTTTTGGGTAAATGAAACACGTAGTAGTTTATGGAATGACAAAAAAAATACAGCAAATGAGCTTCCAGAAAGTTGCTCCTTTTTCTTTTACAGTGTGCGCTTGTTTTAAATGGGGTTGCTCGTGTATACTGGTCTGATGTTGCCATCATGAATGAATGAATGAATGGAATTCCTGTAGCCCCCGAATATAATGAGCGTCTGTGTGCGCACTGCAAGCCGGCTTGTAGAGGGCCGGGCACCTGTGAATAACAACCTGGACTGTCCATGAACTTCAGATGGAGACTGAACTCCGAAATAATACATTGATTTTTGCTACCTGCTGTTATGTCCCTTCCCTGATGTTTTTACGGTTTATATGAAGCAAAATCTGTTTTTGTCAATAAAAGGTATTCAGATCATTACTGTGTGATGTGTGACAATTAAAGAAAGCTCTATTTTGCTACTTTGTTACTGTGTTTTTCCTTTAGAATAAAAACAAAGATATAATGTGAGTGTGAAGATATTTTCATAAGGCAGAATTGCTCTCAGAGAGAGAGAGAAAGAGACAGAAACCAAGGATGTGATCCAGTAACCAACTTTGTCTCCGAAATGCAGAAATGAAAGCAAAAAAAAACACTGGTTTGGTCCAAACCACAAGCAGGCAAATGCCTTTGAACGTCAATGGGGGGAAAAAAACATGTTATTTTCATTATCCTGGTGGTACCATTAACTAGCCGACCAAGGCTGTATTTTCTTGTTCTAACACAACGAGGTCGGCCTGTGTTCCCCGGAGGAAACCGTAAGCAGACCGGCGCTGATCCTTGGCTGAAGCTCTGCTTTGCAGCGTGAAAATTTGATTTGATCCTATTGACTACACACAGTGACAGCAAATAACCAGACTTTTATCAACATCTAGTGAGGTCTGCAGGCCCCACTCAGAGCTACTGTTTGATTGAATCAGCAGAGCTACTGGGGTTCTTCTGCATTCTTCAACTTCATCACGGCAGGAGCTCAATCCTGTGCCTGAAAACTCAACAAGCTTAGAAAGATTTCTGGCGTCGAGGAGGAGCAGGTCCTCCTGCCACAACACACGAGCCAATCACATACAATGTGTGGTCTCCTAACATTAATGTAAACATAACAAAGCGTGAGTGTCTTATGGTGCTTGGTGTGTCTCTAACTCATCCTTATCAGAACTGTCTGCCTGGTTGGCACTTTCTGCTTTGCTTTCTGACCTCTGCGCTCAACTCACTAACCCAACCAGGATGGGACAGTGACTCCCTAAATGAGCAGTAAGACAAACGCCTGGATCAATTTACCCCCTTTTTACATAATTTATTATGTGAACATTAAATCAAAAATGTTAAAAACATATATCGGTGTGTGTGTGAGTGAATGTGTTCATACCTACTCCCACTCTCCTCCGGCCTCAACCATTGGATCCTTTCATGTAACCGACTGACGTTCAGTGTAAATTCACGTTTCATGATGTTATGCTGTTGATTACCTGGTTTTTATTTCAAATCCAACCAACTCTTTTTTTTTCTCCCCTTCACACAACTAACTATGGGCAACTTTCCCGTCATCCCCTAAACACGGGACGTCCCCACAGACACATTGTAGGTCTACACCACGTTACATGGTGCACGTGATCAATTTAACTGACATTGCTAACCACAGTAGCAGCCGGCACACTGTTATATATACCCTATGTATGTATATATAGAATATATATAGGATATGCTTGCTGCTAATGTGATTAGCAATGCCAGTTGAATTGTAGCTGCTGCTAATGTCTCTCTGTACTCTCAGGGGAAACTTTCCTAGTTTCAGTTCCTGTTGAATCTTGACTTCTAACATCCAGTTAGAGCCGCGCATTAACAGGTCATTTTTAGGAATATGTGAAAGGTTCCCTGGAGAAATCATCTTGACTAAACCCTGACAACTTTGATTTAGAGGCCAAACAGCACAGGTGCTGTCAATACATGAATGGGTGTTGTGCAGATTCCTTCACAAGCCTTATCATTTTATGAATGTTGCATGAACACAAGGTCATGACCCCAAGTACGTTTTGTCCTGGGAGAAACTGCTCACGTTGCTGTAGCACCACTTCCACCTCCCCCACATCAGAAATGTGACCGATCACGTTGTCTGTCGCTCCACAAAGCCCTTCCTTGTTATCACGCTGACCTCAACAATAGTCTGAATTGAAAGCAGCTCCATTCACTCTCACACGTCTCACTTTAACTTGCCAGGCAGTGATGTCACTGGAGAAACAAGCGACCCACAATACAGAGACAGCTGTCATAAAAACATCGTGGATTAAATTCTTTGCAGTTTTCCAGAGAACTTCTCCTGAGAGAATCAATACTCAAATACCTTTACAGAACAGAATTCTATTAACAGGTAGAAAATGATTGGCGGAAAGCGAGCCAATAAGTGGTCTTACACTCCACCTTTGATAAAGTTTCACATGGAGTAACCCAGAGAGGAACTAACCACCTGTTTGTCTTGCAACTGTTGCGGTGTGAACTGCAGATTGGGCAGCGTGATAAAGGTTGGCTTTGGTGTTGTGAAAACACAGGTACGGACGTACAGGTTGTTACACAAGAGCTCTCCACCTGATCCCCCGTGACAAATGTCAGTAGCGGTAACATTGTCTGCTAGTTCTTTCTCTTGGATGAAACCTTAAATGTGTAATTTATTCAGTAACAATTGCTGCGCTAGTTGTGTACTTTTATTTAACAGGAGAGCAAAGTGAGTGAATTGGAGGAGAACAATATGTGAAGGGAAAATGCATTGAGGTGTTATCAAAAGGGTTATTTGCTGACCCCTCCAGCAACTCGGTTAGAATGCAGTCCAGCTTAAAGCCTAGTTTGTGCTTCCGCGTTTTCAGAGCGACGCGAGCCTCGCGCAGCGCACCAGGCTGCGATTGGTCCGCTGACTACGCCCTTTACGGAGTGTCACGTTTCCGCTTCCGTAGCCCGACAGCGCCATTATTAAAACGGAGACTGTTTAAGAAAGAACGGAGCAGAGTGAATAGCTTTTGTCGGAAGAAATGCGTATATATGACCGCTTCTACAAGCCGTCATTGGCGGACTATAAGGACGTGCGGATGGTCTCCCGATTCACGGAGGGAAAAAGGTGCACAAAGTTGTGGAGGAAAATACGGGACAAATGTGCACGCGATGAAAAGCAGCAGTGGCGATGCACGGGGCAATAAAGTCTGTGATAAATAAATAAACAAATACATAAATAGACGTGACTCTCTAGGTCGTCTAAAACAAAACTCGTTACTACACCTGTTGTTCTGGCGGTGAATTGCTCTGCAACACACGCAAGACTTTTAGAACCATGAAATGAAACGAGTGCGTCGACGCAGAAGCAGAAGTGTGCGCCGGCCGTCAGTCGGGAAAGAGCACCGAAGCGACGGGGCGCCTTCGTCGGACCTCGCGCTGTGAGGAAGTCACTAAACAGTAAGTCAATGACATATAATGTCATATAATTACTAGTTCATAGTTGTGTTCACGTGTTTGACTAGTTGCATATCACAGATGTTACCTAACTAATAAATGAGGATCTTGTAATAGATTGTTTAAAGTCAGTCAAATGTAAACACATTAATGCCTCAATGATTAGGGTAATATATGATATATTTGGCATCACGACTAGTTTTAATCTTTCATTAAAGTTCATTTCGATGCTAAGTCCCTGAAGCCCATGTACGAGGGACTGGCACAGCGCTGCAGGCATAGAAAAGGCACAATACCAGTGGGTAGACAGGTAAATTATATAAATATTTTTTACCATCATTGGTGACACAAACAGCTCATAGTCTTAGATTACTTTTCATTTTTTTTCAGTTTAATTAAAGGAAAGCCCTTTGCATTCAATTTTATTTTGATGACCATATACACTGGAGCACACGTGGTGGTCTATATGCCTGCTGTCACATTGATGTCTTTCCTTTTATTTTTCTTCCAGGGATTGCTGTGTTGCACTCAAGGTGGCAGAGTCGTTTGCAGGAGAGCATCTGAATGGGATTCTTGGAGAACAACAAATGCAATTGTTGCCGATGTCACTTCTGGTAACCTCCGTAACACATGTGCATCAAGATAACATTTTAATGCAAACATTAATATGAAGCTGGACTTGTTTCACTGCATGAGGCGGTTCCTCCGTGAGTGTGTGTCGGAGCATCACGCCCTGTACAGTTGCTTTGCTCAGTTCCTCTGGACTGGGACAAGCACAACAGCAAGACAGATCACCTTATTTTTATGGACAGCGTAATACATTTGTGTCACTTTTCCATTTTTTTACAAGATGTGAAAATATATTTAGGGTGTTATTGAATAAACATTTACATACAAATACCAGTCTTTCGTGAGCTTTTAATGAAAGTTTATATTTATTATACAAGTATTTCATTCTATAGGTCAGAATGACTTATTGTACTCCGTCTTTTGTTCCTGTAGAAACCCCACGTCCGCCGTCGCTGGCAGTTATCGACCAGCTGCTCAACAAACACCGTAAGCAGAAAGACATGCTGAAGCTTGTGGACCAGGACTACGCTGGACTCCTGTACAGACCCCAGCAGCATGCTCCACCCGACAACAAAACTACATATTCTACAATATGTAAAGCACCTCAGCAAATTGTTGAACACCAGTTCCTCTTTAAACGTCAGTCCAGAAAAACTGCAAGAGAGGCAGAAACTCTGTCACGCTCTGACAGAGGCGAGTGAGACCACTAGTGTGCCAGTTGTTACGATGTCTGTTGCAATTGTTCACCCAACTCCACCTGTTCAGATGGTGACTCAAGCCTCTATTGAGAAGATTGTACTCAACATCATGGATAGCAGGAACAACAACAACAACAACCGGGACAAAAGAAGGGACACATGAAAGACAAAGTTATTTCAGCTAGAACTGGATGCCACACAGAAAAGGGTGGCAGAGAAAGGACAGCAGAAGAGGAAGAGAACTGATTGTCCGCAGGTCGCAAGTGTCGTTTCTGTAAGATGGAACTGAAGCAGGGCCCAAACAGTTGTCACATTCACACTGGGTTCCCTGGAGTAACAGAGAAGTACATTTTCTGCCACACTAAAATCTTTTCACTATACAAAGACCAGGGCATGGACAAGGAAATGACATGGAGAGAGTTCCAGGGGTCTGCATTCTTTGATAAATGAAAATAGAGATGGGAGGCTGAAAGGAGGAAGGAAGAGAAATAATAGGGGAATTCCATCTAGCATTTTAAGTCCCTTTATTATTAATATTCATGTTGTAATTAGTTTATATATTGGTTTCTTGCATTTCACACCCTATCCTCGCCACATCTGTCTGCACCCACGTCGGTGCTGACTTTAGAGCAGCAGAAGGAGATGTTGATGTAGTAATTTGAGCAGGAGAGAATCCGGTTGAACATGGAAACGGAGCAGCCAATTCATATAGAAAAGTTTCATTTTTTTACCCCAAATCTTGACTTGCGGCAGTATAAATTGAGTTTGTGACTAAGCTTTCAGTGTCTGTTCTGCGCCTGTGCAGGTTGTGTTCGATGTTGGCGCTAATTTGCGTTTAATGCCCAGATTCAATGAGAAGGATCCTGTTTTACACTTTTTGAGCGTATTGCAGATGCAAGAAATTGGCCTGATGCTTCAGTGCGTACTTACGGGTATGAGGCCCTGCGCCCTGTTCCTCGTACGTGGTTCAATTAGAGACTTCCCCATCTACCTACTGGCATCTGTGGCCACCTACTGGACAGATGATACAAAGGCACTAGACTATCTTACACTAAATTAGCTGACGCTTTTATCCAGAGACTTAAGTGCATTCAACCATAGGGATACAAACCCAGAACAACAAAAAGGGACAAGAAAGGGCAATTTCATCAATTAAGCCAATTTATAACTTGAGTGCCATAAGTGCTATAATTTGCTAGTCTTTTAGTCGAGGTAGATCTTGCAGATGTGAAGGTTCTCTGCGGTCCTGGTGTCAGAGCTCGTTCCACCATTTAGGAGCCAGGACAGCAAAGAGCCGTGATCATTATGTTTCAAGGTTAATATTAAACAATTAAAGAGAAATTATAAACCTTCCTTGTTTTGCAAATGATAGAGTTGTAGATTTGTTGTGATAGGTATACATTTAATGTTTTAGTCAGAACAAAACCAAAGCAATTTGATTTATATAGTTATATTATTCCATTCGCTTTTTAAAAACATGCTAAAATAAATGTGCCAATTAGTTGATTTGTGGCATCGCTTGCTTTCCTGCACCGTTAAGAGTTCACTCCAATACAAAGGCCAAGAGAAATAAATGATCCGCAGGACTTGCCACACAACAGAACACAGGACAATACAAGATGGATTTGATGTGACCACATCACTGAATTTATTACCACGGTATCAAACATTTGACCACAGCAGAGAACCCAGGCTTACAGTCCTTCCATCCACTGAACACATTCAGGAGCAGAAACATGATAACTTGCCCTCTTAAATATAATGCTCTCATGAACAACTTGCTACGGCAAACAGAATACAAGACTGGTGGATGTTACCGTTTTCTCCACACTGAAATATTACAGTAAATTCAAACGCACATTAAATGCGTTTAAATAAACATTGTGCGCGTTTGTTTACCGCACACAAACCGAACACTCCTCAGTCACTGGGAACCGGCCTAAACAAAAAACCTACTTCAGTTAAGCTCACAACCAGAAGAATTTTACACCACAGTAGGGTTGTAAAATGTTTTATTTGGAGAAATCTGTACATGGAGGTCTTGGCCTTCAGTGTGTTCACATATAGAAGCATAATGGGACAGACAGGTAAGCTCACTGAAGATCGATGGAAGTGTAATCCATTACTCAAAACTGGACAGGAAGCTGAGAACAATTGCCTTCAGTTTAGTATCTGATGCCTCTGAGATCATGCCGTCAACCCTGAAACAGAAATAAAATTAGCACTTTAGAAGATGGCTACTTCCCACTTTGAACATATTTTAGCAGAGGACTACTTCTCACCTGATAGCGTTGAGCAGGTCCTGGTGCTGGCCGATGACGTGCTGCAGGAAAGCCTTCTCGAACCTTGTGATCTTGCTGGGCTCCATCTTGTCCAGGTGACCTCTGACACCGGCATAGATGACTGTTACCTGCTCCTCAATGGCCATGGGACCTGGGGGAGGGGGTTTAGTTTGGCTTTTAAAAATACACACACACACACACAATACCAGCCTTGTATTTACTTTCCATTTATTGGCGGATAGAAACGGAATAATGGCTGACACTCACAGTACTGTCCCTGCTTGAGCAGTTCAGTGAGCCTGACGCCCCTGCTCAGGAGCTGCTGGGTGGCAGCGTCAAGATCAGAGCCAAACTGGGCGAAGGCCGCCACCTCACGGTACTGAGCCAGCTCCAGCTTCATGGTACCGGCCACCTGCAGGGAAGAAGGACCATTTATGATGCAGACTGATGACGTGCAGGATTTGTTTTCATAAAACCATTTACTGTGAAACCAAACACAAAACCCCACCTGCTTCATGGCTTTGGTCTGGGCAGCAGAGCCTACTCTGGACACAGACAGACCCACGTTGATGGCCGGGCGGATACCCTTGTAAAACAGCTCAGTCTCCAAAAAGATCTACGATTAACAGATCAAGACATTGCAGTAGATAAAGATTACGCAGATGTAGAATGTTTCACATGCGGGCCGGAGTCCAATCAATGATGTGAAGGATATCTTTGGACAAACCTGTCCGTCTGTGATGGAAATGACATTGGTGGGGATGTAGGCAGACACGTCACCGGCCTGGGTCTCAATGACTGGAAGGGCAGTGAGGGAGCCGCCGCCGAAGTTGTCATTCATCTTAGCAGCTCTCTCCAGCAGACGGGAATGCAGGTAAAAGACATCGCCAGGGTAAGCCTCACGGCCGGGGGGACGACGCAGCAGCAGGGACATCTGACGATAGGCAACAGCCTGAGGAAGGGGGGGTATTAACATTAACATCACATGGTAATTATAATAATAATAATAATTATGCACAACATCTGTTCACTGTAATCATGAGAAACATTTCTTGAAATCTATCATGATTTGAAGTGATTTATTTTTCTAATTTTCATACAGCAATCTGTGTCCTCACCTGCTTGGACAGATCATCATAGATGATCAGGGCATGCTTGCCGTTGTCTCTGAAGTACTCTCCCATGGAGCAGCCAGAGTATGGGGCCAGGTACTGCAGAGGAGCAGCATCAGAGGCGGTGGCAGAGACCACGATGGTGTACTTCATGGCATCAGCATCAGTGAGCCTCTTCACCAGCTGGGCAACAGTGGACCTCTTCTGGCCAATGGCAACGTAGATGCAGTACAGCTTCTTCTTCTCGTCAGTTCCTTCGTTAAAGCGCTTCTGGTTGATGATGGTGTCGATGGCAATGGCAGTTTTGCTGTTTAATGAAAATTACATTTAAAAAAAAGCCTTTAAAATTGATTGATTGAATGCATGGCCAAAGACTGGTAGATGTTTGTGTAAAAGTATTTACCCGGTCTGCCTGTCGCCAATGATCAGCTCACGCTGGCCTCTGCCAATGGGCACCAGGCTGTCCACGGCCTTGATTCCAGTCTGCATGGGTTCCCTCACAGAGATACGGGGGATGATACCAGGAGCCTTCAGACCCACACGTCTACGGATGCTGGAGCCCAGAGGACCCTGATGAAACAAAGATGAATTGTTAAAAGTTGAACCAAGATATCAGGACACTGACAAGTGTACCCCTTAAGGCATTTATTTATTTATTTAAAAAAAAGAAAGAAAAAAAAAAAGAAGAAGAAAACCAGCAATAGTGGATCATGTTACCTTTCCATCAATGGCATTTCCCAGAGCGTCGACCACACGACCAAGCAGCTCCAAACCAACAGGGACATCCACGATGGCACCAGTCCTCTTCACGATGTCGCCCTCCTTGATCAGTTTGTCATTACCGAACACCACAACACCGACATTGTCGGGCTCCAAGTTCAGAGACATGCCCTGGAGGGAAAAGCATAGTTTTACAATAGTTGTGGTGTCATTAAAGAAGGTATCAGTAAAGCTAAAATGAAGGTTTTGGCCTTTCAGTTTGAGCATTTCAGGAAAAAGGTACACAATGCTCTTTGATTGCAATACCGCTACAGGGTAAAACAATATTGTGTGTCAAGTTTAGCTTTAATGGAGTGTGTTTAGAACATCTTTGGTTTTAACAAACCTTCAGTCCAGAGGAGAACTCCACCATCTCTTCTGCCTGGACATTTCTCAGCCCATACACTCTGGCAATACCGTCACCAATGGACAGCACTCGGCCAGTCTCCTCAAGATCTGCAGAGGTGTCAGCTCCCAAGATCTTCTCCTCCAGGATTGAAGACACCTCAGCTGTGCCTGTGGAAGACAATGACAAATACTTTCTGAATACAGATGCATTCATTTTAACAAAAACAAATTGACAATGTGTTGATTTGATTGTACCAGATAAATCATATTTAGAGAAAAATAATCTCTGTAAAAAAAAATATAGATTTAGAAGAACTAGATAATATTTCAGAATTTGGGTGTAATACGTTGAATGTATTTAATTGGAAAAGAGATTCAGTTCTCAGTATCGATTATCTCATAATATTCAATTGATCAGTATACAAATATTTTTTTACAAAGATAATAATCCACTATCTTATCATATTACTGGTTTGAATATATGTATATTTCTCTAGATCGTTATAATGGAACATACAACTAGAGATGAACATGTCAATGCAGTGATTTCAGATTAACACGTCAACCTGAAGAAAGCTATTCTATTCTTTTGACACAGTAACCACAATCTCTGTAAAGACTGTACTCGATGACCTTCATAAAACTACCCTTGGTAGATGACCTAGAGTACGGGGGATAAAGCATCCGTCATTGTTTTAGTCTCACCTGTCTTCTGCAGCCATGGTCTGTGTGTGTGGAGGTGGTTGACCCCAACACAGGCGACTGGTAAAGCCTTGGACACCTGATTAAAATCAATCAAACTTCAATATTTGCAAATAATAACATTTCACCACACATATCGCAGCGACGATCAAAACGTGCACTTTAATCGCTGCGCTAGAGTGCCGCCGTGCAGCGGCGACGACGTGCGCTGTCAGGCTTCCTGACCTTCAAAGCGTGGCTGAATGAGCCGTTAGCTGGGAGCTAGCGCTAACATTAGCATAGTGTGCTAACTATAGCGCTGCAGGACGGGGAATGTCGTTTCACAAGGGCAACTTCGACAGAAACACACGCAATACGACAATTTGGAGTTAAATGACGCGAGTCGTTATTGAAGAGAGCGCATGTGCGTTTAAGGCCGTATTAATACGTGGATGTTAAGTCAGCTAGCGGCCTAAACATTACCCTTCACGCCTAAAAAAGGTCCACGAAGCTGTAATAGATTAACATGCGCCAACATTCACATCGGACGTAGAGATTTTAATTGAAATACTTACAAATCCAGCCCTTCTGGGCAGGGTCCTGGCCAAAGCTGCTGCAACTCTCACGGTTAACATTTTTGTTGCTGATGACCTGTCCTCCACCACTAACGGCTGCGACCTGGCTGAGAGTCAGAGTGTAATGGCTGAATGGACTCTTCTTCTATTTATGTGACACTGACGTCTCGTTTTCCTCTTCTCTGCTCGGCTGCGCCCCCTGCCGTCACGGGCCTGGTAGTGCAGGCTACTTCCTTTTAACAATATAGACGTGTATTGGCAAAGGATTTGCGCTTATCGTTTTTCTTCAGTAAGATGTGTTGCCTATATTGCTCTATAGGAAGAAAAAAAGGAAAATTCTTACGTTGAGGTGTTCATTTAGCTAAAAGTACAAAAGTATTATCAACAAGAAATCATTTCTTAGCAGAGTGTCCCTTTCAAAATGTTACATGTAATAATTAGGCTTATGTTACAGCTGGTGGAGCACATTTAAATATTAATTCGGTGGATAGTTCAATCTATAGCACAGTATGCTATGTGTTGGATTAATGTAATAGGCTAAACATGTAATAACCCATATTAAATGGAGTGTAGTTGAAGTGTAAAGTGGCATAAATTCAAGTAGTTATTTAAAATTATACTGCACAGAATTTAGGGTGGACAAAACGTCCAGGATTACATTCAGTATGTGCAGTCCTGTCCAAAACAACCACCCACTATGACCTCGACATGCACATGAAGTATATAATAGTTGCAGCCCATGATTAAAGCCCTACACGTGGAGAGATGAGTGGGTCTAATTACAGCATGTTGCACCATGGGACATGTAGGAGCGCGCGGGCTTGACCTTGAGCTCTTATATTCAGTCAATGACTTAATCGGGATTAAAGACACAATCTAAAATCAACCTAATTGGACAGTTTTGAGGAAACAATAAAAGGCATTTGTGTTATTCCTCACTCCTTGTACATTCTCAGATAACACACTCTTTTTATTGTATGTTCTGTGTGTGTCTGTGTTTTCTCCCAACGCGTCAAACAATCGCTCATGTATATTATTTTACTTGTTTTTCGCGTTATTAAGATTAAGCTCAATTGGCTCGGCTTGCTAGGTTTAACCGCGAGAGACGCCCCAGCCGTGGTGGCGTAGCGGCGCAACATCGCCCTCTTCCGCCCGGGACCTCGCACGGCATGTCTGCCCCAGCGAAGGACGGCCGAGGCAGACTCAGTCGCTCCGGTGGGTCCGCCTGTGGTGCTAGCCAGCGACGACCAGCCGCCTGAATGTAGATCCGCATGGGCTACTGCTATTCTTTCTCTCCGAATAACCCGGCGGAACCATAAGATAAGGATCCCAGGATGGTCTTAGTGCATGTCGGATATCTGGTTCTTCCCGTATTCGGCTCAGTAAGAAACCGAGGTACGGTATTAATATTCATATCGTTAAGCTTAATATGCACTGCAGCTGTTGGCTAACGTTAGATAGCTCGAGTTTAGCCGTTGGGTTGGCTCGCTTTAGCTAGCTTAAAACTAACATTAAATTATTTGATAAAATTTCGGTAACGTAATTTGTTTCCGACGCACACTATTACAAAACATCGAGTTATACTGCTTTCCTCGCAAAATTTCTTCTAAATCGAGAAAAATACCGCCGCTAAAGATAAGCTAACTGTCTCGTCGGCACTGGCTATGTATTGGAACGGAAACATTCTCACAAAGGATTTCACGTCCACGGGGCGGGCTGTCCACGAACGCCCCAATAGACGATCGTAGCAGACTATTTTAGTCGTATACCTACTGGTGCCGGGGAAATAGTTTTTAGTTCAATAAAATTACAATATACTGTTAATCCCCCCAAGGAACTGCCGTGTATTTGCACTGTAAAAATACCGCAAAATAGACGTAGCCTTTCCAGCCAGTCAGCTTATCTGTGCCTGGATGATGTCATTTGAAGATCAACTGCTTCTGCCAGCGCTCGCCGTTTTTCCAGCGTGATTTCAGTAACAATAACCCGTGTCGGTTGGCCAACGTGCTAATCGATTCACGGCCAATCGCCCGGGCAGCGCGGACTCGCGAGCCATTAAAGCATCCGTCGCCCTTTTTATTTGCTAATTGGCAAATTGAGCAGCTGTTCGTTTGAAAGACCCAAGTAACGTAATGTGGTCTCAGTAAAACGATGGTGAAGCTACAGTGTAACATTAATTCCATAACAGTGGCATCAATGATTTCATTGTGCTTTTATTTCTGTTCTTATTTCCCTGTTTCATAGTATGGAGGCTGGCTCTACATTCTGCATTTATCAGATCTTTGTCGTCTTTCCCCCCCCCCGCCCCCCCATTGTGTAGCTAATGATCATCTGCTGCTGTGTGGTGTGGCCTCTGCCTGTTCTCTGCATTTAGCTGTATTGTGAATCCCTTCTTCATTTCCTCTTTCCATCAGAAGACGACATTGGTATTAAAAAGCACCCCCTCCCAAAGATGTATTCAGTGACAGACTTTCCATGTTGAGCCGACTAAAACAAACGCTAACACCTAGATCAGAGCACTTTTTTGTCTTGTTTTCTGTCAAATTGCTGTAGCACTGAGTATTACATTTTAGCTCCTTTTTTTTAGAAGTCAGTTGAATGTCATTGTGTACTTCCCATCCAGTCTTGATAGACAACATGCTGTAAATTCCTGTAAAGTGGATACATTTTGCATGATCTTAAATACTGCACTGCATTGTTGAACACCAGAATTCGGCTCATCTTCCTTCTTTTCACACAAGGTGCAATGTACATGATTAAAGTGACCTAAAATTAAAAAAAAAAAAAAACAGCATGCAAATTGGAATCCTATGCGTGCCAATTTTTGTTGTTAAAACTCAGCATTCCAGCAAATGCTGTCATTGGATCACTTAAAATTGATTGAAGGTACACTGCACCTGAACACAACAACTGCCATAACTGTCTCCATTTTTGTGTAATCCTTTTTGTTCCCCTTGCAAATTCCAAGCTTGGAATCACACTGAATTGTCAGGGCTGCTTGCCCCTTAGTGGCCAATGAAACGCCAATCATTTACGGAAGCAAAACATGCTCACTGGTGGTTCAGTACGTCCAATATTCCCCCACTAACATGGCCAAAATGCTATCCATTTCACAGGGATGCCTATTTTCCTGCACTGCTAAAGAGATCCTCTATTAGTAATAACGTCTTTATTGTTTGGTTGTGGTCTCTCTTTACCTTTTTGTTCTGGTAATAGTACTTTCAATGCATGGTCACGTTTTATGATTCATAATTTTTTGTTTTTGTTTTTCTACATTGACTAGTGAAAATCCAATGTAATCTTTCTGTAGTAAAGATGTACCCTGCTGTACTGAAATCATGTGCTGTAGCCAACACGTCTGCTCATTGGATGCCGCTTTTGTTCTTTTTAACCCTATTGGAGCATGGTGGGCCTTGCCTTCAGTCTATGTTGTTTATTTTTGTTGCATGGATTTATACTATTATTACAAACAAACAAGAAAAAAAAATCCACATATACTAATATTTTTCAATAAAGAATATAGTATTTTTCCTAACCTTCAGTGTGCTTCTTGCTGATTTCCATTTATTGTCCTCCCTCTCCCTTGTTCCTACCTGCCCCCCACCCCACCCTCCCACCTCCTCGCCCGCTGTGACAAAGATAGACAGTTTCCACGCTTCCTCCATCACAGGGCTTGAATGAGTCTATCTGCTGTCATTCATGGTGACCGTTTTCACTGAGACGCTTGAAAACGCAGTGTTACAGTCTAGACTCGAGCGGTTGACCCTGGGCAGCAAGGTCATCGTTTGTCTGCCCGGCAACACTGGCGACCTGAATTAATGCTGGAAGGTCACACTTCTGATCTTTCTTCCGGGTGTGTTTTAAACTCAAACTGCACTTTTCAAGCGTACTCTTAGTAAATGCATTGTAGACGTTGCCTATTTCCTCATGATAAAAAAAAAAAAAAATTAAATTTCTACACTATCACAGCAGATTCAATTCAAACCGTGCTTGATTTTTACTGCACAATTTCATGTCTAAACACTGTAAATTCACTGCTTTGGTTTCTGCCAGGTGGACATAACAGCACAGCGAACCCTGCAGACTAATTATGGCTCCCCGTTTAGCCAGGGTGTCCTCAAGAATTCCCAAACGCTATTTTTGTGACTTCTCAGCACATGCTTAATGGAAAAAGTATTTTTAGTAGACTTGGATTATTAAAACCACATTGCACCACAGCACATCTGTATTCTTCTCCCTGGTGAGTCTCCACAGCAGTCCGCTGCCTGCAGTTGCCAAATAGCTGTGGTCGAAGAGGGTTTCAAAAGCATTTAAGCTATTTCCTCTCAACTCGAATGTTCATATGAGAGAATAAGTAGGGCCACACGTTATGTGCGAGGATACACTAGGTTTGAGAGAAGCACGGTGCGAAATACTTAGAATTGAATATCTGGTTTTATGTTTATAAGGAAGGTATTGTTTAGCGCTAATGTAGATCGAGACGTGGCTCCCATCGTGTGTCTTTGATGCAGCCGGGCAGTAAAGGTTTCACTCAGAATTCACAAGAACCGAGCCCAGTTACAGACCGCATGCCGGTCGGTTTCATCCGTACTGATCCAGTTGGCTTGTCTGTGAATCAGAAGACCAGGAGTCGATCCAGAGGTCGGAAATGCGATCACAGCTTGCGTATTGTATGCAGGACCAAAAATGGTCATGTTCATGGTACTTGTGGTAACCATCATTTCCCCGCCCCCACAGAAGTATTTTTCACCCTAGGTAAGAGGTAGGGCTTCATTAACATGCCAACTCTCTCACACACACATGCAGTGACACCACATTTCACCCACAATTAATTCCATCTAATCTCTCCACTCAGGTGCCTTACAACTTGTCCTCCTCCTCCGCAGGGTCCCATTTCAACCGGCAGCAGCAGCAGCAGCACAGCCATGCTACCTCTTGCCGGCACTTCCAGTTAGGTCCTCAGGCGCCGCTGCCCATGGACTTCCCCATGCCCCACCCGGGGCAGCCGCAGTCAGGCATTAACCCCCACCTGGCGCCTCCCGGCCACCAGCACGGCCCTCCGCTCCACCCGCCCCTCAACCCCCTGTCAGCTCCCCAGTTCCAGGAAATCCCCGCCCCTCCCTTCCTACCTCAGGCATTACACCAGCAATACCTCCTCCAGCAGCAGATCCTCGAGGCCCAGCACCGACACATCCTGCCACCCTCCAGGTATCCACTCCGGCTTTCTGGGGGAATGTGAAAGTACAGGAGATAGAAAAGACAAAGTCCTTATGTTTACAGTTACCCTTCTTGGTTTGAAAGTAAAGGTTTGATTTTGAAGTATTTAAAGGGCTTTTCGTGAGATGAAACCAAACAAAACAACTGCTATGTGTCTTAGACGCACCCCAGAGAGAGTTCCTCACCAGCCCACAGACTGCGGCCCAGCTATGAGTTTGCGCCCCCTCTTCATGTCCCTCCTCAGCCTGTGGTGCAGCAGCCCCGCTACCTGGCTGAGGGCACAGACTGGTAAGCAGAACCTTGCATGGATCAACACGGTATGCGGAACCACAGGCAAACGCTTGCTTTTTTTGGGGGGGGGGGGGAATCACTTTCACAACATTTCAAATTCACACCAAGTAAGTCTTATATGAAGTAATATAATACAGATATTCACACCAAAAAAGATCCCGAAGCTTTTCTTAGTGTGACTGAACCTGACCGGCCTCACATCTGCGTCCAGGCCAAGTTTCAATGAGTCTTTCACTAGACACCAAGATCGGCAGAACACATTGTACCTTTTACAAGGAGCTCTGTGAGTGAGCCACAGCAGCTGTGGAAAACTGAACACCAGGAGTTATCTTTTGTCATACTGTAGAAATGGTGAGGGCAAATTGAACGAACATCTAAACATGTAGAAGAAATGGAAGGGAGTGCTCAATATTGGGATTTGAGAGTGATTGGCAAAATGTGGCTCATTTAATGTTGCAAATCTTTTACCAATAAAGTGTGAGTATCAAAAACATTAACTTAGACCACAGGTGATGAAGATGATCACATGACTGATCCAAAGCTAATGGACAAGTGGAGACTGATGAAGTCCTGCAGCTCCAGTTCCGCCCCGTACCTTTAGTCAGTGGTCAATCTTTTGGAGTGTTTAGAAGCCGACAGCTCTGATTGATCACCTCAAGTAGGTAGTATTCATTCAACGCCATTCGTGGTCAAACTATCAGTTACCTTTAATTGTGCCAAATTATTTTCCATTACTTTACCTAACTGTTCATTGTACAGTACATTGCTTTATTTCATTTATGCCAAAGAAATCCTGAATCCTTTGAAGCGGCTGAACCAAAGCTCAAGCAATACTGTGTAGTAATCAACTTTAATCAGAAGATAATTTGCCAGTCAGACGGTGGAATAATGAATCGATTGCCGCAGTCTGACATGTTTTTTTTGGGGTCTCTCTACAGGGATCTAAGTGTGGATGCCGGGTTGCCCCCCCACCAGTATCACATCCATCCGCTGCCGCAGCACTACCAGCACTACCTGACCTCTCCTAGGATGCACCATTTCCCTAGAAACAATGCATCCACACAAGTGGTGAGCCCGGTCTGCCTCAGCACTATCGCTCACCTTTCTCCCGCGGGGTCATGAGAATAATCTCTAAACTCTCTAAAAAAGGGGGGATCTGCATTCCAGCTGATGCGAGCTTCCTTTACCTGTCATCTTCCCAGGTGGTCCATGAGATCAGAAACTACCCGTATCCCCAGCTGCACCTGCTGGCTCTGCAGAGCCTCAACCCGTCCCGCCACGCGTCCGCCGTCAGAGAGAGCTACGAGGTTGGTAGCGCAGCGTCCTCCTCCTCCTCCTCAGCGGACGCGCCAGTCCGCCATCATTTGTCTGGTTTGGTCTGCGGCCAATGTTGCGGACGGGCTTCAGTGTGTAACTGATTTACTCACGACTCGCCTTGAATGGTCCAACCACCCTTAATCTCATGACGTTTGTTTCCATTTCGAACAAGATGCCCTTGTTCAAATGTAATCGTTCTGCACTCTTTTCTTTTTGAATATGTTTTTACACAAATACAAGTTTGTTTTATCGTGGCAAAAAGGAAAAAAAATCCACACGTTGCTTCCTGTCCAGGAGCTGTTGCAGCTGGAGGACAGACTGGGCAGTGTGAACCGGGGAGCCGTCCAAACCACCATCGAGAGGTTCACCTTCCCCCACAAGTACAAGAAGGTAGAAACAAATAAAAAAAAAAGTCCATCTCCTCACCGGCTGCCTGAGTGGCATGTGGCCCGGTGCAGTCACTGGGCAGGGGCTGGTCGAAAAGATCAAAGAGTGGAAGGAGGGCCCCCGACTCTCGCGATAGTTCAAAGGTCAAAGTAATTTCAGCCTGCGGTTCGGTAATGCGGGTCTGCAGTGTGCACAACTCAAGGCGAGGGATGAGTCATCCGGCTGTCTGCAGCTACGTGCGTGGGATGAATTTTAAATTCCGTCTACGCCGACTGACCCAAATACTCCTACATGCTGAGCGAGAGGAAGCAATTGAGTCTTTTCCATCTGATATCTTTTTTGTTTCTAGGAAGCATGATTAGGTGCTAAAGGTCTCCTTTTATTCTTCTTCTCTGTCTGAGCTGACAGAGACACGCTCGGCATGAACGTGTCCGCACTAACACACAAGTGTGCGACGCACTTCAATAATTAAAGATGGTTGGTCTCTCTCCAGAGAATACCCCAGGGCCTGAAGATGTGTCTGGACGACGAGGAGCTTGACACCGATGAGAAGTGCACGATCTGTTTGTCGATGCTGGAGGATGGAGAGGATGTCAGGTACAACTCTACGGGGGGGAATGCTGATACTGGGGGTGGGAATCTAAGCTGTGAATCCAGTTCCTTTCCTGGTTGGGGATACACTCTGGTCCTGGTCCTCAGTTACTAGTAGGCACCACTTTAGTCCTAACTATCTCACTAACTAGTGAATTGATCCCCATATTGAGATTGGTATCTATTTTATCCTAAAAGGTTGCTTTGATACCTAAAGACTTCTTTAAATGCTGCACAGCGATTTTCTGCATTAGCATTTAATCCTGTCCGCGTCTCACCCTTGTCCGTAGGAGATTACCCTGCATGCACCTCTTCCACCAGGGGTGTGTGGACCAGTGGCTGGCCACCAGCAGGAAGTGCCCCATCTGCAGAGTGGACATTGAGACCCAACTGACCCCCGACAGTTGATAGCTCCTGTCGACTGCTGCAGCAGCTTTCGATCTGGTCTGGTTAATTGTTCATCGCGTCCCTGCGGGTGGGGGGGGGCTCTGCCAAACGCCCCGCTCTTCCTCCCCATCACTCAACGAGCCTGCCTGGTGAGACAGCCGTGACCGAGGGATCGACAAAGCACACTCATCTACAACACGACGAGGGATGGAGGGGTGGGGGGTAGAAAGGTGGCTGGACTGAGGGGTTGCTTTGAATGGACTCGCTGGATGTAAGAGGTAGGGGCGGACAGATGTGCTGAGGCTTCACACACAGGTCCTGTCAGATTTGTGTACACTGTGTGCATTTTTTCATAGGGCCATCGCGAGAGGACATTTTTAATTAGGACCCCCCCGGAACCCCCGCCCCCCCCCCCCCCCCCGCCCCTCTCCAACCCTGTGAAAAAATATCCTTTAAGCTGCACTCTGCCCAAGCCCTCAGCACATCTGTACAGAACATAATCAAATGATTAGCATGAGGTTGTTTGGTGTGAACTCTCGTAGCTCAACGCTTGTGGTGTAATGGAGTACAGTACTGAATAAGTATTTACAGAGTAACAGTGTTGTGTAGCAAGCAAAAGCCTTTTGAGAAATGAACCTACAGAGAGGTCAAAGACGGCTCAAATAAGAGAATATTCAGCGTGTTAATGAATCATAGACAATGAGGAGCTAGTTGTGTTTAAAAAAAAAAAAGAAAAGAAAAAAGGCCAAAAATCCCTCTTTCTTGTCGAACATGGTTTTTGGATTTACAGTTAGATGCCATCAGAGTTGATGCAAAAACCCCCTAACTGCAGGCATGGCTTCCAGTGATCTGTGTATTGTTGTAGTGGGGCCTCTATTATCTAGAGCAGAGGCCTCAGATGTGCATGCTGTATGGCAGGCTTGGGCTGTGTCGTTAATATTGTGGAGCAGTAGAAGCAGGGACTGTGTGTCTGTGCATGTGAACCGTATACCATGACTCTGAAGATCCCACTCACTCATAGAGGAGGACAAGAATGCACCTAATACCCCCCCACGCGATCACGTGTAGACCAAGTTGCCCTTAGACACTGACCTCGGACCAATGTGGCGATTCTCTCCCGCCGTCGCAGGTTCGGGATTCAAAGAGCTGCTAGCAGGTCCGTGTCTAACGGCAACTCCTCTCTGTTGCCTCGCCCGCGGCGTGATCGCGTGACGTGAGAGGCCGGCATGGGCTTGAGGATGCGTTGCCTGAGGTCTTGACATCGGAGTGAATCGAATCTGACATCACATATTACCAGAACCTTATTGCCTATCAAACAAGCACATGTGATTTCTATATACAGCGAATCGCCTCTGTTGTTTATCGGCTCCTTTTCAGTTCAATATGAGTTGCTTCCACTGATTAAAAGACTGTGTCTAGTGTTACAGGGAAAATACAAACTGGTTTGCCTGTGATATGCGCCGGAATGTGTATGATTGTCCCCCCCCTCCCCCCATGGTTGTCGTGAATGGTATTTCTAGAACAACTGTGACACGTTCAGTGATAGAAGCCGGTTCCTCTCCGTATCGCGCATGAACCATGTTGGCGTAGTTCACTTGAAGGAGGGTGTAAGGGAGAAAAAGCCATCCATTTGAAAAATACCAAACAATCGTTCTTAAAATTAATTTTTTGTTTTCAATTGTCTTTTTCTGCCATTGTTCTTTTTCTTATTGTTTCTCTCTTTTTTTTTTTTGCTCACATGCCAATTTGGACATGGTACTAACACGCCGAGTCCGTGCCCATTTTAACCATAGTGAAGAAAAAGCTGCAATGCTGCAAAAACATATTTATTGTTGTTCTAATGTAGCTTGTGTTTTGTAAATGCACTATAATATGGAGTTGCCTGATTCTTTTGGTTTGGTGGTGTGGGTTCATGTCCTAGATTTTGTGTTTCTATTCAAAGTATTTTTTCACGCTTCCTTGTGTATTATTGGAGGGTAACTTGACTGTTTGCGTTTTGTTTTTTTCTTTTCGTATGAAACCTCCATCCAAAAAACTACAGATGGATGAAAATGGAGGTTTTGCTAGTTCACATAGAATGCTGTGATTAAAGATGCCTTAAGTATTTAACAATCATTATTTATTACTAACTGTAGCTAGCTAGCTATTGTGGTGGAATATTTAATGTCTCTAGCTCATAACTTTGCAATTTAATCAATATATTTATTTAAAATAACACAAAATATAAAAAAAGAATACCTCATTATGCATTGGTCGGTAGGGATGCTTTTGCATGCCGTCTGTTTTTTTTGTTGTTTTTTTTCAAAGGAGAAAAAAAAAAGAACCTGTTAAAAAAATTGGGACTTGGGAGTGTTTTCCCGACACATTTTCTAGCCAGCATGGTGCTGTTGATCTGGATTACATTCCATTCATGTCACCTCTTGATTTGGCTCTGAAATCTGTTCCTTTACGAAACATGAGCCGTGCTCGATCTGAAGCAGACCACCTTTTTTTGTCTTAGTGCGGCTCCACAATTCGCTTGCTTTTCGTTATATGATACTGCTTCGTTTCCCATAATCGGTCATGTTTTATTTCCTGTTTGGGTTTTATTTTCATGATATTCCATCATATCTAGATCTCAATTTTGCGCTTTATTTTTTAAGGACTCCCATAATGAGCTCTTTTATTTGTCCTAATGTATTGCTGGCAGTTGCTTTGTGTGGGATTTTGGGAAGTATTTAACATGCTAACTTGAGCCATTGGTCTTATTGAGCAAACTTCTGGTGTACTGTGGTTATACAATATAGATAGCGTCTTCTACACCTGGGTATAATAAGCTACTTACGTTTTCGGTGTTGCATTTCTTAATAATACTCTACTAACTCGCAAAAATGATTATGACGTGTATTTGTTTGGAACAAAGCTGGCTGGTCTTATTATTTCATTTCGTGCTCTCACTGGCCTTACCCGTGTCCTCCACAGTGTACCCCATTACTCCAGAGTGAACTGGACAGTAGCCATAGTATTAACTCAAGCTGATGAACCGGAATGAACAGTAGAACTTAAAGCACAAGCTTTTTAATGCATGTCCTTCTCAGGTTTTCCTATGTGTATGTGGGAGTAGCTCTGTAGATGTGTTTATTATGATGCTGTACCTTCTTGAATATTTCAGATGTTTCTTTGCTGCTGAAAAAAAATGTTGATTATTAACCTGCCAGTGAAAAAGGGAAGTGGCCATCTTTGTACAACACACTGCTGTTTTGCTGTTACCGCGCAATGTTTTATGATCTTGAGTATTTTATAGAAAAGTAGAAGTATGTATCAATAATATGAAAGCAATAGCTAAATCATAATGAAGAATAACATGATCATTGAATATTGTGGAAAATCTTTAGATTCACTCTGGGTGGATTTTGTACTGTATTTATTACTAATGATGATGCAAAAAGTTGCATAGCTTAACCCAAACTGTTCTGTCTCTTTTTTATTTATTGTCTTGTATATGATCTTTTTGTATGTGTTTTTCAAATAAACTGCCTAAAATGCTGAGAACTAATCTACTCTGGTTTTATATTAACTTCCAGTAAACATTTAGAAATACAAATATTAACATATCACAGATAAATCTGTATCAGTGCACATGTCTGCTTTTATTACAGTAATGAAATCCGCTCAAGATCATTTAGGAACAGTATTGTATCAAACTAAAGGGATCCGTATAAAAAATGTGTTGCCAATTTATCGGATTACACTGCTTTAAAAATATATTCTCTGTGGACTAGAATTTGCTTCACCTGTTCCAAAGCCTTTACATATCGGACAATCATTTTATTATTAAATCAATCCTTAAGAGGCTGACCAATGCTCTAGAGTTGGCACAAGCTTTAGAAGAAAGAAAAGCTGCTTCCTTTAAAAGTTGACGTACAACTAAATTCCGGTGTATCCGTTTCCATCTGGAGGAACCCGCTCGCCCACACGCATCCTCCTAATATTTGGGGTAGAGGACCCGCTCAATCTGCCCGTCGGCCTTGCGTCTGTCCAGCCACTTGCCACACTGGAAGATGGTCGTCACCGAGTTGGCTGTGTTTGTCACCTCCACGCACTCTAAGAACCAGCCGCAGTGGAGGCTGCTGCCGTCGTGCTCCACTCTGACCCTCAGCAGCTCCCCGAGGTCCAGCATCTCCAGAACAAAGCGATTGGTTCGCCCTCGCTCGAAGAGGTTGCGGAAGCTCTGGCGCAGATGGCGCTTGCCCGAGTCCCCGTTCACGCCGTAGATGGTGATGAAAACGTTGGAATCCGTGCCGCCGTCCTTCACGTCCCCGGTGATGACGATGATTTCGTACTTGACGGGGACCAGTTTGCGGACTTTGCTCGCGAAGCTCTCGATGGACTTGAAGCACTCGAATGTGAGGAATTTGTCCTTTTTGGCTGCCAGGGGGATTTGTGCATCGCAGTGGAAGAAATACCTAAACAGAAGGCACGGCTTCAAGTCCCCCACCATGGCGGCCTGTATGACATAGAGCAGCACGTGTGATGTTCATCTTACTTGTTTCCCAGCTCCTGTTCTGTCACCACCACCTCCATGACGTGCCAGAAGGCTTCATGCTTCACCTTCTTTCCGTCTTTGGTGATGTGGCCGACGCAGATCCCGGCAATCTCCCCCACGTGCTTTGACGAAAACTCAAACGTGTCGGTGGCGCCGCTGTGAAAGGGCACGCAAAAGGTTATGGCGAATCATTTCTGAGCATTAAACGGTTAAAAATTCACTGTTTTTCTTTAATGCGTCTTGAGGGAGCCAAGGCTTGGAGAACAGAGAGTGAAGATAAAAGGAGGTAGAGAAACCGTGTGAGAGAGGGAGGAGATTATGTAAACCCACGTAATGGGACTCCATTTGAAGACCTACCGTAAGAACTTCTTTTTCTTATTCTCCAAAACAAACTCCTTGGAGCGAGCTTTCCTTCCTTCCAACACAATCCAGGCGTTTTCTGTGGTGGAGGCGTCGTCCGTGTTCGCAGTCGTCGTGGCAATTTCATATTCTGCGGCAACGAAGGGAGACAAACGCTGTGGCACTGCGCTCATTTGACACCCGGGCGAGCGGCTGTGATGAGCCGCTCGCCTCTTGACGTTCTTGTAATCATCACGCGCCCACACTCGCGCTTTTACTAACTGGTTTTGTCACTGAGGTCGATAGCGTCGTTGTTGGCACAGGCCAGCTCCCTCATTATCTGCTTGTCGTCTTCATTTTTGGCCAACCAGCGGTCGCAGGGGAACCTAAAGGTCTGGTCCATGGCCTCGTCCTTCACGTCAATGTAATCCAGGCGCCAACCAGGCGAAGGGCCTGTTTGCACCAAAGAGCAAGAAGAGTCCACTCAGTTTGTACATTCAATGCGTTCATGTTTTTTCTGTTTGATCATTTCACAATGTATCTTAACATCGTTTTTTGACAACTTATCAAATTGACTGAGGAACTAGTGTGACATTTTATTGCTTTCTTGCCGAGAGTAAGATGAAAGGATCGACACCACTCACGTCTGGAGGTGGTGCTGAATTTATCATTTAGGACGCAGCCAAAAAGCCACCAACTGGCTGGTTCAAAAAGACTGATTTTAATGTTAAAACACACGCCAGCAGGTATGACTTCAAATATTTTGGTATGCGATGATTAATAATAACCATACTGAGAATGTAATCAAACAGAACTTTAAAAAGAAGACAAATTACTTCCAAAGTCCTCAAAATCACTTTGCACTCCGCTGCCGTTTAAGCTGTTAAAGGTATTTATTGAGTCGTTGTCTGCTGTGTTGTTCTGACGCCCACTTTCTCCTCACCTTTGTCGTCATGCCACACTCTTATTTTTGACAGTTCTCCCAGACTCAACATGTCGGGGAATCTGAAGACATCTTTCATTTTACGCTCAAACTTGTTCATGTTGGTGCTCTGCTTCAGCGGCAGCGTCCCAGTGTCTCCGTACTCCCCAAACACCATCACAAACACGTTGGCATCAGTGCCGGCACCTAAAATCACAGGTATGTAGAACTGAGGACTATACATGTCTAGTATTGTTGTGTGGATGCTACAGAGAAAAGAAGTTATCACAAACAAAATACACCATTACATGTTACAGAATACAAATACAGGGCCTTAATTAAGAGTGCTTTTGTGAAATGTAAAATGATTCGTACGGCCATAAAGCTCCTTTACTCCTCCATCCTTTTTGTTTAGGAAGTTAGCAAGCAACCAGGGAGACTCACCTATGGCATCACCAGTCTGGACTTGGATGACGTAGGTTGTTTTCTCCACCATTTCCTCCTCGTCCACCACAGCTGGCAGCTCACACTCCCTCGTCCTCTTTGGCCCTTTTGTCTTTGACAGCCAGTTCTCGTAAGTGAAGAGAAACGTCTCCTCTGTGGTCAGGTTCTGCATCAGCATCTAAAGACATTCAATTTTAGACATTAGAAAACTACATCACTGTAGTCTCCAGAGCTGAATGATTTCAGAGGATGTATATCCAATAGCACTTCTTCTTTGATATGAATTACCTTCTTTAAATATGCATAATTTAACTAACCGGTATTTAAAATATATATACAGTGCAGATAGACAGATTTGGGTGTGCGATGCAAGTAGCCTGGAGCTTCAAGCAGAGATGTTGAGAAGCTAACATGTTTTTAACTCCACGATTTCAGAGAACGTATGGTCTTCAGACCAAACGGAAGTCATAATCACGTGGGGCGATTTCTAGGACTTGCACTGCAAAGCTCCTTTATAGCCACAAACAGCTTTAAGATCTCTAAAAATACCTTCCTATATTTCTTTATTTTATACTATTACTATTATACTACTTTATATTATACTATACTATTTATACTATTTTGATAGGCCCTCACAAATCGCCGCTACTATAGAAAGTAGTATAGTGGTATTTACATTACCCTGTCAAGAAACCAGTCAGGTCGACTTCCAGAGCCATCAATCCGAACTCTGATCTTCTTCAGAGGAGCAATGTCATCGACCTCCAAAGTGAACGTGTCTTCTTGGTCCCTTTCAAACCTAAACGCAAATTATATACAGTACACAACAGTGCATAGTTAAATATTAAAGTGTTGATTCTCTGATGTTTGATCACTGTACTCGATCACGATGTCATGTGATACACTGTTATTATATAAATATTGAACAAAGCAGCATTAAAGCGGAGATAAAAGCTTCAGCTAAATATAATGTAATCTAATTTAATTAAGTGACAATAAGAGAGCGAATAAGTGTATTTTTGTTCAATGAAAGCGTGATCAATACAACCAGAGGGGTATTAGAGGACCGACCTGTCCTCATTTTTTGCCAGCAGCATTTCTTCTGTCGTCCCGTTGGCGCCAAACACCGTCAGGAAAATTCTGGTGTCTGTCCCCGCACACTGAGTGTCACCTGTGACCACTGACACTGAATAAATGACCTAAAATATACAGTAACAGAGTATACAGGATCAGGAAGAGACAAATGATGTTGTTGGGGAAGGCGGTGTCGTATTTGAAGAGCTATGACTCACTTTGCGGGTGATGTTGATGGTGCTGGAGTCGAGCACATTGAACAGTCTGGCAGTCAGACCATCTCCCCTGTCTTTAGCCAGCCAGCACTTACATGGAAAAATGTACTTGATACCTTTGGTTGGCACGGCAACCGACAGCTCGTCCACCAACCAGCAGCTTTCTGGTGTGACTCCGTTATGGCCGAGCTGAGGAAGACACGGAGGGGGGAGGCAGGAGTGGGAATTTATATATCACTTGATTCTGTTGGATATAGGCACCGGAAGGCACAGCTGGAATGAAATATTCCTGAGCTATAATGGCTTTGTTTAAATTTTTTACCGTCAGTGTGTTCGAGGAGGCAGCAGGGAGAAGACAGTTTTAGCAACAGAGCGCGTCATAGATTCTCACCTCCACCCTCTTGATCGCTCCTACGTCAGTTCCGTAACACACAAAGTGCTCCATGGTGCCGGCTGCGAAGCATTTCTTTCCCTCAGGCAGGTCCAGCCACAGCCGGTCGGTCTCAACGTCGTTGGGCCCGATGATAATGACAAAGACCCGGGCCGTGGTGCTGCCATCACGATCCATCCCAGTGGACAAGGTGAAATGATAGGGGATGACTGGTCAGAAAAGAAGAATCAGATTAGCTCGTAAATCATTTTACATTTTTGTAAACTGCGCTCATCTGGTTCTTTCTAAGACTCTTTCGTCTGTACAGTAAATATAAATCTATTGAGAGAAAGGTGTTAGCGCAGCGTAAGGACTGGACGCTCGGGGAAACAGGAAGCCGTGACTCTGTCTCAGAGTAAGCGAGTCCCCCGACCAGCAGCTCTAAAACTCACCGATAAACTAAATAATCACGTCGGTCCCCTCGGTGCGTACACTCAAGCCTTGTCGGTGTGATATACTACTTTCAGAGTGGTAATACTTTCAGCCAATTTCTAAGTGATAAAGATCATTTGGAGAAAGCACACTGTTGTTGTCGTACTGCAGCCGCATTGGGAAACACACAGAATAGTTGTGTGGCCTTACTTGGACCTTCTTCCAAAGCTGACACCTTTTTCTTCTTTTTCTTCTTGTTGGCATTTCTGTCCAGTCCCAGTTTGGCTTGGAGCATTTTGCTGATATTTGGATCAGTGTTTCTTTCACCTTTGTACCCCTGAAACCAATGCATAACAAACAATCTACTCATTTATTATGCAGAACTAATTTTACCACAGGAACAGATAAAAGAAAACAAAATACAAAGACAAACACACAAAACCTAACCACAACTTAACAAACCTTGATGAAGAATGTCCTGGCAATGCGTTTGTCCTCTTTCTTCTTCGACAGCCAGCGCTCACACAGGAACATGTAAACCTCTTCTGAATCCTGATCCAGCACCTCCACCTGTTCCAGGTACCAGTCGGCTCCCATCATGGCGTTGTCATGACGAATATGAATCTTAAACACCTGGCCCAAGTCCACAGCCTCAATAGTGAACGTGTCCACCTAAGAGGCAAAGGGAATTTGACATAATTTGGTAACTTTAGACACCAACATTGATGAGACTTTTCTCACTAACCGCTCCTCTCTCAAACTTGTTCTTGTTTTTCTCGGATTTGGCGAGTTTGCGCTCTCCTGTGTCTCCCAGGTCTCCGTAGATGGTGAGAAAGACGTTGGCATCAGTTCCTGCTCCGTACATGTCACCTGTCCGCACGGACACGCTGTAAATGTGAGCTGTCGAGGAAAGAAAAAACACAAACATGAAACTCACCGTAAAGCCTCATAAAACTGAGCGGTTGAGCTGCATAGTCAGGTGATAATTCTTTGTAACGAGGGACCACTTTCACATTTTCATTTAATGGATGGATGGATGGATGGACATTACTATAAAAACCATTGATTATATTATATTATTAAACCAAACGAATGTTTTTGTGTACTTCTAGTATCATAAGTACAGAAATGCTCTTTATGCAGAATAACGGCCCTGTTTTCTCCATTCTAAGGGCACTTTATCATGACATCATTACTTTATCTACCATTGGGGCATCCAAGAGGGAATGTTTGCAGTCAAATATAAATGGTTTAAACGGTACATTTAATCTAGCAGTGCATAATAGCCTACAGCTTAAATGCACATTTAAGTACAGCACTGTAGTAAATGTTTCATTCCACCACTGAAATCGGGATAACCTACTTTCCAAAGCATCCTCCACTTCCTCTTCAGTCACTTTCAGCTTCCCATCCCGGAGGAGTTTCTCAGTGATGATGTCGGAGGGGACCAGCTCTCTCACCGTCTCCCCATCATCTTCAGACCTGGCCAGCCAGGACTCGCATGGGAAGATGTTTGTCTCTGAACCCTACAATCAGAACAAAATGAATCCTTGCCTACCCGACACTCAAGGAAAGAATATCCGACACAGAGAGACGTGTGAGCGAAAAAGGTGTTACTTAATTGTTAATAGTTTAATGAGGGCACGGGGCCCGGTGCGCTTTCAGTACCTTTCCTTTCCTGAGCTGACGTCTGATCTCCACTCTGTCGAGGTGCCAGCCGGGGTTGGTGCCCCTGTTGTCGTGTCCTATCCTGATTTTTTCAATTACCTCACCGACATCCTCCAGCTGGGAAAGAGGCAACACGGTGTTTGGAGATGAAGTCGCCACCTTAAAAAGGATGTGGAGTCACAATCCACACGCTCACCTCCACGATAAACATGTCCTCGGCCCCCCTCTCAAAGTACAGACGTCTCTCCCTCTTGTTGACGCACAGGTACTTCTGCTGTGTGCACACTCCCTTACGTCCGTACAACACTATGAACACGTCTGCGTCTGTTCCCGCAGCAAACACGTCGCTGGTGTATATCTTTATCTCGTAAGGGACGACTGAGGGGAAGAGGACAGCTTTGTTACGAGAGTAAGACGGATGTAAATTCACAATTCAACATTATGTTTCATATGCTTAAAGTGAGAGAAGTGGAAATTCACAAATTGCAGTTTTGGTACGGAGACCCCTAAAACTAACATTTTCAGACACCCAAAAAGTGTGTTAATGCAACATAAAATCGTATTTTGCATTCTATACTAATAACATTAAGGTGGGCGTGGCCTCTGCACACGAATGCGACCAATCCATTTTTTTGTTTCCTCTTCTGGCACATTTCCGACTTTATTTATTTCCACCATAAATTCTGAAGTTGCCATAATTTTTTTTATGTTTCTTCATAAACTACTGTTAGTTGTGTGAATTGATAATGTAAAACAGTTCATTACATGATGATGATGATGATCAGCTGCTTTAGAAAGAGTTTAAGAGTTAACTTGAGCAAGCACAAAGATTGCAGTGAGCGTGTTGAGGGAAACGTTGGTAGTCTTTGACCTTGTGTTATAATCTGTAATGTTGTTTTTGTTAAAAGTGAAAATAATACATTATCTACTACTGCAGTTTTGTGATTTGGACTGTTCCGTGTGTGAATCAAGAAGCCGAGTACTGTTGCAGGCCTCCACAGTGACGAAATGACACTTGTTAAAGGCAGAATCAAAGAGTCAAGGATCTTACGAGCACCCTCTTCAGACAGAGTGCTTTAAACACGCTTCCTGCGCATGCCTCCTGTCACTTGAGTAAAACTTTAAGCTCTTTTGACGGTACGATCAGCACATTACTACTTTCACTAATGGATTTCAGCACTTCTTCCACAGCTGTGCCCTCACATGGCATGTAGAGTTCAGTCTGTAACTCGGCGGGATAAAGATCCCTCACGATCGCCCCATCATCTTCTCCTTTATCCAGCCAGCGGCCACATGGGAAGCGCAGTCTCTGACCCTGAGAGGCGGCGTCGATCTCGACCCAGTCCAAGAACCAGCCAGATGAACCCCCTGGTTGCAATAACGGTATCTAGTCATTCACTTTCACAAACCGTGCTGCTTCATTTTAGTCAGTAGAGCCTTTTCTTTCCCCACCTGAGTTGTCGTGGCCAATGCGAAGCTTTTCCAGGTCTCCCAAATCCACCGCCTCCACAGTGAACTCGTTGATCATCCCCTTTTCAAACTTATTCTTATAGTTCTTACAAGACCGGAGGTTGATGACCCCTGTAAGTGACATTCAAAGCCAATAACATTCAGCTGAAGGTCACCACAGGAGTGCCAGAATGTTGGTGTGTTTTTGTACCTGTGTCGTCATTTTCACCAAATAGGATGGCAAAGACGTTGGAATCAGTCCCCGCATACTTCTTCTCCCCGGTTTTTATTTTGATGGTATATGTTGTAGACATGGCTGTAAGATCGAATATAAGAAGTCAGTACTTTGTTTCATCCTCACACTCTTTTCGCCTCCCTTTGAACGCCTTCCATGAACAGGAGCCCGTTTTGAAAGAAAGTTACATTTCTGCTCGAGCCCCAGAGTTGGGCCGGCTCCCTCCTCGTCCTCATCCTTCCTCATGAAGGCCTCGTCCACAGCAACCAGCTCTCTGGCTATCTGTCCATCGTCCTCATCCACTGCCAGCCAGCGCGTACATGGGAAATAGTACCTGCGGAAGAAATACTGCTGATCAGCACTAACAACAAATGCTTACATCATTATCCATTCAAATAATTACCTGACAATATACTCCCACAGTAGTGTGTGAAAATTTCTCTTGATAACTGAAAAAAAACCCCACACAAACTGCATGCTGGGTTCACCTACGTTGTATCATCCTTCGTGTCCACTATCTCAACACGGTCCAGGTACCAAGATGAATAAGAACGAGTGCCGTCATGACGGATTCGTAGCTTCTTCAATGAACCCAAGTCAACAGCTGTCACGATAAAGACATCCTCCTGCAAAGCACAGCATGCAGGGACTACTGGGCTGTTACAGACAACACTTTTTACTGAAGATTCAAATATAAGTGCATCTTCTTTTTTTTACCTTGTAATGTAAACACACAAGGGTGGCAGAATATAATAATTAAAACAGATGTATGCATCCTAATCGACCCTGAATGTCCTTATATTTATTATCATATCTAAAGGGGAGAAAGTTAGAAACACCTCTGAATAGGGTGCACCGCCACTACATCAATTAATTAAAGCCCCTATCACAGTCTCAACAAAACCACATTATAGGAATCATAATGAAATAAATATAAATATCTGGCTGTTTTTGTAAACAAACATTACCTCCACTCGATGACAAATGGCTATTGTTGCTTTTGATCTCTGGCGTGAGCTTTGTGTTCCCACTGAACCAGAGGTAATGATATATTAATAATTCGGGTTAAGTAATGAGTATAAGTAGGACAGGTCTGATGATACAGAGGATCCCTCACAGCTTCTCACAGCTCCTCACAGTCAGGGCTGGCTGGCATGCTGGAGAACTTCCCACTGTGGTGCGATAATCTCAGGATAATGAACCGCACACCCTAATTAAATGTTATATTGTATTTGACACCTAAGCCCCAAAAAATATTTGGTCCCTCAGTCCATCGGACGGAAAAATTCTCATGCGGCTGATTCCCGAATCTAAATAAATGAAATTATGTTGGTAAGCTGAAATATCAGCCTGCCCAATTTAAACAATCCCATTTGAACTTTTTTACGTTTGCGTTACGTTTGCAGTAATTATTTAAAAATATATATAATTCATTGCACTTCTAACTTTATTCTTCAGCCGATTAAAAAAAAAAACCCAGTGTAACGCAACATACCTGCCGCCGCTCAAATTTGTTGAGGTTGTCCGAGTTCCTGAGATATCGCTCTCCGGTGTCTCCATTCTCACCGTAAATATTGATGAAGACGTGGGCGTCGGTCCCAGCACCGGCCATGTCACCAGTGAAGATGCACACTTCATAGGTGTTGACTGGGAGACGATACAAGGGAGGAATTACTCACACCTCTTAAACCTCTTTAACCTGTTGCATATGTGGGCCAGGAAACTCAAAGGAAAATCAAATCATGCATCTCTAGCAACATCAACACAGACCCAAACCTGTGTAAAAGAATGAAACAATGACTTTTTCATCACCCTGAAAGTTTCTGTGTATGACCAGCAGCTGCACCACACTGTGGGTGAAGAATATTTCAACTATTTCGGAGTTAGTAGTTTGATTGGTATTACTGTGTGTTTTAATTGTTAGAAAGAAAAACAAGGTAGTTCTAGAGCATTTTCCCGTTGTGCCGTTTACAGGGGGGTTACATTTGATACCTTCCAGCTCCTTTGCATCGTCGGGCAGCAGCTCCACCACCAGCTCGCCGTCCTCCTCTCCCCCGGCCAGCCAGCGCGAACAGGGGAAACTGTAAGTCAGCACCACCTCCTGCATCTCCTCTCCTCCCTCCTCGTCCACATCCTCCTTCTTTTTCTTCTTTTTTTTCTTGTCCTCCTTTTTCTTCTCTTTGGGCACCAAGGCCAAGATTAGACGCTTAACGTCCACGGTCTCCAGGAACCAGCCTGATCCGATCCCCGAGCCATCGTGACCGATGCGGATTTTAAAGATCTTCCCCACATCTTTGGCCTCTATCTGAGGAACAGTTCTTAGCTGTTTTCACTCAAATGTAACATCGTGACAATGTATTTTTCTTTCTTTAGCTTTAAGATTTAACTACAGAGGCGCATTTTTCCGCCATTGACGCGAGTTATGTGTGCATTCAGATACCTTGAATATTTCTGTGGTGTTTCGTTCATAGTTGTTGGATCTACTTTCGAGGATGATGACCTCTGTCTTCCCTTTGTCTCCGTAGATCTGGATGATCACTCTGGCGTTGGTACCAGCAAAAGTCACATCTCCTGTCACTACTGTCACCTCATAATTGATCACTGGAAAGAACATATGCAATGAGAGGAAATTCATACACCAGCATAGGAATAAAGGAACAAATGTTGGCAATAATCCGAACGCAAATCAGGTAGTGCAATTTGAAAAAAAAGTCTAAAAATGTTAACAACAAATCATTTGTCTTTTCTACCACATCAAAGAAAAGACAAATGAACGTGTGCGTATCTAAGCAGTTCCTTCTAATAGCAGTAGAGTGTTGCTTACGCTGTTCTATGTCCAGGATCTCGCTTGGATAGATCTCCACCTCCGTCTTTCCATCGGCCTCGTCCTTAGACAGCCAGCGGTGGCTGGGGAACATGTATTGCTTTCCATGGACTGGAACCATGAGCTGAACGCTGTCCAAGAACCAGCCAGCATGCATGCCTTTGTTGGTGTGGCCAATCATAATCCGGTTGATCTAGAATAAGATGAAATGGATGACAATATATGAATTTGATAAAGGATTTTCATGCATTTACCTGCATCATGCATTTGAGTCAGAAAAAAGACCGCGTTGATTCATTTTTCCACAAATCCACAAGTTTACAAAAGCAGTGTCATAGTGGGACCTGGTCTAATAAAAGATAACGATACTACTAATCCAAATCTAGGAAAGAAGGCTACAAAGTGAGCCACCCTACGATGTGTGCCTTCAATAAAGTACAGTCACCTGTCCGATATCAAACGTTTCCACTGTGAAGATGTCCATGCGGCCCGTCTCAAAGTAGTTCCCCAGGTTGTTGGCGGAGACCAAAAGCATCATCGTACTGGTGTCGCCTTTCTCTCCATAGAGCTTGACAAACACGTTGGAGTCTGAGCTGCTGCCAGCGAAGCTACCCGTCTTCACCGCGATGTGGTAGTCAACGTCTGACACACGCAGCGGCACAAACAGGAGCGTCATGGGGAGTTCACGTTAAAGCGTTGAAAATGAAATTCAAGATTCCCCAAACTCACTGTAAAGTCGCTGTCCATCTGAGAACGGCACTAACTCTCGAACAATCTGTCCGTCATCCTCGTTGCGGTCCAGCCACCTGCGGTGAGTAAACTCTCATCAATTACATCGATTACTGCCCGGCACATTTTCACAGTATTCACACCGAGACTAATGCACCTGTTGCAGGGGAACTCCTTTGCGTCAGTCTGTCCCTCCTCTTTAACAATCACTTTATCAAGAAACCATCCGCAGCCTCCACCCCTGCCATCATGTCCTATCCTCACCCTGCGAATCTGCCCGATGGCTACTGCCTCCACTATGAACTCATCCAACTGCAAGGACCAAAAGATAAATAAGAGATTATTAAAATGTGTAATTATTCAATATAGCAGTGTTTCGCTTTAGAAGTTATATAAAGTTTACATAGAAGCACTCTCGTCAGCAGAGTCTGGTTTATCCAGATAAAATACTTTGATGAAATAAACCATAGGCCGGACAGAATCCATGCCTACGGGTTAGTGGGATGAAGTTCATTATCAGTCAGGAACCTACTCCCCCCTCACCAGAAACAGCAAACACCAGATTTCGATTCAACACAAAGACCAGGATAAAAAAAAACGCTTGTCATGTGAAGCATATGAAGAAGGAGAGTACAAAGACTGTGATATTTCAATAAGCTGTATGTCCAACAACGAAGAACAGAATGCACCCACGTTGCCTTTCTCAAACTTATTGACGTTGTTTTTGCAGTTGACCAACTGTCGATTTCCAGTGTCCCCCTGGTCTCCAATCAGATTTAGAAAAACGGAAGCATCGGTGCCGCTGCCGCCGACCGTCCCCGTGCAAACTGTCACTCTGTATTTGATCACTGCAGAAGGATAACATAACGCCATCAGGTTTGACCGTATGATGTTCTGCAAAGCGGCTGGTCGTGGTGAGTGCAGGTGCATCGACATACCGGGCAGCGGCTCAGCGATGGAGTCTCCCATGGCGGGAAGCTCCCTCACAACCTCGTTATCGTCTTCGTTTGTGTCCAGCCAGCGGCCACAAGGAAACTTATACTTCTCCTTTGTTAATGTCTTCATCAGAGTTGCCTAATTGGAAAAATGCAACGCTTCGATACATGTAAACGAATGTGTCTGGATTATCGTTCAGGCCTTATATCATAAATACAGAAGCATACCAAAATCAGCTGTGTGCATGTGAATCCATTACTACCAGCAGATTACTATCAAAGATCTTTTTTCACCTTGTTGAGATGCCATCCTGCAAAAGGATTTCTCTTCTCATGCCAAAGGCGGAGTTTGGTCAATTTTCCCAAATCAGGCAGTTCAATCTGTAAGATCAGGATGAAAAGTTGCCCATAAAGTCTTCTTATTTAGTTGCTGATAAAAGTGCGTGGTATGAACTCACCATAAACCTGTCTACTTGTCCCTGCTCAAAGTTGTCCGTTTTGTTGTCCAGTCGGAGCTCATCGCTCTTGCCCCTTTCTCCGTACACCTGGAGAGAGATGTCCGCATCAGACCCGGCACCGGGAATGTCCGATGTCCAAATCCAAAAAGACCAGGGGTGCTCTGAGGACAATCAAGTCAAATCAGATCCATACATTTTAAATTCTTGATACATTTGAGGGCAGTGGTAACTTGTGTGGACAGAAAACGATTAAGCCGATGCAAAGCTGCGTAAATTGATTATTTCTTATTCTGCTATAGATTCTTCTGAACCAGAAGAAAACAAGTATGCTACTTAAATAACTGCACGGGCCATTTACCTTTCTTTATAAGACATTTTACAAGCAATAGGAAAGAAACAACAATGCCCCTGGAGTCATTATGCAAATGATACCTATAATGGAGCTTTGAATGGAGTTTTCAAGTGCTCAGTGCTTTTTATAAATAAAATGGCCGTGATTCCTGCAGCTGCAGACGATCCATATATATTTACATTTAACTCACTCTTCTGTCTCTTCTGTCTGAGTGAGACCATCTCATAGAGCTCTCTCTCTATCAGCCCATCTCCTTCCTTCTCATCCAGCCATTTACAGCACGGGAAGGTCTGCTCTATGCCTGTGAACGGACAGAAAACCACCACCTACGGAGAAAACCAAGGATTCAACTGAACACAGTAAATTGCCACTTTGTAGTGTTTGCAAAGTGCTTGTGCATTTCCTGATTTACCTTGTCGCAGTACCACCCAGCACTGACTCCATCATTGTCGTGTCCAATGGTGACCCTGCTGAGGGGACTGAGGAGCGCAGCGATCTCCACGTTGAAAATGTCTGTCAGGCCGCGCTCAAACTGCCCCCCCTCTAAGAACACCTGGATACAAATACGTACATTCATACTCAGTGGTGTGAATTAGTTTAGGGGTAACGCAGTCAGAAAATAGAAAAGCGATGATTATTAAGCACCAAAAAGGAAATTGAACGTCCCCAAAATACAAACTTGATTACCACTAGAACAAACGTGAAAATGAAGCAGCCATTGCTTTTTTTAAACTGAGGTACAAGTTGTCCACGTTATCTTGTCATCACCTGGCCACTGTTCTTCAAGCCTTTCGAGCCGTGCATCACAATGTGGATTTTGGAGTTGGTGCCGGCACCTCGGACGTTTCCCGTAACAATCCGGACGTTGTACACGATACCTGGTGGGTAGAGTTTCATGTCAGGCTATCAGAGGATCTGCCAGCGGGCGACCACGGTTCACTTCACCCATTCTCCCCACGAGGCTGAGCGGGACCGGGAAGATCAACTGCCCGAATACATTTGATAGTTTGGAACAAGAATTGATGCTCACACAGAAAACACTTCCTTATGTTTGGAGTAGGAGAGACAGCATACGATCGGTTGCTTAGCAACAGCAACGCGTTTTTCAGCCAAGGCAAGCGGATCATTGCTCCACAATGGAGCAAATCATTTAGGTTTAAGTTCATGTCCATCGTTGCCATGATTGAATCAGCTGACACGAGGTGTATGTGAGGGTATTATTCCAGGCTCACCTGTGGGCTGGCTCGCCCCCACCAAAATGTCTCTCTGGATCTTCCCATCGTCCTCATCAAAGGCAAACCAACGACCGATTGGAAATTCATACACTAGTTTGTTTCCCATATCGTCCACAACTGCCTGTATTGAAAGTAAATCAGATGGTGAACACAGCCAGCATTTGTAGGTCTGATGTAGATAATGTTCTGAAATGTTACTGCAAAGCAAGGCCACCTTCTTTTAGAGAGAACATTTCGAGACAGGACAGGTTGGTCGGTTTAAATCATGACTATCCAAATAAAAGTAACAGGTAATAATAAGTCAGTTTAGAGGTTAAAATCGGCGCTAATTGCTAATTGCAGATTATATAACTTAGTGTATAATTGTGATGTTCTGATATAAAGTGATTCTTGGTTTGTCCTCTGAAATTAAATGTATAACTTGTAATGGCAGCTAATTCGTTTATGAACTTTTAAAAATATTGAATCGCTTTGTTTTTATTTAGTATCCTGTAATCATTTGCAGGTAAAAGCTGTAACAACCTAAATCATTTACCATCATGCAATATTGTAAATAGGCTAAAGCCTATTATAGCAGGAACAAAAACTGTTTTGCTAAAAGACAACATTCCCTCAACAGCAGCAACCGTGCAATGCAAATAGGATATGATTAACTACCGACTCATCTGTCGGTGCGCCGTAATGCAATCCCTTAACGGGTCACGGTCTCCACTTACACAGAGGCTAGAATGACGACACGTATCTGTGTGTGTGTGTGTCTGTTTGACCCAGCTCTTGAGTCATTTGAGCACATTGTGTGTTGGAGGGAGCACGGAGCCCACAAGCACAGAGCTGAGCAGAATGAGGTACAGTAAGACCCCATGAGAGAGTTTTGTTTCAAGATGTTTGTAAATCCCTTCATTACACATGATGCAAACAGTGGAGTGACTCTGGACTCACAAAACAATATCTGACTGTTTCTCACCTTGTCCACAAACCACCCTGCAGAAGAGCCTTTGTTATTATGGCCGATGGAGATCTTTCTCACTTTACCCAGGTTGGGAGCCTCGATGGTGAACTTGTCTTCGGTGTCCTTCTCAAAGTTGTTTTTGTCATTGTTAAGTCGCCGTTCACCTTAAACGACAAAAATGTTTGTAAAGTCTACGAGGTGGATGTCAGACGGGAAAAGAATCAACTGCACTTAAGCTGGGATTCCCTTCTTGAGTCAGCTCATCTGTAACTTACCTGTGTTTCCGAACTCCCCAAAGATATTAATGAAGACGTCTGCATCCGTTCCACTGCCTTTTACATCCGCAGTAAAAACACTCACGATATACTTGTTATCTGTAAACACAAACAGTGTCAACCACCAGCAACCCCTCTGAAAATGCTCAAAAAGTATTGGTGTTCTTTTTTCGTTTTCACTGGAGGGTTTGAATTCCACAGATAAATAACCATCAAATGCAGTGCATTGATTATGTCATTACCAGTTTTGAAAGGGTTACACATGTAGTTGTGCACACATCTGCGTATACATACATTTGGGGATGACCATGGGGTCCATACTACCCAGCAGGTCTCTCACATGAAGGCAGTCCCCCTCCACCTTGCTGAGCCAGTTGTTACAAGCAAAGTAGAACCTCAGGTGAGGCCGGATCACATCCGTCACCACCACCCTGTCCAAGAACCAGTTGGCGCTCAGGCCCGTGTTGTCATGCTCAATCCTAAAGCAGCAGAATGAATAAGACCCATTCTTCTTTTAAACAAATTCAGGGGAAGAAACAAATATGTATTGATCTGATCCGAGGCCAGCAGTGTTTGGTCTCGGTCAAAGTGAAGGTGATCGGCGCCGTCCTGAAAGACCGACTTGATCGTGGGTGAAACGTCTGACGTACCTTATCTTTTCCAAAGGTCCAACATTGTGAGTTCTAATTCGGAAAACATCAGTTTTGCCTCTTTCGAAGGCCGTGCGGCTCCTGGAATCACAAAATTGTCACAAAAACATTTGGGAAAGCCAGGCAGCAAACCGTGTTGTGCAAACTCATTGTAAATCTAATTCATGAATACGTACTTCTTTTCTGTGCTGTTGGAAGAGGGGGCCGGGTGGCGCGTGGGGCAGAAGGCGTCGGGGGGGGGACAGTGTTTAGTTCAAGCATGAAAACTAACTCAAAATATGGGATCTCAGGCCTCTGGCTAGACATGAGCTGTTTACTGAAATGATCTACAGAATCCTCTTTGCAGGGGACTTACTTGCTTGCCAGGTGGACTTTGGGAGTGATGCCGTAGTCTCCGAACAGAGTGACAAACACGTTGGCATCGGTGCCTGCTCCTGGCTCATCGCCAGTGATGGTCACCACCTCATACACTGGGGGGGGTTTGGTGACGTGATGCCAATGTGGACAGTTGATGCGAAAAGTTCCATTAAATTGAGCGAACATTACTTTAATAGCAAACACTATGAGCCTCTGAATAAACACGTTAAATAACAGATTGATAATAATGCGCAGTACCTTGAAATGGCAGATTTTACGTCAATTTGAGAGTGAAATATTAAGGTACATAAATATTACTGTATAAGAGAATTTAGATGCCACGATGCCACTGACATGAAAAATTTGGTAAAAGCAGGACATGTTCAGTGAATGGAGTGCATGTTGCCAGTGTGTTTCTGTGTGTTAGAGAGTGAATGTTCGTGTGTAAAGAAATCTAGATGAAAACTTTTCAATTACCTTTCTTTTTATGATACTCATCCTCGTAGTTTTCCACTTTTTCTGCCTCGTAGCTGCGAAGCTCACGCTCATAGATCTCAGAGTAATTTTCAATCTTCTTCTTCTTTCCTTTCGTCTTCTTGGTGTCTTCTTCACTATCTCCCTTAGTAGACCCTTTCTTCTTCTTTACTTTCTTTTTCTTTTTCCCTTCCGCTTCCTCCCCAGCTGCATGTTCTTCCTCTTTATCAGAGTTCTTCTTGGATTTTTTATCCTTTGGCCCCATCTTTTCTGTGACCGAGGTCTTCCTTGATCAATCACATCAGGTAGTGCATCTCCTCCCTTTTTACTCTTGGAGTCATTGTCGTTATCTTCATTATCCAAATTCAGAGAGTCACTGCTCAACTCACCTCTTTGGCTTTCTTTTTCTTCTCGACCCTTTCTTTATCCCAGTCCTCTCCGGCCCCGATGGGAAACTTTGTCTTCTTTAGTCCTCCAGCGTCCTCGGAATCACCCGCTTGCTTACTTTTTCTTCCTGGACTTTGGTTCCTGATCCCCTGAGTCATCGTCATCTACATCTTTGGTTTCCTCCTCGCCACTCTGTCTTGTTTTTTTTTTCTTTCTCTTTTTGTAGGCATCTTTAATTTATTTACTACCTTGTAACTGTAACCGATTGTTGTGTGTTCTGGTGAAACTTGATTAAGCCGACCCAAGCCCGCGGAGGAGTGACGACACGTCCGAGTCAGAGCACACGGAATGCTGTTTGGCAGCCTGCTGGGGAAGCCCTTCTCTGCTGCTCGCCCTGACCTACAACTGAAGCAGATGCTGCGGCCTCATTAGAAATGATCATTGGCATGTTATGAGCAGACAAAAAAATCCCCGCTGCTAGAATATCTACTTCAGTACCTCTTCTGTACCTCTTCTGCAATCTCTTGTTGATAAGAAAGAATACATTTCTTCAGGTCCTTTATCACAATGCACATTGTAGTTTACACTTCCATGTTATATTTTTTGTATTATTTTTTAATCACACGTTTTGTAAGAAGGAAAAGTGGAATTGTGTGATCTTTGGCCACTGCAGAGACAACTGCAAAATCAAAAAAGAAACTGTATAAAATACTACAAATACAAATTCTGCATTAAATATATTTCTTAAGAAAAGGCATCAAGTAATAAGCAATAATTATATCAATTAAGTATAATTAAATAAAGTATTTTAAGCTGATTATAAAATTACATATTATAAATGCATTAATTTTGCAGCTGGTTCCGATTGAAATCATTTTAACTGTTTTGATTTACTAATAACCTATTTTCATTCATAATTAATGTGGTGTCGTCCTAATTACTGTTCCAACAAGAAAAAACAGCAAATCCCCACATTTGTGAAGCTGAAACCGTTAAACAGACAAATCCAATCAACGTTATTTGCCAATAGATTTTCATTTAATCAAAACAATATTCAGCTAAATGTCCCAGCTGCAACCGAACCTCATTTATAATTATTTTGAACAAAGCGTAATAATGTTCATTATATTGCTTAACACGTTTAGTTTGTAAAAACAATGTATTTACAAAGTAAAGTTACATTAGCAAGCTTAAATGTAGTGAAAAGCTATATAAAACCGCCTGCTCACTTCCAGCTGAAGCTGGTGAGAAGCTAACGCTAGCTGGCTAACTAGTTAGCATTTGACGTTACTTGTTAATTAGGTCAGCTAACGCTAGCTAGTGCTAGCTGACGCGAGCTAACGCTAGCTGGATAACTAGTTAGCATTTAACGTTACTTGTTAATTAGGTCAGCTAACGCTAGCTAGTGCTAGCTGACGCGAGCTAACGCTAGCTGGATAACTAGTTAGCATTTAACGTTACTTGTTAATTAGGTCAGCCAACGGCACTGTTTCCTAAATCGGTGTTTTCCAGTAAAACTATTGATAGAAATGATTGTGAAATATTTTCAGGTGACTTAATGGTGTTAAAGTAAAGGTCAGTGCCTTAACTTTCGAGCCGAATACTGTTTTAATTATAAAAGTTAACATTGCCTTAACCAGAGTCGGTAAAGTCGGACGACATAACGTTAGTAATTCTGAACATTGTTTGGACACATTTCCCCCCCTTAGGTGCTAACAGCCTCACTGCATGGGTGCTGAGCTGGAGTCGACGCTTCGGCCTCAAGCAGATGTTGAGGAAGAAGGATGATTTATCCGTAATGTCACTTTACTTTTACTGTTTGAGTAGAAAGTATGTACTTTAAACCTTTTTGTGTGCTATGCTGCCGCCTCGTGGTCATCACGATGGATACTACGAAATGACGCGCTGCCTCACAATATATTCCCTGTTCATGTTGTACAGTATATAGAGCTTTTATTTAAGTAAAAGAAGCCACTGTGCCTGGCTGTTAAGTAAAACGACTGAATGTATTATTATTTCGAAAAATTAAAATAAAAATAAAAAATTGCCCATTTGAGAACAATCCATATTAGAATATTGTGTTGGAATTATTAATGTATACATGTTAAAGTTGGCCTGATGTATTTTTACTTGCTGGATAATTGCCCTATTGGTTATTGCAGGACATATTGTGTGTTTGTTGTCAAATTAATTCTGCTGATAACTTGTGAAACTAGTAGAAAAATACTGCTTGTGTGCGTCCAGACTATGGACTAGTATTTAATAGCCTGAGATTGTTATTTAACACAACCTCTCTATTAAAGGATAGACGTTTCTCCCAGAGACGGTTTATTAACAGTCTGCGTGTAGGATTTATTACAGCCGGCAGAGGGAGACACCTTCGTTTGCGTTTGGATTCCAATTGCGTTATTGTTTGCACCATCACACTCACAGGATGACCACTGTTTGCATCAATCAGATTGTGACACTCCTATCGAAAGACCTAAAGCTGATTTCCTCCTTCTCGTGGATTCTCCCTCAAAGCCTGTTACCCACAATTGTTACACATTCAAAGGAAAGCCTTTCTACATTGTCAAGATGCTACACACGAAACAAAGCAAGAGAGACAGCAGGACAAAATGCATTATGTATTTTAATGGATTCCATGCAACGTGAAAAGATTTGTTATACATAAAATGTGAATACTGATTGCATTTATAAACTTTTATTACAAATACATTTATTTTTCTGTTAGACCAAGTCTTTTTTTGTCTCCACTTTCTGCATGTTTCATATTGCTGTACAATACAATCCTGATGTGTTAAGCCACAATCAATTATTTTGTTTGTAACAACCCGTTGTCTCTCCCTGCTCCTCTGTCTGTCTGTCTGTCTGTCTGCCGTGCTACAGCATATTCATCCAATCCTTGAACTCTGTGTGTACTCTGATTCACAGCCACATGGTGTGTTTTACCACTGGAGTTCTGTTCTGAACCTGTTTGTAAAAAAGCATTTTTTGCAGAATGTGCAGTTTTGGTCAAATTCCTCCGCTCTAGTAATATGTATTCATCTAAAATCCCGTTTAGCTTTTGCTGTTCAGTTACGCAGTCACAATGCACCTGCATCTGCATCCCTTGACCTGCTTGTGCTGATGTTTGTGGACGAGTATATTAAAATGAATCAACATGACAGAAATGTTTTCACTAAGCAAAGAAACTCGGTTGAAACGTGAAGATGGCGGATACCCAATGACCTGGTTTGTAACCTTTCTGTTTCTCTTCATATGATGCATATCAGTGATGGCTGCAGGAAAACTGATTTACATCACAAGTTCGTTCCGACAACCTAAACAAGCTGACTGAAAATCCTATCTTTCAGATTCAGGGGAAGTAAAGGAAGCATTTTCGACTACAGAGGAGCAGACTGTCATGCCGTGGGTGTAGACGTCCGTAGGGGCCAGATACTGGACTTCAGACGGTACAATTATTTGTAGTGTCTTTGAACGTCGATTGAAAGGGTTTGAATCCCAAAGCTCGTGTCACTGGTCAAGCTATTGTCATTGGAGGTTGTTGTCTTTGGTTCACGTGAAGCCTCTACAAGCTAAAACCGGCAAACATTTTCCAAAATGTCCATGTTTATGTATAAAAACTTTCTCAAAGTATCTCAGATGAAATCTATATTTCATAGCAGATAAAAGTATCTTCACATCACATTTCACTTGATTTCCATAAAGGTGCTGCGGATCAAATCCATTTTGATTGGTTTGTTGATCTTAAAGTGGGTAAAACGTGTTGGCACGTTGGAACATCTAAGGGCCTATTTCTTATTTTTTTTCTATTTGTTATATATTTCTTAAGTTGTGCTGTAGTTTTAACAGTCTTTTAAACGATTTTGACGTCTACACTGGCACTAAAAGCAAAGGTTAATGAACGATTCAGAGTACACATATACATATTTAGTATATATAGACAGTCTTTAGATCATGGGTTTAATTGATTTCCCAAAGCTGAGAATGTTTATTGTCCATCACATCCGCAAGGAGCTTTGTGATAACATAGCTGCGCCTCTGCAACACAGAAGATGATCGGCGAAGACTCTCCCAACAAACACAGTGGCGGGTCCTCGGGTTCACGAAGGACGCGCTGGAGGAAGTGAAGGGGAAATAGATTGACACAGCAGGATACGTGAGGAACGCAGTCTCTGTCGCGTTGCTCCGCCTCTCAGTCCCCATTTGTCCCCAAAAGTGATGTTATGAGGGATCAGATTGTTGTGGAACCTGAACACTGATTTATTTGACCAGGCGATTTGTCATCTCTCTCAGTAAGTCGATGTTTAGTGGTGATGGTTTGGTTGCTGTTCAACAGGTGATTGGGTGAGAAGTGTGAAGCTTCTTAAACACATAAAGTTGTACATCAAACCTTTGCACTGGATGTCACAAAAAGACTCCAGTTTATACTTTTGGTTTCTTTAAAGCAACAACTTGTTTTGAATCCAGCGGATCTTGTTCGATCCAACATGGATGAAAAGAAGTATTTATTCTGCAAATGACTCTGCTAGAGGCCAAATGTGTTAAACACACTTGTGTGGGTTTTCTTCAGCAGAAAGAAAACAATAACCTGATTTTGGTGCCAGTCCATATACTAAAAGCATGCCTATTAATTACGGATTGTGCATTCGTGGGCTTTAATTGTTATTTAGGGGTTTGTAATGTTGTCAACACTTTGTGATAGTAGATAATCTTCTCCAACAATTTTGGTTCCCACAATTACCGCTCAGACTTTCATGGAACATTTCTTCTGTGGCCAAAGAATCACAATTGGCCCCCAGAGAAAAGATAAGGTTGTGATGCAAAGTTGATGGTTTGACAAATGAAAAGTAAAGAAGACTGAACATCGGCATCAATGCTCAACCCCAATTAGATGATCAGAACAGCCTTTGAAGCAGAGCACAGTTACGTAAGCTTTAGTGTACATTTCATACAGCTGTTTTATCGCCATCTTTCAACTCCCAGTGTGAACTTCCTGTTATGTTTTAGCTTCTAATTAAACCGTGAGCGATAAGGCTA